AACAAAACTTGTTTGTTATTTATCTCGAATTTTTTTTTTTTTTTATTTCCTCTTTTTTTAATTTTTTTATTACCCCAAAAAAAAAAAAAAAAAAGCTAAAAAAAAAATAAAAAAACCCCCCCCCCCCCCCCCCTTTTTTTTTCTCTCTCTCTCTCTCTCTTTTTTTTTTTCTCTTTCTACTGAGCAGAAGAAGAAGATAAAGAAGAACATATAATAACTAACTCACATCTACCTATCCACCGCCGCAGTCCTCGGAGCCCAAGTCCACCAAGTCGGCAGCAACTGGGCGCACGCGGACGCGCACCTGCGCGCGGCGCTCCTGGCGCGCGACCCGGGCGGGGTCTACGTGCCGCCCTTCGACCACCCGGACCTCTGGGCGGGCGCCAGCACCCTCGTCGACGAGCTGGCCGCGCAGCTCGCGGCCCTGGGCGTCGCCCGGCTCGATGGCGTCGTGTGCAATTGCGGCGGGGGAGGCCTGCTGAATGGCGTTATGGATGGGGTGCGGAGGCATTTTGGTGGTGGTGGTGGCGGTGGTGAAGGAGGAAAAGGGGATAAAAGGGGAGAAGGGGAAGAAAGGGGAGATGAGAGGGAAGAGGGGGGAAATGAGGGGGGAGAGGGGAAGGAACCTCTCGTCCTGGCGGTCGAGACGATCGGCGCGGATAGCCTGCACCAGAGCGTCGCGGCGGGCGAGCTCGTCACGCTCCCGGCGATCACCAGCATCGCGACGAGCCTGGGCGCGCCGCGGGTATCGGAGCGGACGTGGCGGTGGGCGCGGGAGGCGGCGGGACAACTGAAGAGCGCGGTGGTGACGGACGCGGAGGCCGCCGTGGCGAGCGTTAGGTTCGCGGACGACGAGAGGATGCTGGTGGAGGCGGCGTGCGGGGCGACGATCTCCACGGTGTATAACGGGGATCTGAGGAGGTATATAGGAGGAGGGGGGGAGAAAGGGATTAGCGACGAGGAGTGGAGGGCGAAGAATGTGGTTGTGGTGGTGTGCGGCGGGGCTAATGTTAGCGCGGAGATATTGAGGGGGTATGAGGAGAGGTATGGGGGGGAGGTGAAGTGGTGATATATTTTATAAGGGGGTAGATAGAGGGATGGGTGGATGGGTTGGTATTATAGTATAGTATAGTATAAAAGGTATAAGGACGATGCGAGGATATATATACCTCTAGGTACTGTACATACGATAGAGTTGGGGAATATATCTTCACGATCGTAGGAGACCAAGTTGGGCTGCACATAAGGCACTGATAGACCTTTTCTATATCTACCTACCTACCTAGGTAAGGTATCTACTCGAATCTCTATTATAGCGTTAGCCATCATCACCACCATCTATTCCACCCCCATCTTCAACCTCAACCTATCATAAACCAACTCCTCATACCCCTCGCCCATAACCCCCGAATCCCTCCTCCCTTCCCACCCGTCCGCCCCCCCAAACCCCTCGAACACCATGCGTATCTCGCCAAAGTAATTCCTCTCGCCCCGCTGCTCGAACCCCAACGCCTTGAACAGCACGATGCTGGCCGTGTTCTCCGCGTTGATCTTGGCCACCACGTCTCTAAGCACGGGTTTCCCGTTACGCTCGGCGCCGTTGAGCGAGCCTGCGGTGTACTCGGCTAGAATACTGTCCAGATGCCTCCGCACGAAGGACAGGAACGTAGCGACGGCTGCACGACCTAGTCCTTTACCCCGGCACCGCGGGTCCGCAATCATGATGTCGATTTCCGCGGTGTAATACGTCTTTGCATCTTCTCCCTTCCGTTCCTTGTCATCACCACCCTGCTCCCCCTCCCCCTTCTCGTCATAATCATCATCGTCATCATCCCAGGGACTCAAGAACAGATTAACATCCCCGACCATCCTATCCGCCGCGTCTACTACCCCCGCTACCACAGATCCCTTCTTCTCTCGCGCATCCGAAGAGCCATTACCACCACCAGCAGCACCTCGTAACAGCGGTGCGCACACGATAAACGTAAGCTTATCCGAGGCCTCGCGCCACGACGCCTGGTTCTCGTACTCTTCTTCCAGCGAGAGGCGTTCGGAGGCGGTGGCTTCGCGGATGGACTGGGATATATTTATGTATATCATTAGTTTTATTTAGTCTTGGTGCTAAGAAGAAGGAGGAGAGAGAGAGAGAGAGAGAAAGGGGGTAAGTACGGGATCTTCCATCCACTGGTGGTATTTCTCCACGTGGTGCGCATCGTATGGCACGAGCAGGACTCTGCTGGTCGATACCGCTGTTGGGGTTGAGTATTAGCCGATTTATCTCTTGTGGCTTCGATGGGTAGGTAGGTAGCTCGTTGGTAGGTTGGTATGAGTCGAGCGGCGGGGTGAGGTGAGATGAGGGGCGAGAGAGAGATTGAACTCACCAGTATTCTCATTCAACCTCATCGTCGTGTGGGATTCTTGCAAGTATTAAGCGTATCCGTATCTCGTGTTGCATATTTTGATCGTATCATAAAACGTAATGGTCTTTGGAATTAATGGAAGGTTGGTTATAAGTGTAAAATAAATAAATCAAAGTCGCAAAATATTTTATTTTAGTCACATGTTTGTTTAAACAGCTCAGAACTAAAATACCAACACCACCAAACAAGGTAGGATTATAGCAACAACCACACAAGAGGGAGAAAGAATATACCATTATAACGATTATTAGAAAGGTCTCCTAAGTTTAATTCTTATGAATCATTCAAGATATCAATGAAACCCTTAGATACTCATTACCACGACCTTAATCGTATAGCAACCAAGCTGAGCTATACTGTCAGACGAATGCATATAAAAGGGGAATTTGCCGTAGGGTATCTATCTCAGCCTTTGCATACACGTGTAACCCTTTATCCAAATCTACACAGTTGATATCTACTATACACAACCGCCTTCTCTCTACCACTTTCAAAGCTAGGCTTCTTCCTTAATCCTCAACAGGCAGCGGCGGGAACAAACTGCTCTGCGCGCCCTCGCCCAGCGGAACGGTCGGCGTTCCATACCCATCGTCCGCATACAGTCGCGCGTGTTCCAGCGTCCTCCGATCGAGGCTCACGCCGAGCCTATCGAGCAGCTGGCCCGACTTCTCGGGGATGAACGGCTGAAGCAGGATACCCGCGACGCGCACCGACTCGGCCGCAAAGAAGATGATCTGCTCCACGGCCGCCGTGTCACCTGCCTTGCTCCTATCCCACGGCGCTGCGTCTTGCAGGAACCTATTTATCTGTAGCGCTTGTAAGAATATTACTGTGGAAATGAAGGGTGTAGTAGGAATGAAATTCTTGGCGGGGGGCTTACCTCGAATACGAATTCCATAATAGCCTGCAGCGCCCTCTTGGGATTGAGTTCGTCCATACGGTTTGAGACCTCCTTTACGATAGACTCTAGATATTCCTTCTGCATTTTGACCGAAGTAGAGACCAACTCAGACTGCTTGCCGTGCATAGACACTACCGCGTCTCTGATATTCCAGTTCTTCGATCTCGTAATCCGGTTGAGCAGATTACCCAGACCGCCCTGCAATCCCTTCTTGTACTTGTCGACGATAAACTCGTTGCTGTAATCGGCATCGGAGGACATGGCGCCGTTGTATATCAGGAAATAGCGCATGGTATCCACGCCAAATCGGTCGAGAGCGAAGAATGGGTTCACGACGTTGCCGACCGACTTGGACATCTTTTGCCGGCTCATCATCCAGTGGCCGTGGCTGAGGATGCGCTTCGGTAAGGGTAGGTCCAGGGCCATGAGCAGCGCAGGCCAATAAATGGCATGGAAGCGCACGATGTCCTTCCCAACCACATGAATGTCTACCGGCCAGCCCTTAGCGTGTTCGGAACCAGGAGGCCACACGGGATATCCCGCCACCGTGATGTAGTTAATCAGAGCGTCAACCCACACGTAAATCGTCTGGCTCGGGTCGTCGGGTACAGGAATACCCCAGTCAAGGCGGCTCACGGGACGGGATATAGACAAATCCTCCAGGTTATTCTGGACCCAGCTGATCACCTCGGAGAAGCGATTTTGAGGGGTGACCCAGCTCGGGTTATCGGAGTAGAACTGGAGTAGTTTTTCTCGAAAGGCCGTTAGTCGAAAGTGGTAATTCTTCTCTTCGGTCCATTCCACGGCACTACCCGTCTCGGCGCAGGCGGTAAACGGTTTCCCTGTTATAGGCGACACGCGCTTCTCGATCATAGACTCGGGATAGTACGTCTCATCGCTAACGCAGTACCAACCCTCGTGTTTCGTCTCGTATATATACCCGCTTTCTCTCAGCCTCGACCAGAAGTACTCAACTGCCTCTCTATGATCCGGGTCCGTCGTTCGAATGAAGTGATCGTACGAAATATTAGCTTTGTTGGCCAGGTCTTTAAACGTTTCGGAGTTGGTATCGCATAGAGCTTTTGGTTGGATATCTTGCAGCTCTGCCGCGCGTTGGACTTTCATCCCATGCTCGTCGGTTCCCGTGCTCAGTATTGCTTCTTTGCCTTTGAGGACCTGCCATCGCTTGAGCACATCTGCTATAACCATGCTATATAGATGGCCGACATGAGGAGCTTTTAGACAAGACCGAACTCAAATTAGCCCACGGTTGATTTGTTATAACAAACATTATCCATGCAAGACTTTGCAAGACTTAACAAAACTTACATGCATTGACGTAGAAAATGGGACTCGTCACGTAATACGGCTTGTCCTTGAGCTCTCGGAGAGCTGCGCTGCTGGTGAACAGCTTGCGCGAAGCCTTGATGCTTCTAAGTGACTGAGGTAACTGAAGTGACTGGCATGACTGGCATATCCAACCCGCGCGTGCCCTTTGCCCAGCTCTAACTGTCGACAATTGCCGGCTCAAGGCCCCCAAATGGCTCTTCATGACCTAAAAGCTTATCGTCTTTTGCAATTGCGACGTGCTTAGAGCTAATGCTAATCCATCCTTCCATCTTGAAAGTGGGATGTTTTTTTCTTTTTTCTTTTTATTACAAAAAAAAAAAGACATCGGCGAAAATGGAATGCTATATCCGATTAAAGACTTGGTGGGGCAACTGACCTTACCTTAGGTACCTAGGTACGAAGTATTGTACTTGATAAAAGCCACTACGTCATAGCATCTTTACTTATATGTATTGTACGTCCTTAGGTAGGTACCTATCATTTCAGAGCAAAAATCATAGCTATCTGAGAAAATGCCTAGCTACAGCACACAATGGGACGATATAAAGCAATCGTAGACACTTTTTTGCAAATCATGTCATGCAGCATCCATCTGGGAAAAGGAAACTTGCGCCGAGGGTTATCATCAATCACTTTGTCCCCATATAGTCCCTATTATAGACGTCAAGTCATGCCTCCCCTAACTTGTCATAAAGGGAAAATCATGTGATACCAGTGCCAGCGCCAGTGCCAGTGCGAATATATCGTTCAGGAAAGAGGATTAAAAAATATACCAGGTACCTAAGTAGGTACTAGGTAGGTAACTAGTAAAACCAAAATTAGGCTGAGGCCAAGAGTAATTCTTGCCAAAGGCTACAACAACCTAGTTAGAGCTAGACTGATGTTGTCGAGAGGTGCGCTCCAGGAGGGAACCGAATTAGGCTTTTGTGTCGAATCGAAGTTGAAAGCCGGAAGGGCAACAAAAGAAGGGGTTCTTCCTTTTCTGTAGTCATTGTTGTCTATAACAACAACATCCTGAGTAGATGTTACCTTGTCTGTAAACGTAACGCGCCGAATATAAGACAGATTGTAGTCTTGGAGGGGCAAGATTCATATCATAACCGTAGAGATATGACGTTGCCATTGATGAAAATCGTATTGCAAAAGTGAAACGACCATCCCACGCAAGTTGCTAATTGAGATTATCAAAGCCGGAATCCGATGTCCTCGAGAACTAAAAGGAAAGAAGGCCGAAAGGAAGACTAACACAATCAACCCTCCCGAGAGTACGGGTAACGCCACCGAAACACACGTGGCACTGAAAGTGGGAATGTGTAACGAAAAAAGAGGAGGAAAAAAAATCTAAGATCCCTTGAAGAGAAATTGGAGGTCTTCATGTGTGAGAGCCTCCAACGAGGCTTCATCCGAATTGACAGTCGATCTAATCATGTTCGCTTTCTTCTCCTGTAGCGCAACTATACGACTCTCCACGGAATCCTCGATACAGAGGCGCTTGATGATGCATGGTCGTGTCTGTCCGATGCGATGGCATCGGTCGGCCGATTGCCACTCTGCTGCTGGATTCCACCACCTACACACAAAAAAAAGGTTAGCATATTAGATATTTATCCTATACGGGTAGGTAAGGAATAGCAACTTACGGATCGACAATGAACACCCGCGACGCTTCTGTAAGATTCAGGGCGACGCCACCCGCTTTCAACGACACCAGGAAACACTCTACGTCGACGTTCTTCATGAAATGATCGATGGAAGCTTGTCGCTGAGCCGGCGTCATGCTTCCGTCAAGCATGACTGTTGTGATGCCGGCTCTTCGAAGACGCCATTCAATCAGTTGGAGCATTGTAGTAAACTGCGAGAAGATGATCGACTTGTGTGAAGCACTGTCCGATCGTAGCCTGTGGAGCTCATGAACGAGCAGCTCAATCTTAGACGACGATGTCCAGTTCTCCATTTTGATGCGATTGATTATGGACGATTTCTTGACAAGTATTGCGTCCTGCTCAATCTCAGGCTGCTCTAGATCGATAGATAGAGGGATGTGACAGCGAGGACAGTCTGGAGCCCCCTGGGAATTGACATAATGCTGCGCACAAGAGCGGCAGAAGTCATGCTTGCACTTGGACCGAATCGCCTCCTCAGCAGGTTCGTCGCAGATGCAGCAGACTAATATGTTCTGTCCTCCCTGTGCATTCTTCTTCAAGATTAGATCAGGATGGTTGGCGACCTGGCGCATCTGCATAATCAAACCAAATATATTGGCGTAGTTGTTAAGAAGAACGCCTTGCGCCACATAAGTGTCGAACTTGCGCTGGCTGTTATCCGTGATGCTTTTCGCGAAGTCGTTCTCCTCTTCGCTCAAGAATTGGCGATCCACGTAGACCTCCTTGACGGGAAGTTCCATGGCATTTGTATGATCTTTCTTGAGACGGCGCAACATGATCCGGTCCGTAAGAAGACGTAATTTAGCAAGGGCTTCTTTGCCTTCGCCGCGGTTACCGCTGCGGGAGATAGGATGCAGAAGTTCTTGATTGAAAACCGAAACATGCAACATCATGTAATGGCCACCTGAGGCGCGTTAGCGAAGGGGAAGGCAAAGCTTGAATTTTGCTTGTAAGAACTTACAATCTTTGCAATTCTTGTGCTCGTCCGCAGACCATTCGAGGTTGGCACAGCTACACTCTCTGCAAAAGTATTCCGCGAATGGGGTAATCTTGAGAAATCGAAGCAGCGAAAAGAACTCTCCGATTCGGTTCTGCAAGGGGGTTCCGGTCAAGCACCAGCGATACTCAACTTTGAGCGCAAAGCATGCCTTCGCAGTCATGGTGTTTCTGGACTTTGGAAATCTGTTAGCTTAGGAGCAGATAGAGAAAGGTTCTACAGGCCTACCTTGATACAATGAGCCTCGTCGAGAATCACGCGGTGAAACTTAATTTGGTGGATAGCACTCTTCTCCTTATACGTGCCCTCTTTCCTCTTGAAACCTTTCTCTTGCTTGCGGAACAAGGACTCCAGGGTATTATAGGACATCAAGATAACGTCAAACTTTTTAAGTTCTTTGGTTGTCAATTTCTTGGCCTTGGCATTGGTGCCATGGAATACTAGAGTCTTTAGCTTTCCATTTGTGTAGGACTCGATTTCAGATGTCCATTGCATTAAGGCAACAGGTGGCATGAGCACCAGAGACGGTGCTTTTGCTGGGTAGTCGGACATGATTAAAGACACCGCTTGGATAGTTTTGCCAAGACCCATCTCATCTCCAAGTAGGCCACCCTTCCACTTTGTTAATTCCATAGCCTTCATCCAGGAAAGACCTTCGAGTTGGAACGGTTTCAACTGGCGGGAGATGGTGATCGGCTGCTCGGCCTTTTTGGCCTTGAGAACAGGCATGCTTTCAAGGTCATCCCACATGGTTTCGAGCTCTGGATGATGCTTGGTTAACTTCATCCTCATCCTTTCCTTTCTGTTTAGAGGACGACGAATACGACGCGAGCGGGTAAAAGTAAACCCACGCTGAGGTGTACGTGCAGCCATAGTTGAAGCAGTATGTGAGGCTGTAGGTGAGGCTGCTTGTGAGACTGCTTGAGAAGCTGCCTGCACGGTTGTGTGGGAATCGGTGATCGGATCATCGGAGTCGGGTTCTGAGATATCTTCATCTTCATCTTCATCAAGAGCATATGTGCTAGAAGCCTCGGACATATCATCAATAGGCTCCTCATCATCCAACTCTGAGTCGGGCTCATCATCACTCATAGGGTCGGTAAGTTTTGGCTTCTTAAAGACTCGAGTTGATGAAAGAGGAATATCACTTTCGGCATCAGAATTATGGGCTATCACAGCACTGGGTCGCTTGCGACTAGTAACCATCTTGCCCTTAGCAGGGGCAGGATCTTCACGAGGTGCCTCCTCCATATTTATATCATCTTCCGAATCCTCTTCAGTATAGGCAATGGGGGCAGGCCGGCGACGTGTGACACCTCTAGACGAAGTTGTAGAGATGCGCCTGTTAGACTTGCTGCTTGTCGAGGTTGAGTCTTTGGGGAGCTCAGGCAACTCAACAACCAGGCGCGACCGTGCCCTACTTTTGGGTTGAGGAGGCTTGCTCGTGATAGAGGGCGCAGGAGTAACAGGATTACTAGTTGCAGGTGTTGAATACCCGCTGTCTGAAATAGCTGAATTGCTATCAATAGTGGTAATCTTAGAGGATCTTCCACGGCGTAGGGGAACAACAGGTTGTGAGGCAGTAGTGCTAGCACTGTCTGTTGCGGAGCTCTCCTCTGCAACCTTCGAGCGTCGGGTTCGTGGCGCCATGGCGTTGGAAATGTTGTGAACGTGAAAACCAGCAATGGGATTAAAAGTGATGATCGCCGATGAAGAAAAGAGATAGTGGTTAGCACATATATGTTTATCATAAATCACATATGTGCAGATAATTAATGGTTGAAAAAAAAAGTTAAGGAGTGGTGAATGGGAGGGTTAAAGTAGGGCGCCTAGGCAATATGTAAGAAATAGGGCAGGCAAAGAAGATCAAAGTCGCCGGGGATTTGCTTTTGCCTTTTCAACTCTGCCTTTGCCTCCAATTATTAATGAATAAATGCAGTGGATATTCCACCAAAGGGGTTATTTCGTAAAGGATGTACCTTTAGTTCTATTCTAATCAACAATGGGAGATCTCAGTGCGCTAGAAAGTAGGGCCAGATCGGGTTGGGTTGTTGATCATTGATGATGGAGATGAGAAAGATTCCAGACCGGAGAGAGAGGCGTATGAAGATTTAGTGGGGGAAGATAGAAGGGAAAGAAGGAAGTGGGTCTAAAAATGTTCTCAAGGCGCGACTACTACACGCAAACTCGTGACTTGATCGACCCTGGAGAAGGTACTAAGTGAGCACCAGGTGGGTACTAAGGCGGGTCTTTCCATAAAGGTAACCAATAGAATTAGAGAGCTAGCACTTAAACCCCCTGCAGGTACACCCATCCTCCGATTCTAGCGATTCTAGCGATTCTAGCGGGAAAGGGGGTCCCGCCACTGTCCCTCTCAGGTACCCTGGCACGGATAGCAGCTACGCTAAAAAGCAATTAAACTGATAAGGTTGCTGCCTGAAACGGAACCACTTAACGCGCTTTTAGCTGTGCCCAGTGGCGTCAGTCCCTGTTAATTCTTTGACTTTATTGCACTATCTTATTTGTTCACTGAGTCAGTTCACTTTCTTTTTTTTCTTTCTTTTTTTTAACAAGACTGCTTCGTACAGGGGTATGATTAATATAGTATAAAGCTTGAGAAACTTTGATTAGGGGCTGGTAACTAATAATAAGCACTTACTCAGGGTGTTTGCCTTGTCTACCTAAGAGTAGTAACTTACAACTAATTACTACTACACTCACCTCCATTTCGGCGACCTGTGATATTTCATCCCATGTTTTTTTTTCGGGTGAGGCTCAACTCAACTCAACATAATATCCACCATATTTCATCTAAATCGCCGGTCGTCGTCGCTTTATAGCAAACACCATAGATGAATATAAAAAATCATCTAAACTGAAAATATGTACGTCATACTTTTCTATACTACTTTACCATTGCCAGATTGCCCCAAAGTAAAGCTAACAGTTCGATTCAGGCAGCGAAACATTCGGGGACCTCGGTCTGCCCTCACAGACTACCTAGCTTCCCAAAATATCTCGGCAAGGCAGATCCGAGCTAATCATGAGGCGAGACTTAGGGCTGCTGTCGCAGACCAAGCCGCAGCATCCTCATCAATAGCTCAGAACGTAGAACCTGCAGAGGCTCCAGAGACTGCTGAGAATGATGAAGATGATGCTGAGTCTTTAGTTTCTACAAGTACCCGACAAGCCACAACTCGTAAGCGCAAGTCGGCAGTTGCTGCTACAGAGAAAATCAAGAACTCTAAACCATCCAAGCTACGCAAGTCTCGCCGAAACGACCCGGACAACGAGTCTGACGAGGACGCACTTGAACGAAGCGCAGGTCCCATGCCTGGCCAGCTAGCAAACTGCGAGGAATGCCACAAACGATTTACAGTGACTGCGTATTCGCGTGCCGGCCCGGAAGGGGGCCTGCTTTGTCCCCAGTGCAGCATGAAGCTAACCAAAGAAGAGAATGCTGCTAGGGACGCTTCTAAGAAAGGCAAGCAAAAGGCCACTGGGGTTCCTATTAAACGTGAACGAAGAAAGATCCAGAGTCTTATACTAGATGGCCAGATTGGAGTCAAGACCCTGATGACCCTCTGCGTTGAGACGTTGGCCAACAATATCCATCTTGCCGACGACCTCGGTGACCTACCTTTACCAGCTATCGATCGCGTTTCTAGACATTTGTCCAAACGTCGTCTTATGGGTCCCGACACTCTGAATCTATTTCTTCAGCCTCAAACTCATGATATTATGATATACGATGGAGGCCGCTTGAATTCAAATGACTACATGCGAATTTTCCAGGTGTGCTCCAGTCTCAAGGCCCTGAAGCTGCGCAACGCGATTCAATTCAAAGATGAGGTTATGGAGTACTTGATAGGAAGACACATTGCCCTGGAAACCTTTTATATATCCGGCGCAAATCTCATTACCGATGAATATTGGGAGAAATACCTAAAGGCCAAGGGACAGAGCCTTGAGAGCCTTCGTGTCTATTTCACCGATCGGTATTTCGGTGATAAGACTATAGAGTCTTTACCCGGCTACTGCCCATCTCTGAACCGACTGAAGATTTACCACAACCAAGCTGTCACCGACAAGGGAATAGAACACATCGCGCAGCTTCCTCAACTCCAGCATTTGGGGCTACGCCTTGTCAATCAGACGCAGACAATGCCCTATGTCAATGTCGTACAGAAATTAGGGCATCAGTTATATACCCTTTCTATCAGAGATGTTCCACAGGTTGACGATCGCCTGCTCGACGCAATCCATGATCACTGCACTCGGTTAGTTAAGCTCCGCATTACAAATAGCGAGGCTATGACCGATGCGGGCTTTGCTAGACTCTTCAAAGACTGGAAGAACAAGCCCCTTCAAATTGTAGACTTGGAACTATGCCGTCACGTCGACTCGTCAAATCCCAGATTGAACCAGCATATGGTCGGCTTCTGCTCGGCCGGTTTCCGAGCCTTGATGAAGCATTCGGGCAAACACTTAAGAAAGCTCAACATCCATGGATGCAGACACGTATCTGGCGAAGCGTTTGAGGATGTGTTTGCCGTCGGTCAGGTGTATCCTGATCTCTTAGACATGGAGATCAGTTTCTGCGAGGAGGTAACAGACTTGATCGTCGGGCTGATTTTCAAAAGTTGCCCTAGACTAAAGAGACTGAACGTCTTTGGATGCATGAAGGTAAGTTTCTTTTCTTTTCCTTTTTTTTTTTTTTCTCAGTTGGTATTGGATAAATCCAGCGAACGAGCAGTACACTGTTTCCCCTATTCAATGTTCCCTTTTATGTTTGCTATAGAATTTCCACATATTTAAAACCAGATGTGACTAACAGAATGGCGTGTCTAGGTGAAGGATGTGCGTGTCCCTAGAGGCAAGATTTTGGTCGGTGTCCCTAATGCGATGGGCATGATCATTGAAGGCACCGAGGATTAAATCGGAGAGTGTTTTATATTCCTTTTCACGATACCCGACTTCAAAAGGCATTTCAGGGGTTTGGTGTTAGGTGTTTACGGCATTGAGTCCAGTTAATGGTTTTTTGCGATGATCTCTACATGAAGCACGAACGCCGAGAACAGGTCGTTCAGCCTATCCAGCCAGCCTAAGGTGTGGCAGGAATTGCTTTGCTCAGCTACGCGTGATTTTCTCCGAAATACGTTGCCGTTATAAATGGTCAATCGATGAGCACGTTACGGACGATGCTACCGAAAGGTTATTGACAATAATAATCTTTCATCGCGAGTCAACAATCTCGATGTGCTTTGCTGGGTTACTTCTCAGCTCATAATAAATGTGCAAACATCCAGGCAGTTAGCAAGACTTATTGTTTGTCCGATACCAGGAAGCACGATATACTAGCTTAGCAATGCGAGTGATTTTCTTATAATCTATAATTACACAAGACTCATACGTACATGGTTGTAGCGCCGGGAGGTCACGCCGTAGATAACCGTAGCTCCGAATTGCGCCATCGACTTTTGTTCGCCCTTAAGTGTGATCCACCCCGATAATCATTCGATATGTTGTATTATTTTTTTATTTTCTTTCCTTATATTTAATGATCGGATATGTCTAACTTAAGAGTATAGATATTTCTCTTTTTCCCTTATTACATTACAGTTTAGAATAGTATAACCACCAAATCTTTTTCTTTTTCCTTTTTTTCTTTCCAAAACAATAAATCCAAGATATCAACTACTATAAAACAACTCAACCGTATATTAATTACTCCGCACTTCTCCATCCCGGGACGTCCCGGCTCCCCCTCATCCCGGAATAAATAATAATGGGCTCCTCCTCCTCATCTCTCCCCACGGCCACCAAGCCGCAGCCGTTCAACGTAAAGAAGATCGCCATCATCGGCGCCGGCCCAAGCGGCCTCGCCGTAGCGAAATACCTGCTGGCGCAGGACGGCGCATTCCCGCGCGTCGACATCTTCGAGCAGCAGGCCGAGGTCGGCGGCGTGTGGAACTACAGCCCCGTGCCCAGGCCGCCCGAGTCGGTGCCCGTGCCGCAGACGGACGCGCATCCGGAGAGGATGGATCCGCCGGTTTTCGAGGAGGGAAAGGGAGAGGGCAATGAAAAGGAAAGGGTGCCGTTGTTCCCCTCCCCCATGTACGACGACCTGCACACGAATATCCCCCACACCCTCATGCATTACGCGGATCTCGACTTCCCAGACGGCTGCGCGATATTCCCCTCCCGCGCCGACGTCCAGGCCTACCTTGTCGAGTACGCGCGCGACGTCCGCCACTTGATCCGGTTCTCGACGCAAGTGACCTCGGTGGCGGTGCGCACGGACGCCTTCCGCCCGCGCGGGCGCGAGCAATGGGACGTGCGCGCGACGGACCTGCGGACGGGGGAGGAGCGCAGGGAGACGTACGACGCGGTGGTCGTGGCTTCGGGGCATTACTCGACGCCGTACATCCCGGGCTCGATCGAGGGGCTGCGCGCGTTCCACGCCGCGCACCCGGGCGTCGTCTCGCACTCCAAGACGTACCGTGCCCCGGAGCCGTTCCGCGGGAAGAAGGTCGTGGTCGTGGGGACGGGCGCGTCGGGGCTCGATATCGCGGCCCAGATACGCCGCGTGTGCAGGCGCCCGCTGGTGCTTTCGGCGCAGAGCGCCGCGCCCAGCGAGACGCTCGAGCATATAGGAGGCGGGGACGTCGTGCAGGTCGGGCGGATTAAGAGGTTTTTGGTTGAGGAGCGGGGGGTGGAGTTTTTCCCCCTAGATGAGAGTGATGACGACGAGGATGAGGATGGAAATGGCGTTGGAAAGAAAGAGGAAGAGGGAGAGGCAAAGGGAGGAGGAGAAAAAGAAAAAGAGACGAGAATTGAAAAGGACGTCGACGCTGTACTCTTCTGCACGGGCTACCTCTTCACCTTCCCCTTCCTGCCCAGCCTCCCGCTCGTGACCAACGGCCGCAAGGTCCACGGCCTCGCCAAGCACTTCCTGCACATCGGGCACCCGACGCTCGCGTTCCCGGGGCTGCCGATCAAGGTGATCCCCTTCCCGCTCGCGCAGGCGCAGGGCGCGGTCCTCGCGCGCCTGTGGTCGAACACCCTGCCTCTGCCGCCCCTCTCCGTCCTCGAGTCGTGGTCGCGCGAAGAAGGCGAGAAGCGGGTCAGCGACGAGAAGTACCACGTGTTCCCCAAGGGCGGGGACGGGGCGTATATCAACGAGATCTACGAGTGGCTGGAGAAGGACACTACTACGGATGAAGAAGGGAAGAAGAAGGGCAAGGAGCCGCCGCATTGGGACGCGCAGATGCTCTGGCAGAGGGGCATATATATCGAGGCGAAGATGCAGTTCGAGAAGACGGGCAGACAGGCCAAGACCCTGGAGGAGCTGGGGTTTCGGTATATGCCGGAGGAGGTAGAGGGGAAGAAGGCGGAGGATGTGGAGGGGAAGGATCCGCATTTAGATGTTGCTGGGTGAAGGGGGCAGAGATGTATGTATATTGCCTCTAGGTTAGGATATTAGAAGAGATAAGGTATATAGGAGGTATGTATATAGGTATAGACCAAGCCAGACCAGATCATAGTTAGAAAGAGAAAGCTAGTTACGATATCTCACATCATATCATATCAAGAGTATATACTGAACCAAATAGTTCAACAGGTAGTTAATTACAAAAAGACCCATATGCGTAGGGAATAGCTATATACAAGGTAGGTACCTACCTAAGGTACCTAACCTAAGGTATGCGATAATATACAAGTATAAAACAGTTAAGACTACCCAAGTCTTAGGTAACCATGCAACATGATTTCCCATAACCAAATCATCATAAACGTCTGCCTCATAACGCCGGCTCCATGCTAATGATAAAAAAAAACCCTTTAGGAAATACAGCGCTAGGCTGCTTCATATCCGTCTACCGTAGTAGAACCGAAAAGACTCCTACCGGAGGACACGCAGATAGATACTTAAATAAGCTTTTTAAGCGGAAGGGGAATCGTTCTCCAGCGTCGAAGAAATCTGCCGGTCCAGAGCCGCCCATTCCTCCAGCCGCTGAAGCAGTTCCGCATCATCCGTGACTTCCCTCTGCCTGGTCCTCCGTTCTTTGAACGGGAGGCCGTCGGGACCGCACCCGCTGATGTGCCCGAAGTACGACAGGTGGGCGTCGACGTCGAGCCCGCCGGTGCCGCCGTTGCAGTGGGTGTTCGCGAAGCCGCTGCACACCTTGACGTCCGCGGCCGCGTACGTGGTCACGGTGTCGTTGCTCCCGGTCGACAGCCAGTACTCCGGGCTCGTGTGCCGGTAGTCGGCGAAGATGGGGGGCAGGCGCGGGACCGGGTCGTCCGAGTGCGTCACGCGGTACTCGCCGCCCGGCTGGGCCGTGATGAAATCGACGAGGGCTTTGTTGCCTACGCGCGGGCTGCCGTACGTGTAGAGATCGAGTTTGTAGCCCTTCTCCCGCGCATAGCCGGCGGCGACCGTGGCAACTGCTCCGCCCAAGGAATGCCCCGTGAAGATAATTTCGTAAGAAGGGTTGGCTTTCTTAGCCGCTGCTACGCCTTTAAGTAGTTTATCTTCTATCTCTTTCCACGACACGTGGAAGCCAGTATGCATTAAGCAGCCATCCACGAGGTGGCAAGGAAGCGGGACGAAAGAAAGACTATTTTGAGGTTAGACGGGGTGTTCGTGATAGGTATATACATACTAAGAGTATATTAGAAGTTAGACTTACTCGGCTATCCAGTTACGAATGGAATGAGTTCCTCTTATAGATACCACGATCAGCTCATTCTTGTCATCGGTCGCGACGAAGCCTTGGATATCGGTGAGGTGTCCACTTATAAAGCATTAGCCTGATGTGTTATTTCCTTGTGTACATTCCACGCTTGGAATTCAACATATGATTATGATGATGATATCAACTTACGAGAAGGTTGCTACCACCTTAGCACCAGCAGCTGTGACATCCGGACAGGTGTTTTCGGCGCAGGTGACGATAGAACCTAAGTCCACCTCGCTGTTACAGTAGCTAGCCCCGGCATACTGAGAGAAGAACTTCAAAATCGAAACGTCAGCGTTGGTAACAGTATCTGTTTATTTTGTTAGTATATCGTTTCGTTCAAGTTGGGGATGATCCGCAACACGTACTGCCACTGCTAATCTCGTAGTGAGTTGCGGGAACCGGGCCCGCAGCAGCGAGTAAGGCAAAGGCAGGTACCAAGGCGTAGCTAAACGGCTTCATCTTGACCAGTCAAGAGGAAAAGCGGGAACGAGAAGGAGACGGCTGAAGGATGACGCTAAAGAAGACGAGAATGAAGCATGGACATTCTGCGCGGAATGCCCTTTACTTATTATGGGGAATGAGGATGAGAATGAGAATGGGTTAATAGCCCAACAACTCAACAATATGGCTTCGAGACACGCCGATGTGGTCCCGCTAACGAGTCGCTATACCCTTTCGACCTACCTACCTACCTATGTAGGTAGGTTACTCTGGGGCGTGTGTAGACATGGTCGTAGCAAGTCCGTGTTTCGGTTGAACCAATTTGGATCTATCAATCCACGTTTAGAACATCTATAATGGCTCTTCCGATCTGGGGGTTTCAACTTTCTGGAAGAGCTTGTCTCCGCCACAATCCTATCTACATAGTACCCTAGGAGGTAGCTATGTTAAGACTAACAATAACACGCATGTTATACGTGGATAACACATTACCTACCTTAAGCGGGCAGTCTCCAAGCTTTTTCTAACGCTTTAGAGAGGCGGGCGAGTCGACATTTGATATGACTAGACCGAAATATTCGAAATATTCGAAATCAGAGGATTGACCCCTGTGGGGTAGGGTCATGAAATACATTATTTGAGGTGGTGTCTTTTTTTTCTTCCTTTTTTTTTGGTTACCATGTAGGGAAGGGGAAGGTTGGGTGCAACGGTCGGTGAAGAGGATTGATTGGTCCATAAAGGGACAATAGAGTAACCAATTAATACCCGAAGCGGAATATTTTAAAGCTTCTCATTCGCTGCGTGTTACCAGAGCTAAGACCAAAGCTAAGATAGTTTAACTTTATAAGACTCGTCTCGTAAGACATATAAGTCCAGTGCACCATATAGGGCATTCCATCTCGGGGAATACAAAACAATCCAGCCCTCTTTGATTGTTCAGCTGCGCACGTAGTAGAAACATTGTGACAATATCTTCAGCGATTTGATTTTTATGCTTAAATGGCATAACAATTGATGAGACATTGAAGGGGTTGTGAGGTATCAAATCAGGATTATAGGATTCGAAATCTACCTCCTACCTTAAATCCTAATGAGGGGTCTACTACGGTACGCTGTCAGTCCGTAACACAAATAGACGGAAATAGATCAACCTGATAGCCTGATCAACTTTGCCCGCTGCCCTGGTACCTGCCCGGCACGTGAGTGTATGTACCTTCTGGGTAGGTGCTTAAGGTTTGTTACACGTTCAAGGATAACGCCATAAGCGCTCAGGTGGGGATCCCTGCTCGGCACTTTTTTGGCATTTTTTTGCTTTTTGGGGTACTGTGGTGGTGATTACGTATTGGACCAGGTAGGAGGTAGGTAAGCAATGGGTATTGCCGAGTTTTGGTGGGAGGAGCCGACTCGTTAGAAATGTTCCCAATACAACATCAAATTACCCACAACTTCAGCACCTCTGGCACCAAAAGAAAAGTCCCCTAAAACATTATGCGAGTAATTGTTGAAACAACCCGCCTTCTTCAACGTGGCTGAGCTAGTAAATATGGCGCATCAACTACATCTGTTACCTATACTCGATTGATTATATTCGACTTTGAGAGATGAACATACGGAGGTAGAGAGGTAAGTCGTATAAAACTAAAGAGTGCGTTGCTTAGCAAAATGTAGGCACCTAGGTACTTAGGTGTACGTATGGTATTATTAACAAGCTTGATTACCAAACGTGCCTCCTAAGGATATAATATTCTTTACGTACCTTTAGGTACTCTTTATTTGGTAAAGTCAGAATTATACTAGTAACTTCGCTTACTTATTAGTTCTGGTTGAATATAGGTCTCGGTACCTATAATACGATAATTCTTCAAGTACGATTACGAAAACTTACGGAGAGATGTAACGCTGACCTGCAACTTGGAAGTGCCAAGGCTGCCTACCCGTTAAACAGGTACCTACCTACCTCCTATCAATATTTCTCCACCTATCCCGTCCCCTAATTCACCGGGTTTTCGGTGAGCTAGTAGCATTAGTGTCGCGTACCAGGTACCTATATTTCGTACCCAAGGTTAATACCAGGAAGTATTTAATTCTCCCTCAAGCACAAACGCATAACTATACCAAGAATCTCATAAATCACGATCAACGCAGAAAACGATAGTGGTAGATCGTGGGGAAATCTCCAGGAACGTGCTTATCTTTATAGCTGCTTTGAGTATAGCATCGGAAGCTGAAATCCATATCGAGATTACTTCCCCGATGCTTCGTAGCGTCCATGCTACCATAACTAACCTCTATAGCTATCGTAAACCAATGATAATCCATCTCACATCTCATTGTTACCTTTTACAACCTTACAATACACGTCACAAGAGGTCGAGAGGTCAGCTGCTAAAGACTTCACTGCCGAGATGCAATGCTCCTACACCTGTCAGGTCAGCCTCTTGACTTTATTTGCGCTGGTAGCGGTGGACTTTCGAGGTGACCGCCATTTTGATCTACCCTATCCATCCTACCTATGCAGGTGACTCTTTACACGAATTATACATAGTACCACCTAGGTTAGGTAATCTACACCTTTGAATGCTACACTTTACCTGCTCATATAAGCCCTTGGCTTCGGAAATCGGCCGTTGTTGTTATCGAGCTACCACGGTTGAAGGACCAAGACTACCTCTAGCAGTTCTACCCAGCGTCATCTTGGCTAGCGGAATAGCGGAAATTGCTTCCTCGACCCAACCCACAGCTACCCCATAATGGCCGGATATCCATATGTTGTGCGGGTATACCGGCATCATCCAAGATCTTGGTTCTGCGTAGTGATGGAACCGCAGGAACAACCCTTCGGATCGAACCCGAAGAGCGAGCTGCATACCTCGTACAGAAAGCAGGACCATGTCTTGCTTGTGCTAGGTAGAAAAACCTGGATATGCGGGCTGAGCGGCAGTAACCGTCCACAATGCATGCTTCCCGTGCCCTCGTTTCCTAGATCATCCCTAGATCATCCCTCCTATCATCCACCTATTTATCTAAGGCAATCGCCAATCACGAGTGTGACAATGGCGTTGCCTTACTGTTCAGCCACACAGCTCGCGTGTCTCACGAGCTCACGAGTCCACGATGCGCTTTTGAAGTGCCGTAAATACATAACAATTAATTAGTTTCCTACCTTGGGGAAGCCCCATGCTACCTCATCCTTTCTGGCACGATCGTAATGGTAATCTTCAAGATGCGGTGTCCTTCAGGTCTCCGTAGTCTTTCGTTATGCTTCCTCGCGAGCGCGGCGTCGGCCTCCGTATTACACCCTCGCGATCCCGTCCCGCAGGGTTTTGTCGCCGCCCCGTATTACCCGACCCCTTACGGTGGCTGGGCCGACGACTGGGCCGAGAGTTACGACAAAGCTGTGAAGTTGGTGTCGCAAATGACTTTAGCTGAGAAAATTAACTTAACTGCTGGTACCGGTCTTTTCATGGTAAATTAACTCCTGCGAAAGTTATATCGAATCTTCTCCATTAACTGTAGTTTAGGGTATGATAACTAGCGAATATTAAGTCATTTTTATAAATGTTAACATACTAATTCAGGACCCTGCGTTGGAAATACTGGTAGTGTACCACGACTGGGATTTCCGCAATTATGTTTGCAGGATGGCCCTCTAGGTGTACGAACAACAGACAACATTACTGCTTTCCCCGCTGGTATCACTACTGGAGCAACGTTCAACAAGGATCTTATATACGAAAGGGGCGTGGCCCTTGGTGAGGAATTCAAGGGCAAGGGGGCCAACTTTTATTTGGGACCATGTGTTGGACCTCTAGGAAGGAAACCGAGAGGCGGCCGAAACTGGGAAGGCTTCGGAACTGATCCCGTTCTTCAAGCTATTTCCGCAGCTCAGACGATTAAAGGTGTACAAGATCAGGGGGTGATTGCTGCGTTGAAGCATTTAATCGGGAATGAGCAAGAGCTTTACCGCATGTACAACCCGTTCCAGCAAGCCTACAGTTCGAATATCGGCAAGTCTACCTAAGTAAACAACAAAACATCATTGGAAATTTGCAACTAATAGGGTAATAGACGACCGAGCACTACACGAATTATACCTTTGGCCATTTGCAGAGGGCGTAAAGGCCGGAGTTGGTTCAATAATGGCCTCATATAACGCTGTACGTTGGTCTATGATTATGCTTCAGCCCGAGCAATTTGTATTGATTGAATTATAGGTCAATGGCTCTGCTTCTTCTCAGAACAGTTATATTCTCAACGGGCTGCTGAAGGATGAACTTGGCTTCCAAGGTCTTGTCATGACCGATTGGCTTGCTCAGATTTCCGGCGTTGCCTCTGCCCTCGCCGGCCTCGACATGTCTATGCCCGGAGATACGATTGGAAACAATGTACCTCTGTTTGGCTACTCTAACTGGATGTACGAACTTACACGATCGGTCCTAAATGGTTCTGTGCCTGTTGATCGATTAAACGATATGGCTACGCGTGTTGTTGCTACGTGGTATCAACTTGGCCAAGATAAGGACTACCCACCTCCTAACTTTTCTTCAAATACCGCGGATCGTGAAGGGCCGCTCTATCCTGGTGCCCTCTTCTCTCCTGTCGGTGTCGTCAACGAATACGTCAATGTCCAGGCCGACCACAAAGTCGTCGCTAAACAAGTGGCTCAAGAGGCGATCACGCTACTAAAGAACAATGGCAGCTTCCTGCCAATATCAACTTCAGCACCTCTCTTCGTATTCGGGACTGACGCACAGGCTGACCCTAAGGGTATCAACTCGTGCACGGACAAGAGCTGCAACAGAGGTCTGCTAGGTATGGGATGGGGTTCGGGATCAGCCAACTACCCCTATATAGACGACCCAATTAGTTCGTTCAAGCGAAAAGCGAAAAACGTTACGTATTACGCTACAGATAGCTTCCCCTCCGTCCCAGAGCCGACTGGGGACGATGTCGCTGTCGTGTTTATCACCTCTGACTCTGGTGAGAATACATATACTGTTGAAGGCAACCATGGAGACCGCGACGAGAGTGGACTTAAGGCATGGCATAACGGCGATGAGCTTGTTCAGAAAGCAGCCGCGAAGTACAGCAACGTTGTTGTCGTTGTTCACACCGTTGGCCCCATCATTGTGGAACCTTGGATCGATCTTCCTTCAGTCAAAGCCGTGTTGATAGCCCATCTTCCCGGACAGGAAGCTGGCGATTCGCTAACTGAGATCATATATGGCGAAGCAGCCCCTAGCGGCCACCTTCCATACAGCATTCCCGTTTCCGAAAACGATTATCCTGACAGTCTCAACCTGGTTGCCACGCCTCTTAGCCAGACGCAGGATACGTACTCGGAAGGCCTATACATCGACTACCGATACTTCAATAAGCACAATATCAAGCCGCGCTTTGCTTTCGGTCACGGCCTTAGCTACGCGTCCTTCAGCTTCTCTAACGCCACCATCACCCGCGTAACGGAGCTATCGGAGGTTCCACCGGCTCGACCAGCAAAGCCCAAATCTCCCGTTGCCAGCCTCAATACCACCATCCCATCTGCGTCGGAAGCGTACTTCCCCGACGGCCTCGACCGCATCTGGAGGTACCTGTACCCGTGGCTGCCCAACGGCGAAGCCGACGCGGCGTACAAGGCCGGCGCGGGCGGCGACAAGAATTACCCGTACCCGGAGGGCTACTCGGACCAGCAGAAGGAAGACGCGCCGCCGGCGGGGGGCCCCAGCGGCGGCAACCCGGCGCTCTGGGACGTCGCGTACACGGTCCAAGTCACGGTGACGAACACGGCCGAGCAGGGCACGACGGGCGGCAAGGCGGTCGCGCAGGCGTACGTGCAATTCCCCGCGGACGCGAGGGTCGACACGCCCGTCATCCAGCTGCGTGACTTCGCGAAGACGCGGGCCGCGCTCGCGCCCGGGCAGAGCGAGACGCTGGTGCTGAGCCTCGCACGCAGGGACGTGAGCGTCTGGGACGTCGCGCGGCAGAACTGGGTGGTGCCGAAGCCGGACGGGAGGTACAAGGTGTGGATCGGGCAGGCGAGTGACGATTTGCCGGTCGTGTGCTACTCGGATAGCTTGGAGTGCGAGACGGGCGTCGAGGGAGGGCCTTCCGTTTAGAGGATGGGGGGTAGTTGGCGCCTGATGAATGAGGACGAGGATTGGAGCGGGAACGGGACGATTGTGATGGTGGAGACGGGGATGGGGTTGGGGATGGGAGGGTGGAAGATGAATGATGTGTTTATAGAGTTATAAATCATAAGGCTTTGTAACTATTTAATATTGTTTCTTGGTATCGTTGCTTAGGCACTTGCCTACCTAATGGATGAATTAATGAATGGGCCGTATATGTCTTGATGCTCTTCTGAAACTTCGTGAAGTGTGAAGTACATACATACCTTGGCTGAGATTATTGAAAATTAGAACCTTTCTGTTTTATATACCTACCTCCTACCTAGGTACACAGCACTGATATCCCTTTCTTGCAACCGTGATGATGCTTTGGGTTAGAGGTTATAGAAACATACCCCTTCGATTTATGATCTAATAAGTGTAACGCCATTAATTCGGAATACACATATCACACAGAAAGTTGCTTTGACGAATTGGCTTCTGAGGTTTCGGGTTTAGAGATGGTTCTTGGAATATACAGTTCTATATGCGGTATATATAATAAATACACCTCCCTCCTCTCCCTTCTCTACCCCGGCACATAAGGACCACACAGCCAAAGCTAGCACCTAATTCCCCCCCCTGGCCTCGCCTCACGCCTTAGTATTCTCCTCCCACGGGATCCTCACAGAAAACCTGGATGTCAAGAACATTTGATCTTCACGTCTTCGACGACCAAAGGCCCTATCCATCCATCCATCCATCCCCATATCTATATCTATACCCCGAGGTAGGTAAATAAATAGACAGGGTAGGGTACCGAAGGGGAAGCACGACGGTATGGAAGACTGGTTACAGGCTATAGGCTATTTATTTATCTATTTACCTATCTATTGCGACAGGCTAGACCTCTTCTTCTCCTTGCGGCGCTGCAGCGTCTTGCGGCCGTTGTGCGTGCGCAGGCGGCTGAGGAACCCGTGGCGGCGCTTGCGCACGAGGCGGCTGGTGCGCGCCATCGTGGGGCGCGGGCCGAAGCGCACCTGCGCGGCGCCCGACAGCGACGGGTGCGAGGTCAGGGCGGTTTTGGGGACTAGGTCCGGGGTGACGGCTCCCGCGGCGGCGGCGCTGGGTTGTGGGGTGAAGGATTGGAGGAGAGGAGAAGTGTTGGGGTTGCGGAAGACGGGGCGCGAGGACCACGCTTGGAGCGTGGGCCGGAGGGTGGGGAGGGAGGAGAATGTTCTAGGAAAGAGAGAGAGAGAGTTAGAATAAAATGTTGGCTCGAAAGGTAGGTACCTAGGTAGGAAGGAAGGAATAACGGTACGGACCTTCGCGTGGCGAGCGCTTGTATGGACGGAGTCGCTTTCGTTAGGACATTCTTGCTGGCGCCGCAAGCTCGCGGCAGCGCGGCTAAAGCGAAAGACCGCATGGCTGTGTGTATATGTGTAAGAGGATGGACCGAGGCGAGAACTTCGTATCGTATCGTATCGTGAGGTATGTATGATTCAATGTTCAACGTATCTTCATGCTCCTCTTCCTATCTGTCCACCTTTCTCAAGTTCTCGGGTAAACAAGTCCTCCTACCCAATCACCAGTATTCGGACCGTCGGGACGGGTTGCAACTGGGGTTATGAGGTGAGCTTGTTGTGGTCGTTCGCTCTCGCGGGGTTTTGCGATGAGGCTTCTCGCGATGCCGAAAATTCGGATAGAGGATTAATTCGGTAGATTTATCGACCGGCCCGTCAAAGTTTGGGTACAGCTGTCGTCTTATCGATAAGAAACATTAGGTACGTACGTACGAAGTATTCACACAGATTGATTGGCAGATTTTATGGCTTCACGGGACTAGGTACGAATTGATGGTGACGCCGCGACGGAAGCCGGGCATGTACATTCATTAATAGCAGTGTTTATAAGGAGATGCAGGCCTAGAGGTCAATATATATTGTGAGAATGCCATACTTATATACTTAATACGTACGTAGAAGCTTGATTCCATTAGGTCCCTAATCATTGCGCAATCGCCAGTTCGAAGCTGAATACCTTCAAAAGCACTTTTTAAACACGGCAAGACAAATCTCTACTTGGGAACTAGGGGACTGATTACATTGTTTAAACGCCCTCGGATGGTACGGATATCTACTGTAACGTGTCAAATGCATTTTATTACGGTGGTAAAAGAGCTACGAAATAATTCCTCTTCCTCATGGCGCTGCTCAAGGCAACGATCATAACGAAAAAGATGTGAAGAAAGCAAAAATTGCGCTCCCTACGATCCACGAGGGATAATAGAAGAGGGTCAGCTCCGCGCTGTGCAATGCAGGCTTCTCCCCTTAAGAGCCCTCATTCTTGAGCGAGGGTTCTTGGAACAAGGTAAGTATGAAGAAGAAAAGGAAAAAGAATTGGGAAGATTGGGGGAGGGTGACCAGATATTTATACCTTTTCTGAGGGCGGTGAGTGGGGCGGGAAACAAAGCAAACAAAGTAAGTGCGGCAGAATTTTCGGAGCAGGCACCTGCCAAGGCAATGATCCAGTTGGAACTTAGCAAACAATCTTTTTGGCAGCTACCCCACCATCGGGAATGTAAAATGGCCTGTGCATACAAATTCAAAGAGAAGGTGCACGTACCAAGTTAAGCACGCTTAAGATGACGCTAACTCGACGTTGTACAAACGCTAGCATTGATTCGGTAATTCAATTTGCTGCTCTCGACGCGTTGCCTATACCTGAAGCGACCCTAGTTTTCGCGTTTAAACGCGTTTTCCGATCCACCAGCTAATCCTGGACCACAGTTCAACTCATCCACTCCTTCACCAATTGACTTCTACTAACCAATGCATATATTGGTAAAGCCTCACATTACTGCAAGAGAGTTGCTAAGTTTGCCTATCTGCATCTACCTACGATCGCTTATACTACATGATATAAATAATCCGTATCGATCCCGATTACCTCTATCAACCCAATCTCAGATAGACAACCAATTTATTAACTTTGGTCCTGCTGTAATGTACTAGGAATAGGGAGCTCGCCCTTGAATCAAATTACCTCAATGCCTTTATTTTCGATATCGCCAAATATCCAGGAGTCACCTAAAACACCGAGAAAAAGGACACACGAGGACTTTGTCGAAACTCCTAGCCAGCTCATCATAGGGGAGCCTTCTCATTTGGAGACTTCGGGAAAACTAGCATCTCCTGAAATGTCTCTTCCTGCTATCAACACTCCCCGTGAGTATTTCACTTCCTTTTACTCTATACCTCGCATATATATCTTAGGTAGTTATTAATACTTATTATATAGAATTGCCTACGTCAATGGTAAAAATGAATGCTGCAACTCCAGGAAGTAGCCCCGCGGCTTTAACTGAAGCCGGATCCAGTCCGGCAATGAGGAACTCACCCTCACCGAACAAGACACCATTATCATCGCCCTCAAAATCAAGCGCCATGCCTACCCAACCCAACCAGACAGATTCTCTTTCTGTCTCTACAACCCAAAACGATCAGGGAGCCAAGCGAAAGCCCCCGTCGACCATCGAGGAAAAGTTAAACGCCGCCAAGCGACAGAAAATAGGGGGATCTAAGGCAGCAGAAAAACTCGACAAGGAAGAGGCAAAGGCTGCCGAGAAAGCTAAAAAAGAGAAAGAAGCCGAAGAGAAGCGTCAAGCGAAAGAGGCGAAAGCGGCTGAGAAGGCGAAGAAGGAAGCCGAGGCAGCTGAGAAGCGCCAGAAGAAGGAAGCGGAAGCCGCTGAAAGGGCTAAGAAGAAGGCTGCTGAAGAGGCGGCGAAAGCAGCAAAACTAGCTGAGAAGGAAGCGGCGAGGCGTAAGAAGGAAGAAGCGCAAGGACGACAACAGAATATGTTAGCGACTTTCGTTCAGCGATCCCTCAATGCACCCCCAAAGAAGACCACCGAGCAGGCCACGAACCTTTCCGCAGAACCCAATGACGCTGCTAGTTCACCGGAAACCAAAGCTAAGCCTGAAAAATCGGCATATGAGCGAGCATTTCAGCCCTTTTTTGTTAAGCCCGACGTGACGCTGGCCCCGCCACCATTTGAAATGGACGAGGAGACCAAAAATGACAAATCCGGAATTCTGGATGAGTATATTCGTGGCGAACGAGGCGAATTCAACCCTAAGCCGTTCAATCCATCAGAAACTTTCAAGCTAGCATTCACGCGGAAGCGTGGCGTCATTCCGCCGAGCGTAAAGAGCATCATGGAGAATGTATATAATGATGCCGAGCGGACAGGTGCAAGAACAGAGTCGCAGACCAAAGAACTAGCCGAAAACGCCCAGGAACAACTCAACGCCATTACGGCAAAATACTTGTCGTTCTACGAAGACGTCAGACCACCATATTTTGGAACTGTTACTACCCCTATTGAGGCTAACAAACTTCGTTCTCTGGCTCGCAGGCCAGTCGGAAAATTCCTCCCACTGAATTACGATTATGATTCTGAAGCAGAATGGGTGGAAGATGACGGTGAAGATCTAGACGACGAAGATGACGATGACGATTCCCATGATGGCGACGGGGAGATGGAGGACTTCCTTGACGATTCCGAGGATCAACCTGCTGTCACCCGACCCAGTTTCCTTGGTGAAAAGGAGCCGATTTGCACTGGCATATGCTTTGAAGATCAAACGAGGGTTGGCCCCTGTGCTACTACATATCAATATCAACTTGAGTTGCTACTAGGTGAGTTCAGGCAAATGATCAACGACGCCCCTCAAACTAATACAGGATATAGATACACCTGAGCAACCCTCGGGAATTGACCCCTTTTCAACTTCCTACTGGCCAGCTCCGGCAAAGAGGGCTATAACAAAGAGCACAGTTACATCTGCACCTGCCACTTCAACATCCATGCCTCCACCTGTTGTGCCTACAGATGCCTTTTCGGCGCTCGGTTCGGGTCCAGCCAGCTCTCTTCAGGCAGCAGAGAGCCAAAATTTTGTTCCGAAGGACGTCTTTGATGAGTTCAGGCGTGCTATCATCAGCGACGAGCTCAAAGAGTTTACTAAGGGAACAATCATAGAGATGTTGACGAAGAAGTTCCCAAGCTGTACGAAGGCACAAGTGAAAGTGACATTGGACAAAGTCGCTCACCGCATTAGTATCCCGGGCGCCAAGAAGAATGTCAAGCAATGGGCACTTCTACCGGGATTCGCCTTGTGATTTTGTTTTTGAGTTCGGCATAGCACGTCCATATTGAGAAGGGCTGGCGTTATGATACCACTGCGTGATAGAAGAGAAATCTTCTGCTCAAGGAAATTCTGCATGGACCAGGGGAGTAGAGTAAACTGCTGCATTGTTGTATTAACAATTGCCCATTGCGCTGTCCGAGGCCCCGGCAGAGGCATTGTTCGAAAGTTATTTCTTCCTTTCCTAAATTATAAAAGGAAAAAAAAAAAGCCCACATCACATCTACTGTACACTTTGTGTTGAGATTGCGAAATCTCGTCGGCGGGGACCAAGTGCGCGCGATCTGGTTTGGCTGGCAGGGAGGGAGAGAGGGATTCGGAACGGCTGGCGGAACTGGTTTCGAGTTTTCGAAGGCGTGGTCAAAATTAATGACACGGAGCGGACGAACTGCTTTCGGTTTCAGTGTGCTTCTTTTTCCTGCTCTTCGGTGACGTGACGTGATGTACTGTATTTGTGTGGTGGGTTACTTTTGTGATTGTGGTGATTGTAAATCATGTTTCTTCGTCCCTTTACCATTGATTCTGAATAAGTTTTGTCAGTTCAGCTTTGCGGTCCGCAGTTGGTTTGATATGGTGATAATCATCGTGGTGCTATTACTTCTAATCAGTTGGGTTATTTGGAAATAGCTTGCCCGTATAAGCTTAAAGAGGTCGGATAAGGACTTGTACGGACTAGCTGAGGTTCTAGGGTAGTAAATAAAGGAGACCGTGTCCATGCTCAATTTTTCAATACCGTAAACCACGTTTATGTACCTGAGGTATAGCAGAGCAGAAAGGGAAGCCGAAAAGGGGTACATCGTTTCCCGTAGACATATATATCCCTCTTCACTAAACTTCCATAACACTTCTTCGGCGGTTAAGGCATCTCGGATAAATAATCTCAGTCTGCCAAATACTCGTGGTAGACAGACTATGTACATTCGCAGGAACATATCTTAATAGACGCTAATGAGGAAAGGAAAGGGAAGGAGACAAATCAGATATTTTCGTCTTCGTTAAGCCTCTCCACCTCGGCTGACACCTTTAGGGCTTAGTTGAAGGTGACAAAACCTCTCTCTCTCTCTCGTGCCTTGAGGCCTTTGCTATGAAGAAGGAGTAAATATATAAGGTAGTGTATATGTACAATAGATCAGACTCTAGTCGAGAGGATAGTGGAACGGTTACATTGGAGTTGACATCTTTGCAATGCCATCTTAGGTACATACCAAATAATTAGCCTTGCGTTCTACGCGATACGTTATACTCCAACCTGATATATCTCAAGAGAGCCAAAACATCCCCTCCCCTTCCCCGTAGATTCGTAGTCGGAGCAATCATACGAAATAAACCAAGCCATTTCTTTTTCTTCCTTTCGGGGAAAGTAAGGCTCGATCGCAGGTGAGTTAGTTACTCCTATACAAACACCTAATGTACCTATACATCCTACTACCTTGGGTAAACTTCTCAACTACGGTTAACTACTCGTGCCCTAAACGCTGTTTGAGGAGGGTCATACATGAACCTCGTCCCGAAAATACAGCTTTACACGGTTTACGTGAAAGGCACTTCTTTTTGCTTTTCAAACCTGAACTTCTCATCTCATCTCATTCATCATACAGTTTAGGTGATTAGCCCCTTCGCCAACCAGCTAGTTCTATTAGTAGTAACGTCCAAATGTTTTCTTTTCTTTGATTTTTTATGATACAACTACCTACTAACCTAACCTACCTAAAGTTATGCCTACCTAACCTAGGTGCTCAACTATACAATACATCAAAGCGTGGAATCATACAGCGGCCCGACGTCCCATCTCATCCCATCTCGTGAGCCTCCCCCTCCTTCCTCACCAAGCAGAGAAAAAAAAGGGGGTTGCATGGTATTTCGTTTCGTTTTCGTTTTTTCCACCAGACAACATTCAGCACCACACACATACATACACGCATGACGAAACAAAAACACCCGAACATATCCGCAAGAGCCTGTTAGAATCGTATGATACCCTCCCCCTTTTCCGTAATGTACACTCACATACATATACACACACACGCACACATATGCAGACGTCACCGACATCTGGAAAGTTTAGTTACACATCATCCTAGACCTGACTCCTGGGGACGAGAAAAGAGAGTAGATCGGAGAAGCCACTTGAAGAGGAAGTTTTTTTTGGCCTTTCGTGTAATAGCTAGCAAAGCAAGCAAAGACAGCGCCGTCGTCGAGCGAGGAGACTTTTTGATGCGAGACGAAGCCCCCAATGAGGCACCAGTGAGGCACCAACAAGTAGCACGACCCAACAAACAATAAAATTGGCCTGTTTCCGCATTGATCAGAACACTTCTACCCTAATACAATTCACCGCAGGTTTTTTTTTCTAAGTCGGGACCGTCCTCACCGGAATGGAATGGATGATGATGATGATGATTTCTGCGCGCGGGAAAAACCATGCATTTTTCGAACGTTCAATTGCTATTTCTGTGACTCGACTAAGGCTTCTTACCCCCTTTTTTTTAAAAAAAAAAAAAAAAAAAGTCGAGCGCATTCTTCCATGATTATACTACGATCGTTGCTCATCTTGCGGCTGACGGTTTTTGTTATTGTTATGGGTCCGCTTGTCGCCGTGGTTCTGCGCCGCCTTTTCGCGGCGCATCTCGTCGATAGCAGAGCGCTGCTGCATACTTGCGTCATGGCTTTTAAACTCGATGCGGGTTTCGGGTGGACAATTTAGCACGCGCCGCATCGTCTCGCTGAGTATTTGTAAGTAAGAGATCTAACGAAAGATATAGCGAATAGACGTTACCGAATCTTGAGGACTTTCTGTCCAGTGCTACGAGTCCAGATGCTCAGCACGTCCTCCCCGTTGCGCATACTAAGTACAACACCGCAAAGCTCGTCGGCCTCGTCCCCAAATTGATCGCCGACGCAGGCCATCAGGAGATCTTCATAATATCGATCAGCGACACCCTTCTTCAGTCGCAGAACCCACTTCCCGCCCAGCTTATTTTCGTCGTCTTCCCATATTGGACGGATACCCTTTTTAAAGAGATGGTAGTCCGATACGGTGGGTAGCGCCGAGGGTCGTTTCAAGTGTGAATAGGCCAACCAGAATTCTTCCGCAGTCTTAACAGACATCATGGCGTGTAATGTCTTGTCGTATTCGATATAACCATTAGCCTTGGTAATGGGCGGCCTGTACCAAAAGACCCAGGTGTCGCGGAGAGGGTGTGTCGTCGCCGCGGACGCCTGCTGAGCGCTCGTCTCAGAAATAGAGCCCATGGAAGGTTTGTTGACGGCGGTGGATCGCATAGCATCTTTCGTCGTCTTCTCGGAGGAGGGAGTCTTAGCACCAACCGCACCCATGGCTTGCTCGAAGGGATTCCCTTGAGACTTGGGGGTTTTGGCGGAACCGAAGGAGGCGAATGCGCCGGATCCGAGGCCAAACTGATTAGACCCTCCGGCGCTAGTAGGCGACGTTAGGGTGCTGCCGGGGGTCGTTGCGCCGAAGGGGTTCGAGCGGCCGTGGGATGAGGTGGCGCCATTCCTGCGTGCTAGACTCGAGAAGTCCCGCGGGGTTGTGGAATTATCGGATTGACTCGGCGTGGACAGAGAGAGACTGGTAACACTACAGGAATAGAAGTGGTTAGTGCTCAAGACGAAGCGGGAATCTCAGCACGGACAAGGTCGGACTCACTTGCTGCGGCGAGTCCATATCGATTCCTGTCTATCCATGTTGAAGTGCTAGCACGTACGTCGGTCGCTCCCAGTAGGACGAGTATGTTGAAACTGCCCAGTACCACCAATACACCGTCTACAATTCGAAGAAAACAAATTCAAACTCGTCAAACCACGCTTTTATGTAATGGTACCTTTTGGAATGCTTCGCTGATATGATACGCCACGTGCGGATAGTTGGTAGTTGGTAATTCGGTATTTAGTAGTTGGTGGTAGTAGTAGTAGTAGTTGATAGTTGATGGCGGGTTGTGGGTGGTTAAGCTGTGCAGTTATAAAAAGATGTAAGTGGATGTGAGTGACGATGATGATCTTGAAGACTATAGGAGGAGAGGCGAGAGAAGTAGAAAAGACTTTCGAAATTTGAGTTGGTACTGCTATACGGTATTTTTAGCAAAGTAAAGTCAATATCGGGAAGAGAGAAATGGATTCTTTGCTTGGTATATTTGTATAGGTAAGTTATTAAAAGTTATTCGAAGAGCTCATTCGTGGGGAAGAAGTTTCAAAGTTCCAACTTTTCCAACGATCCTATGGCGTATAATAAATTGGGTTTAGCTTCCACTTTTTTTTGTCGCTCTTTCTCATTGCTTAACTTCAATTTAGCCACCTGACCGCCAGGTGATCCCGAGTGGCAGCCTAGGCAGGTTCTGCACGGCTCTTGCCCTCTATGGTAATTAAGTCAGTGGAGCCATGCAAAAGTGGAGCCACTCCGAAAAATTCGGGAAGTTTTTAACTTTTTTTTCACATGGCGACTTTTTTCTTTCTTTTTTTTTCTCTCCTTCTTTCATCATAACATTTGAAAAGACCACCAACTCAAATCATCGCCAGCTTGCCATTTTGATTTCCACGCTGCTGACGACTCCGATGTGTGTGTCGAGAGTAACTTCAACGTATCCCTTGTTTAAAACCATCATCACGAGGGCCCTTAACTGTTGGCTACCATGATGCGGTGATGACCTGAAACAAGATCTGGACAGTCCATTACCATATTAAAAAATTGTATAGACCTATTGGTTGGTTTCCCTAATAATGAGGTATAACGGAGTTGTATGGAACTTGTAGGTAAGCTCTGTTTAGTTTCTTGCCGTGTTTTATTTAACATTAGCCCTGATGACCTCTCTTTGAGCCTGGTAATCCAATAGTGCTCAGCCCATCAAATGTGCAATCTGTCGTCACGATAGTCTGCGCAGTGGTTGAGCTTGCGGAAAAATTGGCGTGGACTGAACATTGTGCCACAGAATGTCTACATTGACAGGAATCCGCGCGAATATCTCCAATACTAATAAGAAGATGCAGTATCCAAAACTTATATCGCTGTATCACGTAGTATATAGGGCCAGTGTCCCTTACCTCCTGGCAAACGTACTATAAGATTTTGATACTCTGCGTATGACTATTAATAATCCTGCAAATGGGAAAGATTTAATAAACCAGCAGAGCATATATACTTATCTTGCCCCGTCACATTTCGATTGGATGCACATGCACATACTGGATAAAATTCAAGTAAAATATTCCGTATATCGTAGGCACTTAATTCAAGCTGAACAGTTACGGATGTGGTCAAAATGCAATACCATTCGCGGATCAACCTCTATACGCACCAACCAACTGAGTTCTATAATCGTCCAAGGAAACAATTTGTAGGAAAGGTCATGTCATCCTCCAACACGACGGAAATCCTTCCCCAGTGCATCGCAACTATAATTCTTCCATTTTTTCTTTCTTTAGGATGTCAAACCTCGGTCCTAGACTGTTACTGACACGTGCCGGTAGTCATGTCAACTTGACGAACTTGTATCCACTAGAGCATGTGTGGATTACTCTGCTTGTCCATGCTCATAGCAGTGGCCCGATCAAATAAGCTAGGTATCTATTTACTGGTCCTTGCCAAAGGAGTCGGCCTTGGCACGCAAGTTGGCAGCGGTAGATCCAGACTCGGAGAAGTGTCGTCCAAGCATTGGCTGGAGGAATGATCGGAAGATAAGTTGGGCGCCGCTACGTAACGTTTAGTCAGACGAGGCATCGAGAAGTCATAGAATAAATAAAAGACATACCTGAACATGGGCAGCGAAAGCCAAAGCAAGAAGACGAACTTGAAGGTATAGTAGAAGGGGAACCAGTAGACAACGCTGACAGCGCTCTCAATGACGCTGTAATATAAAATTAGCAATGGATGGTGGTACAAGGGGGGCTGCGCAGTTATTCGCTCACGAGAAGAGGGCAAAGACAACCCAGTACTGAAGCAAGTTAGCCAAGGAAGAAAAAAAAGTTAGTTCAAGTCAATGAAGGGACATACGGTCAACCACTGAGTATCATCAGCCTTGGTGGCAGTGAAAAGAGCAGCCAGAGAGTAGTATCCGGGGACGACGAAGCCGGCGAAGTTGGTTAGGAGTTGACCACCGAGGTTGAAGATAATGAAGAACAAGTAGAGGGAGGCTACGCCGAGAACAGCATAAACCTTGGGAACACCAAATTGCTTTTCGAGGTTGTTGAGAGCAGGGTATTTAGAAAGCTATCTCTTGTTAGTCTTCAGAAGCATGCGACCCGGTCGATACCTTATATTTAGCATAACTAGCTATGATATATGATATATATGATGCGGCGTACCTCACGGTCGAGCTGGGCTATATAGTGCTGAACACGATCCTGTGCAGACATTTTTTCTGATGATCTATTCGTATTTATGCGGTAGAGCTGGAAGGGGGGGAGAGGGGGGTTCGAAGAGAGATGTTTCTGGACTTGGACTTGGAAGTTGATAAAAGACAATATGGGTTGCGCAGAGGCGGGGGAATGAAGCGGCTGCTGATGTCAAAGCAAAGTTAGCTGTGGTAATATTTTAGGGTTAGCGAAAAGCCACCTTGGCTTAATATGTACACGTAGGAATGGGACAAGGCGGCCAGGGATGTGGGAATCCGGAGACTGCCGGACTTACGGCAAGGGAACAGGTGGAGTTTTTGCTATGCTGGTATTTATTTGCTGGTACTATGCTAATATATGTATGAGAAGAGGTATTCGCACAATGTTGGTTGATATCAATTAGTTAATTAACTAAACGTAACTACGTATGCTTTTATAAGCTGTTTTTTTGAAGGTTGCGAACTGGATACTATGTATCTAGTGATGATGGAATTGTAAAAAATCGGGATAACCGAATTGTGGGAAAGGAGAGCAGCAAAATTACGTAGTGGGTAGGATAGGAAGGAAAATGATGACGGAAGGCGAGCCACGGCTGCGAAATCAATTTACCGTAATAGCTAATTGATTGGATTAGGTAGGCCGGATAAGAAGGCTCATCCGCGCTGGTAGGTCATAGGTAAGTACCTAACCTACCTGAGCTCATATACCTACGGGTACCTAACCTTCAGCGCTAAATTTTACGTGAAACATTGTCTCATACGTACATTAGAGGTAGGTTAGGAGGTAGGTATTTAGAATACGTATCTTACGGAGGGATTCTGCGTACCCCGCCCCGGTGATTACAACGGGCAGAGATTGGGATTGTGAGAAATTAGGTATGTGTAGGTACCTGCTATGAAGGTCCAGATATTTAATGTCTTCATTCTCAGCTCTGCTCCATTTGTAAAGCTTGTAAATACCCAAATTGATGAGATTACCCAGGTCCCATCAAGTGTAGGACGCGGTGCTAATTTTAAGGTAAACGGAAAATACATGTATTAGGTCCACTAGGTACCTACTAGCAGGTGCGGCTGCAGCTTTGCATGTAAATATTTTTTTTGTTATTGCTGACACGTGACGCAATTGAACTTAGTGCGGCTTTCTTCAAACTTGTTATCCTCATCCTTGCTCTTTGATTTGTTTACCAGCCACACATAAGTAACCTTTTTACGTGACTTTAGCTTTAGCTTGGCTTCTAATGCTAGCTGCTTAGGTAACGCATACATCCAGCCATCCACAATTGAGCAATCAACCGTTGCCCCGACGAGAGTTTTCTTGTTGTTTGGCTAAGTCGTCTCCGCCATTTTCTGCCTCTCATCCAACAGAATCGTCAAGGGCTTGTCGCTCGGTCTGATGCAGCATCGCGACATTGAACATCTTACTTCATGCACTAAACTCGAGTAGTGTTTTTACTTTATCTTTATTCTGTATCTTTTTTATTATCGCCTCGTTGCGCGCTCTTTTTCGCTGCTACTCGTAACTTCTTTGCCTCTTGTTTATTGTGGTCGCATCTCACTTGTTCGGGGGGGTAAACAACCCTAAGCACATGGAGACTGGTAAGCCCTCCTTACTATTTCCACCTTACAATAAATGCTGGTGGAATATAATATAATGTCCACTCTGATATCACGTCAATTCGATGCTTGGTTGTCCTTTGAAAAATATTTATGTGTCCTAATTATGACCTAGACCCTCAGCCTCTTGAAGCCGGCGCAATGTCGCAGCATAACCAGCGACAGAGAACCATGTCGAGGGCATCTACCGCCTCAATCCACAGCGCCGCGACGCAACCGACCCTTGACCAGCAAGCCTTGATGGCGCACCACGGCAGTTTCACAGATCAGTGGGTTCCGAATGACCACGCACCCCAAAGAGATATGTCGTCAGCGGTTCAACCCATGTCTACCGGGGATATGATGCTTCGTCCTGCCTCTCAGCTGCAAGTCGGACAAGTCGGACAGTCGTTTTCGATGAACTCTAGCATGCACTCCGCCGTTGGGCTTGCTATGCCGTACGCTCAACATCCCAACCTGCATCCTGCTGTATCAGCCGAAAGCTTCGCAGGAAACACGAGTTTCACAGACGCAGAGAGCCAGATGATGGAACGTGATGAAGCTGACGAAGTTGACTCGCTTGCTGGACGGTCACAAGGCGCGAAACCTGCTTCCAGCCGTACCAGCGCCAACAACGAGCTTGAGATGCGCCAGTTGTTTCACGCTAATAAGAACCGCACTCTTGCGGATGTTGCGAAGGAGCTGCACGGGAATGAGCGTGGTCCTAATTCCGAACGCGCTCGTCAGATTTTCGCTATGTTATGGTAAGTTATCTAAGTGTGCTAAGGACAAAGTGTTAGTTACAAGTAGGACGTGCTCTGACTCGACGTAGGATCAACGGTGTTTGTACCAAGGGAAAAGGTTCGGTACCTCGAGGGCGTGTTTATGCCAACTACGCATCCCGCTGCGCGACGGAAAGAATAACTGTCTTAAATCCTGCGAGTTTCGGGAAGCTTGTTAGAGTGCTTTTCCCGGGCTTGAAGACTCGAAGACTCGGCGTCCGCGGAGAATCAAAATACCACTATGTCAATTTTAATTTACTAGACGATCAGCCTACATCCAGAGAAGCCTCTATACAGCCCGCGATCCCCTTCCCGGAACCGGCCCCTTTTGCGCGTTCTTTGAGGTCTGTGTCACCCGCTACCAACTCATTTGCACTTCCTGTTCTCATGCCCAACAGTGCCGCGCAGTCTCAATCGCCCGCGTTGGACGCGCCACATTCAGCTCTTCCGTCGCCTACGCTCGTGCAGCAACCTGATACTCCCGCTGGCTCGCGATCAACGACTTCCAGAACGCACAGCTTATATAACCAATGGGACGTTAAACATCTCGATCAGTTACGTTCATCTAACGCTAAAACAACTATACGCTTAGCATTCGTAGAGCCCGAGCATCCTTCTAAGTCAGCCGGTCCCATTGTTCTACCTAGGATCGAGCCATTTTTACCAAACGGAACGGACCCAGACGCAGCAATGTCTCTGCATGCTCTCTACCGATCCCATTGTACATCGCTAGTAGAATGTATTCGCTATTGCAAGGAGAAGGCGTTCTTCCACCTTTACACATCTTTTCAGGGCACGCTCACCACGCCCGTACAGAAACTCTTTTCTCATCCCAGCATCGCCCCGTGGATAGAAGAGTGTGATTACGTGCTTTACCAGCGCATGATCCAGATCATCTATATCCTCGTTTTACAAGCCATCCCCCAGCCTGTATTGAACGCATTCGAGAAGATATCGCATCAATTAGTCGCCCACATACGCGACTCTTTCCAGGGACAACCGAGACACGTGGTCCAAGCTAAGGAGGCCCCTGCTACGATTTTTGCCGGTCTACTCGATCGCACTCTACGAGTTAACCTTACAGCTCACGCGGCAGCGAATATGCTTTCCATTTCTGCCAATAGGGACCAGATGTATATGGACTGGATGGAGGCAATCAAGGTTCGCAAGCTTGCCGAATGCATCCCCACCAGAGGCATGGATGATCTAGTTGACCTCTTATATCATGAAATCCGAGACTTGATTGATCCCGTCAACATCCCTTGGAGTGAAGAGTGTAAATATATCTACGGAGAGATCGCACTCAACAACAAACGTGGATTACAGCCGTTAAATGACTCCAATGGTGGCTCGGAGTCCTTCCTTGAGCGATGGGTCGACTTCATACTATCGCTCCCGAAACGTTTCCCCTATGCCACGGCGACAGACATTGTTTGGGGTGTGCAGCGCGTTGGGCTGGAGGTCATGCGAGAACTTACTATGCGCCAGAGTATTAGTTTTGGGTCGTGGTGGGTGACGAAGTGCTGGCTCGACGAGATGGTTTCGTTCCTCGCCGAATACGGTGGTTTCATGAAGTCGAAGAATTCACTGCCGCCAGTTGCCAGCGAGATCAAGTCCCAGGTGGATGGTAATAACGCTGCCCTTGGAGGCTCGCGCGTCGGTAGCGACAATCAAGGAGCTGCGCGTGTCTCCCAGCCGCAGCCGGATCGTGCCCCGTTCCCGTCTCAGCTCGAAGTCAACGGGGCAGACTCTCTCCACATGTCAGCGAATCACGACGACAGCGGAATCGGGATTAGAACTCCAGAAGAAGATTTCCCTATCGAAAAATTCGAGTATCAGGAGGAGGGACAGGATCAAAGCTTACATTCTCTCAACTTGGACGAGCCCGTCCAATAGGGTCGGCAGGGGCATCCCGGGGTTTAGAGACTATATATTAATAGTCGGTGTTGGTGTGGTTGTTTTGACTCTTTGCCTCGGGTATGGTATATGACCTACTTCCACGAAGGTATGATGGTATGACCGAACACGATAGACAGTCAGGGCCCCATGGTTTGAGGATTTCGGGGCATGTACTAGGTCGCAACGTTTAGGTGGTAATTTTTATAACGGGCAGGGCGCACATTTTCGAGGCAGGGAAAAAGAAATTTCAGGGTTGGACCGGTACAGTTGGTCCTTGATTTCACCAGGAGAAAGTGCATCTACGGTCAGGATGGAGGTGTCTTTTTTTTTTCTTGGCCCCGGGTGTATAAGGGGCGGCATGGATATTCGCCTTGGTATTCGGATAGGATAGGAGAAGATCCGAAGGCTTATGGCCTGTATGATACCCGTAGCTATTTACGTCTATCCACGCGTAGTCAATTACGCACTGAGAGATTGTTTATACTATGGTTACCTTTTTCTTACGTGTCTAGTAAGTGATGGCCATTGTGTATATATATATATATATACCTAATACCTATATGAGGCATGGCTTACTATGTACATAGTAATATGAGAAAGAAGTAAAGATAATAGATGAGTTAGGTACCTACCTACTATTTTGACGAGACGAGTTGAGATTTTGAAAATGAGTCAAGGTAAAAACGCATCAGATGGCATGTAAGTCAAAACTTACGATCTCAACTACATCAGAACGTAGAAGTAGATTACCTTAGTACGTATTGTACCTGCGAATGCGAAAACGGTATAGGGGTCCCGCCTTTATGCCCCGCAGTTTGACAGACATGAGCTACTAAGAAAAAAAAAACCTACTAGGTACGGGTATCCATCAAGCTATTACCCGGTACCCATGTACGCTGCTTCTACGCATTATGGGACAACGCGAAACAAATACTGATTTTTGATTCGCTACCGAACAGCTGTGAATGACTGTGGCGTGGCACCGCCCGTAGAAGCACCTCCGATTCGGGGCCCCTTTTTAATGAAGACTAATTCAATTTTTATGTTTGAATTCGAAGAGCAAGTGAATACTTGCCAAGTATATTCTTAAAGCATTCAGTCATTGGCTCTACCCGTTTTTTTATTTATTCTTTCTTCTCTCAATTGAAATAAGTAGCTTCGATTTGCATCTTTCATATATCATCAATGCTTCATTTTTCTTAGAACAGAACAGCATTGTGGTTAATATCAGTTACATCGAAATCTGCCCCGCCATCAACGCACATAGATATAACTTCTACATCGTTCAAGCCCAGTCTATCTTATCATAGAGCATCGCCAACGCCGAGGAGAATTTTTATTTCTTTCATTCTTATCTCATAATGGCCATGGACGCTATTCTCCAGGGAAACACCAGCAGTGAAGGCTGGATAGTACAAAAATTTGGAGGCACGAGTGTTGGGAAATTCCCAGAGAGTGTTTGTTATGCACCAAACCCTTTCCTTGCTCAACTCAGTATAGCTGACATTATACAATTTAAATGACTAGATTGCTGAGAATATTGTTCGGTATGAAATTACAAATTGGCTCTTTGAAAAGACATTACTGACTCTATAATAAGAGCCAGCTTAAAGTCGAACAAAATTGCCGTTATTTGCTCTGCCAGAAGTTCTGGCAAGAAGGTGACAGGCACTACTAGCCGGTGAGTCAGTCACTGAATGCTTGACGATTGGGGCATTCAGCCTAATTGATCTAACGTAACATACCGTTTTATATAGATTATTAGAAGTATACAAGCATTTACGTGCCATATCAGCTGCGACAAGCAATGAGGTTACTCAACACGAGCTCCTCGAAAAAGCCAAGCTTGTTATACAAGACATCCGCGTTGACCACGTCGCAGCAGCGCAGAAGTGGATTAAGAACCCCGATCTGCAAAAGACAGTGTCGGTCAACATAGAAGAGGACTGCCAGGAACTAATAGACTATATCATTGCGGCTAAGCGATTCAACTTAGAAGTCAACGCGAGATCTAAGGATCGAGTAGTTAGTTTCGGAGAGAAGCTGAGCTGCAGATTCATGACGTACTTACTGAGAGACAGGGTTTGTCTAACTTCCAGGCAAAGCATCGCTGTATTTAGCTAACATCCCTTATAGCAAGTTGACGCAGAGTATGTGGACCTGTCTGATGTGATGCATTACGACAGTTCCGACCGATTGAGTCCGGCATTCTATAAAGAAGCTGCAGCTATTTTCCGCAAGAGGATAGAATCTTGTAATGAAAGAGTACCCGTAGTTACTGGTTTCTTCGGCAACGTCCCAGGCAGCTTGATGGACGGAGACATTGGACGGGGATATACCGACCTATGCGCTGCTCTGGTCGCTGTGGGACTAAAGGCCCAAGAGTTGCAGATATGGAAGGAGGTAGACGGCATCTTCACGGCGGATCCCACCAAGGTCCCAACAGCAAGGCTGCTCGCGTCCATTACCCCGTCGGAAGCAGCAGAACTTACATTCTACGGCTCGGAAGTCATTCATCACCTGACTATGGACCAGGTAATCAAGGCGGATCCGCCGATACCTATTCGCATTAAGAATGTAAACAATCCACGCGGAAATGGTACTATCGTAGTTCCAGATCCAGTACAATCTCCGGCGCAGAAGATTAGGAGATCCCAGCCCTCCGACTCTCCGTTGCGGAAACATCCTCGAAGACCTACCGCGGTGTCTATCAAGAATAACATCACTGTTATCAACGTACACTCGAACAAGCGGTCCATTTCCCACGGCTTCTTCGCCAAAGTATTTTCAATTCTCAACAGCCACAGGATATCCGTGGACCTTATCTCCACAAGTGAGGTCCATGTGTCCATGGCCATCCACTCCTCAAGTCCGTCCGTACACCATTTCGAAAAAGCCATGGCAGAGCTAGAAGAATGCGGAGATGTTAGTATCTTACTCGACATGGCTATCTTGAGTTTAGTCGGCGCAGAGATGAAGAATATGACGGGTATTGCTGGCCGCATGTTCTCGACATTGGGAGAGCATAGCATCAATATCGAAATGATATCACAAGGTATGTGACATTATGAATGCCGTTAGACATTTTACTAACTATGACAAATTAGGCGCGAGTGAGATTAATATCTCATGTGTTATCGACGCAAGGGAAGCCACAAGGGCCATGAGCATACTGCATACAAATCTATTTACATTTCTCGATTGATGCCTGAGTATGGTATACATGGATGCATTTCAACATGATATACTTTCCTTGTTGTGAGATAGATTACGCATGTACATGCATACTGGTGGTCAGTTAGTACGTCTTTTTGAAAAAGGGGGCTCTGGCATTTAAATTGTCCCCCATTCCCGGAGGTAAAGTTAGGTACCTTAGGTACATATATGTACTTGGCCTCCTAGAAAAGCTTGATAGATATAGAAGCATTGATTTGCCTAAAACATATGAAGATAATCAAGGTGACTTAAGTAAACTCCAAAATTCGTGATAGTCTCGATGTGGTATGGTGTTTTGTCTAACTGCTTAATATTCTACAGAACGATGTTCAATTTTATCTCAATAACGTTTAATTGGTGGTTGGCCATTCGAAAACCTACAGGGCTTCTTCTGTATTGACTACCTAGGTAGTTAATGAATCAATTGAAGCGAGCTCTAAGTAATGGTGTTTATTTTCAGTATTTGCCTAGCTGGGCAGGTTTAAGGTCAGCTTTAGGCGTTGATTCGCTGTTTGCGCCTAGGTTGGTCCGACGGTTGCCGACTTTCGGCACCACCCAGTTGATGTAATAGGGCAGCAGGGGTAAACTTTATCGATAAAGTCAACAAGTTACTTCGTACAGTTTACAGCGCCACATTAAACCTTTCTACTACTAATCCCTATCAACATCGCGATTAGGTACCGATTAGATGCTAACGAATTCATTATCAACAACCATCACCATCACCATCGCAAAATAATATTCCTCTCGACTACGAACTTCTTTCCCTCGCCCGGCAATTCGAACATATATTTAGATTTCGACGACCTCAGCTCAGGCTATATAAACACCGCCAAAATGCCGAAAGCAGAAGTCGGATCAACGAAATATCTTAGCAATAAGATGAAGTCCAAGGGACTACAGCGACTTCGATGGTATTGCCAAATATGCGAAAAGCAGTGCCGAGACGCGAACGCGTTCAAGATGCACACGCAGAGCGAGTCGCACACGAGGAAGATGCTGCTCGTGGGCGAGGACCCCAAGAAGTACATCGACGAGTTCAGCAACCAGTTCCTGAAGGACTTCCTGCAGCTGCTGCGGACGTCGCACGGCGAGAAGCAGGTGCAAATCAACCACTTCTACCAAAACTACATCGCCAACAAGGAGCACGTCCACATGAACGCCACCAAGTGGCACTCCCTCACCGAGTTCGCCAAGTACCTGGGCCGGGAGGGCATCTGCCGGGTCGAGGAGAACGAAAAGGGCATCCACATCGCGTGGGTCGACGACTCCCCCGAAGCCCTGCGCAGGAAGGAGGCCGTGCGCAGGAAGGAGATGCAGGATAAGGGCGACGAGGAGCGCGAGCAGATGATGATCAGGGAGCAGATCAAGCGCGCGAGGCGCGAGGCGGGCGAGCAAAAGCAAGACGAGGACGAGGCGGATCATACGGAAGGCAAAGAACTCAAGAGACAAGAAGGGGAAAAAATCAAACTCTCCTTCGGCATAAAGCCTGCTGCTGCTACCTCTCAACCGGAATCAAGCGCGTCTCCGGAGAAATCTTCTACTTCGGAGACGTTAGCGTCGCCATCGAAAGACGGATCAACAACCCCGCCGAGTCAGACCAGTACTACTAATACAACTAGTACTACAACTACAACCGAGAAGCCTGCTACTGCTACTGCTACTGCTACTGCTACTACTGCCCCTGCTCCCGCGCCGATTTCACTCAAGATGGCAGCCAAGCCGCAGCCCAAGAACGTCTTCGCGGCCGCGAAGAAGAACGCGCTGGCCTCGGGAGCGCCCAAGAACGCGCTGGCCTCGGGAGCGCCCAAGAAGGCGCTGTCGGCCTTCGGGGAGCCGAAGAAGATGAGCGAGGCGGAGCGCATCATGAAAGAAGAGATCGAGCGGAAGAGAGCGCGCGAGAGTTCCGGGGGTAGAGAGGGCTTTTCGAATAAGCGCCAAAGGAATTAAGTGATGTTGGGGTGGAATATTGACGAGGGAAAGGATTAGGACTTGCTGCTTTTTAGGTGATGGCATTGCGATAGGCGTTGGGGAGGTACCTAAGGTATACCATTGATTTTGGGGATTGATTAGGGGTATAAGCATAAGGACCTAAAGCATGGAAATTTGGCATGCTGGGAGGAGGGTTTCTCTCCATGGCGACTTGTATATTTTTGTTGAGGTAATCGTATTGGGGAAGGTATTGTTTTGGTGATCTCCATCGATCAGGACTTAAGAAGAATTCTAGTTTTGTATGTACGTGAACGAATACAATACAATATTTCTTCATGTTCAACCAACATACAAGTTATATCTCAATTTTCTTTTTCCTCTTTTTTTCTTTTCTCTTCTTAATTCTGCGATAAGAAGCGTAAGGCTGCAATTGCGTACATCTCATCGCGGGGGGGGAGCCTTACGTGGGCCGAAAAGTGCGCCGCGTCATCGCTCATGTATGATGCGATTTGAGGCTCCAATCTTGGAGAGGGAGAGGAGACGAAAGGATGGAGGAGAACCCGCTTCCTTGTTACAACGTCACATTCGCAACCGGCCGCCCTTTTTCTTTTCTTTTCTTTTTTCTATTTCTCGGCTTATAGCTTAACCTCCTGCCGGAAAAGTTGTTAGGCCTGAGGAAGCGGTGAGGTGTTGTTTACGGTCGCTCGAAGGAGTCTTGTTTGCTGTGATAAGAAGAGACATGGGATGGGCAATGTATCGTCATCGCGCCAAGAGCCTAATGTATACCACGAGGGAATATACGCTACGTACGTCTGGAGAGGGGAAAGGGAACGGTTATACAGTTAATAATCACCACACTACCATGCGGTCTGGGGTATAGTATAGTAGTAGAGTCATTGTTGGACAACGCAGGTGTAGGAATACGTCTACGTATCTTTACGTGCGTCTATACAGCTGGTTGTAAGAGCAGCATTGGGTCTAGGACTATGGAGTGGCTTACGCACGCTGCGATTAATCGCATGTCGCTTGTGAAAACTCCAACATTGGAAGCATGGTGATCGTGATGATGACGATGATGATGATAGATTGGTAGACAGACTAGTAGGAAATGGGAAGAATGTTGCAGTATACTGACAATGCTGTATAGTCTACGCATTGCTGTTACACAACCTATAGTACATCTACCTCCTGACATAATCTAAACCACTATTGTTCAGAGCTTCTGAGGTTAGACTATCTCGGTATACTGACCTCTTGCGCATCTGATGACGACGGCTTCTAGAAGTGACTCATTCGCACCGAGCAAACACATTTCTCATCATCACGATGGGGTTAAGGAATCAAGTATAAGAAAGGCTTCACCAGGAGAGCAAGTAATCGAGTTCTACAACCTGTTCGTGATATCAAGATTGCTATATACCTAGTTATCTATAGACCAAGGTCATACTTCTACTTCTAGTTTTAATACCAATATACCTCAATGCTCATCACCACCATGTCCGGCCCATTCCCCGTCGAGAACGCCACGGTCCCGTACTGGCGAACCCAGCTACACCACCTCGACTCCCACCGCAGCACGCCCGAGCTCCCCGAGAAGCAGGACATCGTGATCATCGGCGCCGGGTTCGCGGGCGCGGCTATAGCGCACTATTTGCTTAAAGATCACCCCGATAACAAGCCGAGGCCGAGCATCACCATCTTGGAAGCTCGGGAGGCTTGTTCAGGGGCCTCTGGTCGAAACGGTGAGTCCGACCTACTATACTTACTTACAACACCTACTTCGTCCATGATTTTTCAACTGACTAGCCTAATACTTACTAGGCGGACACATCCGGCCGGACCTGTTCGTCGGCCTCGCGGCGTGCATGCAAGCGCACGGCCTCGAGGCCGCGAACCAAGCGGCGCTGTTCGAAGAGGCCAACGCGCGGGCCCTCGAGGCGCTCGTCCGCGAGGACAACATCGACTGCGACCTGCGGGCCGTGACGACCGGCGACGTCTTCGTGGACGCGGCCGAAGCCGCCAAGATCCGGAAGCTGTGGGACGCGATGGCGAAGCTGGACTGCCCGACGCTGGGGCGCGTGGCGGCGCACCTGGACCCGCGGGAGGCGGAGCGCGCGTCGGGGGTCCGCGGCGCCCGCGTCGCGTTCACGTACCCGGCGCACGTGGTCTGGCCGTACAAGCTCGTCATGCACCTGCTGGAAGAGGCGGTAGTCGCGAAAGACGGGGCGGTTAACCTGCAGACGAGGACCATGGTGCACGGCGTTTCGGAGGCGCTGGATGGGGACGGGTATTGGACGGTGGCGACGGCGCGGGGGCCGACGAGGGCGCGGACGGTCGTTTTCGCGACGAATGCGTATACGGCGGGGCTGCTGCCCGAGTACGACGAGGCGATTTACGCAGCGCGGGGGGCGGTGTGTCGGGTTGTTGTTGCGCGGGACGGGGTGGCTGCTGCTACGGATAACAGTAGTAGCAGTAGCAGCAGCAGCAACAATATACCGTTGGGCTCGGCCGGGCTGGAGATGGAGAGCCCGAATACGGTTGATTCGTACTATGGCCTGCGCGCGGACGGGAGTATTTTGGTGGGAGGCGGGAAGAGCGTGTTTATCGACGAGAGGGAGGAGTGGTATAGGAACTACGACGACTCGACGCTGATCGAGGCCACGGTGCCGTATTTCGACGGGTGGGCGGCGAGGACGTTTACGGGGTGGGAGGGGAGGGCTGAGACGGAGAGTATTTGGACGGGGATTATGGGCGTGAGTGCTTCATTTCTTTTCATTTTTTTTTGTTGTACTATAACCACCTCTGATAGATCCAGACTGACACACTTATGTCCCATTCATTACATACAGTACTCCGCAGACGACGCGCCGCACGTCGGCCACGTCCCGTCGAAGCCGGGGCAGTACATCTGCGCGGGCTTCAACGGGCACGGGATGCCGAACGTGCTGCTGTGCGCGAAAGGGGTGGCCGAGATGATCCGGGACGGCCGCGCCTTCTCGGAGACCGGGGTGCCGGCTCTCTACGAGACGAGTGCGGAGCGGCTCCGGAGGATTTCCGACCTGGTCGCGGCTCCTACCGCGGGGAGGGCGCGGGCGGATATCTATCTGAAGTTTTGATGGAAGGGGATGGGATGTCTGGGGATTAATATATTCTTGCGGCACGGAGACAGGGGGAGCAAGGGGTTAGGTAGGTAGCTTTGGGGTTGTGATTAGTTGGAATAGAAGCTTCTCTATATAACTCTTTATAATTGTCCTGTTCACTCGTCGTGTCGTATTGTCTATTGTTCGTCTTGAATTTTACTGCCTGTTGGATAGTCTGGCGATTAAGATCTACATGGTAAAGAGCCGTTTAAGAGAAGATAACAGTTATGCTTGACGAACCAGAGACCCGAACCGGAGACTTGGAAAGTCGGATATCGGAGCGGACCGTGTTTAAAGGATTGGCAATCTAAAAATAAAGCTTCCAGGGGCTGGACCTTACTACTATGTATGTATTGCGATGTACAGTGTTAATTGGGCATTGAAGCTTTACACTATAGAACTCCACCTGTGTGACCTGACCAATCATAAAAAGCAAGGAATCGAAGCAATGCAAGACCGGTGCAGGCACGGAATCAGGGACCCGTTCTGCCCGGTGCTTTACGTCAAGTTCCATAAAATTTATGTGTGTCAGTCAGATGTGGTGTACGTAAGGGTTATATGTACATAAGGTACTCGCCTACCAAGATTTGGCTATACAGGTACAAGTACTTCGTCTCCGCCTTAGGTATTGAGAAATTCATATCCATGGATACCTAGGTACCTATATCAAATAAGAATAGGTAATTGATTTTATTGCCCACCGGTAAGATGGTGATATAGGTAGTGCATCCCGAACTTGAGAGGTATAAGCTGGATTTGGTCATGGATTCGATTAATCGAGTATTCGGCGTGAGCTGACTTGTCGGATAAATTACACCGACTACCTTAGGTACCTACCTAGGGTAGCGGACATGTCTTTTTTAAAAAGATTCCATATTCCCTCGCGGTTATGTCATTTATTCCGCTGTCCCGCTAACCCAGGTACCTCTTAGCGCGGGTTTGTGCTACCTATGCATTTAGTACCTTTGGCATACAGATGCATAGGTACAGACATAATAGTGTAAGCTTGTATGGGTACATGGATTACATGGATCATTGAACGAAAGAACACGGCCTCAAACGGACGATAGCGATGTACCCAGGGTTATCATATGTATACCTACCACCACCAAGGTAAAGTTCAAGGTAACCTCTTTGTGGATCTGCCACTTTGCCTCAACTTTCCCATTTTTCCTTCTCCCAATTTCTTCTTAAGGAATGCAAATAAGCAATAACGAGAATTGCTCCTCTAAAATGATCATGGGGGCTAGCTTGTAACGAGTCCAGAATCAACGTTTTATTAGTTGTTCTTGTATAAGTGAGTTTGTTCTTTTTTGATTTTTTTTTCTTGGGTGTGAGTCGCGCGATTCATCCGTTTCCCTTGCTATCCGACCTAATTATTTATATACTGCGGTTTACATCGCACTGTTTGCCCCTATCGACTTAGTTTGGTGTTTAGTGTCTGGCATCTGGCATCTGGCATCTGGCATGCGACATGCGATCCCGTTTTGTACCTAATTGATGACACGATACTATCGATACTATCGTGAGCTGCTCGACTAACTTTCGCAGTATCGTTTCCTAATTCTTCTATCTTCCGGGGGGCCTTTCCATTTCCATGCTTATCTAGTTCGCGATCATTGTACACCGAGATGGATGCTCCAAGTGCGACGTGGCATCCGGCTATGATGCCACACACTAATAACGATACCAACAAAATACCAGAGCGTGACGAGACTCAAAATCAAGAAGTGAATGCCCATGACGAATACGCAAATGAGCACTCGGCTCAGGATATACCGAATAACGAAGTAATAGAAGAAGGACACAAGCCTGACCGGCAAAGCGATAGCGCGTTTTTAGACCAATTTAATCATGATGACGCTGGGGATAACGCATGGGATCTTTCCGGGCATTCACCATCTGCTACTGCGCAAGGTGCCGATGATGCTGTTGTACCCGACTACGAACAAGAGCTTGCCCAAGCCGAATCTACTCGGACGAGTAACGCGGCCAAACATTCTAGTAAAAATTCGTTTGCGCGTACCGTGTCTCACGAGGTGAGCTTTAATGATGACGACGAGAGCGAGTTGAGCTTGCAGCGATCGGACACAGACCCTTTCAAGTTCATGCCACCGAGCGAGAGGACAAACTCATTTCCTGCGATACCCCAAAGAGAGGATGAACCCGAGGGCGAATTCGATCATCCACCCCCTTCAAATCAAGCTCAAGATATACTGCATGATTTGGAGGAGGACGATTTAGATGTTCACCCAATTGTACAGTCTGCATTGCCGGACACTCTTGGCGAAGATCAAGACGTTGACGACGAGGCTGGCGCAACAGGAGGCTCGTCGCAGCAATATGTTGGCGGGGAGATTGTGGGCGCTTCAGAGGAGGAATCAGACGCTCGATTCGAAGAGGGGTTACCGTTAATTCCGCAGAATGAACAGCATGATATAGAAAGCCATCACAAGTCTCCAGCTCCGGGTCTTCAGGATGCCTTCGCGCAGGATGATGAAGGGGGCGACGACTTTTTCAGCCAAGTACCTACGAGTACATCCCATCTAGAAGGAGATGCTAGTCTCGAGCACACCTTACAAAGGAAATCTACGGCTATGGTAATGGGACAAGTCGCAGACCCAGCGACAGTAGAAGAGTCAAACTCAGAGCTCCCATCTCCTGTTAAGGATGCAACGCCCGAAGAGCCAGTGAACTCAGACACGCCTGTACAGCATGTCGCGAACGGTGATTCCGAGACCAACCCAAAGGTGGGAGCTGAAACTCAACCCGACGCTGCGGATATTGACGCGAAGTGGGCGGCTGCTTTTGACGACGACGAGGATTTCCTACTAGATTCAACTGCCGAGACCAAAGAGCTTGATCCAGCAGATATCTTTGGAAGTGATGATGAAGGGTTCCTCGAAGATACGGTCGAGCAGCCGCCAGCTGCACCGGCGGTGTCGGTATCTCAACCTACTACAGCCGCGCAGCCTCAGCCAGCGGGCTTCAATGGCCGTTATACCCCTGATATCTTCCAGCATCCGACGCAGTTGAATTCTAACCCTTATGCACCTGCCCCAGTCGTGGGTCAAATGCAGTCGCCGCAACTTCCTGCCTATGCCTACCCGGCCTCGGCTCCTCCTCCGACAATGGGTGGATTTGCGCCACCACCTAAGCCAGCCGTACCTAAAGCTCAAAGTTTTGCTGATAAGGCCAAGGGTGGATATACCTCACCATATGACCTTCCGATGGAAGTTGTCAAACCGAAGAAGCGGACAAGTATGCAGCAGCTTCCGCCAGCAAATAATGCGTCTCTTGGACCTCCCGCTGCTCCCCCGAGAAGTGCGAGCATGTATGCTCAGCCACCACCGACGGGAGGCTCGAACGCGAGTTTATCACCTCCTAGTTCAAGCCACTCAAGCCAAGTACCACCGGCAGCGACGGCATCTCAGAGGTCTACTCCTCAGTTAAAATCCAAATCTGGCTTCTTCGAGGATTTGCCTATAACGTCGAAGCCTCGACCAGCATCGCGACTAAGTCACCTTTCTGCGTCACCTCAGCTAAGTCCGCGTGGGCAGCCGCCACACGGCCCCCCTTTAACATCACCCACTTCGCAACCTCCATTTTCCCCCCAAGAGCAACCAGCTGGTATTGCTTCGTTGGTTGCGCCAGAACGTGTTAACCCTTACGCCCCAATTCCATCTAATTCGCTACCTGCGCCAAGTGCTCCGCCTGCCGCGACCTCAAGATACTCTCCCGCGCCGCCTCAACTGTCGGTAGCAAATGGAGTCCCACCGCCTGTCTCTAGTCGTTATTCTCCCGCTCCGCCCTTAGTACGGTCAGGTAGCGGTGCATACGCGGCTGTTCCACCTCAGATGCTCGCACACCAACCGCGAACCTCGAGTCCCCTTGCCCACTCTCACTTTGAAGTCTCGCGTGATAAGTCGGTACCGAGTCCTATGGCCGGCGAAGGCACATCTGAACGTCGAAGCAGCTCATCTCAATATGAGCCTCGCCTCACAAGAGTGCCCTCTTTACCACCAACTCAAGAGGTTGAAGAGGATCAATCCCTGCTACAATCTCCGCCAGTTGCGCCCAAGGCTCCGTCCGAATCGAGGTATAGCCCAAGACAGCCTAGGGCTACACCCCCACCTCTCGGCTCTCCTGCTTATAACCCGATATCCCCCCCTAAGAGAGCGGTATCGAACTATGTGCCAATGTCTCCTGCATCTGCGCCGCACAAGGAGGTCAACTTCGTGCCACCACCTCGATCCCAAACCCAATCGCCTGGGGCTCTATATGGAAACCGGGCTGGAACAAGACTAGTTGATCCTGTCCCTCGACCGTCGTCTGTGCAAGGTGCTTCTTCTCCACGAGAGATACAACATACGGAGGCTGTTCGGCCAACTACTAGAGCTCGGGGCATGTCTCAGCATCTCAATCTTGTCCCGCCAACGGACGGTCGGGAACAAGATCCCCTGAGGAGATGGCAAGGCTGTCCTGTCTTCACATGGGGCGTGGGAGGTACGGTTGTGACCTCTTTCCCGAAAGACGTCCCTCGGTATGGTATAAGTCAAGCGCTTCCAATGATTGTACGTAGCCCGGGTGAGGTGAAGGTACGACATATGAAGGATCTTCAACCGCTGGAGGAGCGACTAGCCAAATTCCCAGGGCCTTTGAGGGGCAAGTCGAGGAAGAAAGAAACTGTAGCGTGGTTGACGGCTGGTATTGACACCCTGGAAAGGAGCCTCCCAAACCTTTCGTTCTTACACCACGTTTCGCATGAGGATAAGAGAGCTGTCGAGCGGGTACTATTGTGGAAGATCCTACGTGTTTTCGTTGAAAATGACGGTCTACTCGAAGGAAATCCCACAGTAGAAAAAGCTGTCAGAGAAGTCATCTCGCCTGGTCTCGACACCAATAATCCAGAGCTTGCAGCTGCGATTTCCACCGGAGCTGATTTGACAGGGATTTCTTCAACTGTAACCACTATGCAAGCGGACGCTGTCGATTCTACGACCGTCGAGCAGATCCGGCACCATCTGTTGTCCGGCGACCGGGAGAAGGCCGTCTGGGCCGCGGTGGATAAGAGGCTTTGGGGTCACGCGATGCTTATTTCAAACACGATGCAAAGCCCGGAATTATACAAAAAGGTGGCGCAAGAATTTATCAAGAAGGAGGTGAACCATCCGGGACATGGAAACGAGTCGCTCGCTGCTCTTTATGGCGTTCTGTCAGGTAACTTTGAGGAGTCGGTAGACGAATTAGTCCCGGTTCATGCGCGGGCTGGCCTTCAGCTTATATCTACTTCAGCTGCCGTTGGTGCAACTCAAGATGCACTGGCGGGTCTCGATAAATGGCGCGAGACACTTGGCTTAATACTCAGCAACAGGAGTTTTGGCGATGCTCAAGCCTTAAGGTCACTTGGTAACTTGCTCTCTGGATACGGAAGAGCGGAAGCAGCTCATATCTGCTACATTTTTGCTAGGAATTGTGCAGTTTTTGGAGGGCTTGATGACCCGAATGTTAACTTCGTCCTGGTCGGAGCTGATCATCGTCGCCAAGCCGACCAGTTTGCAAAGGAAACAGAGGCCTTACAGCTTAGCGAAGTCTACGAGTACGGACTGTCTCTTGCGGGTGGTTCGAATGCTGTACAAAGTTGCCCACACTTGGCTGCTTACAAGCTTCAGCATGCCATGACTCTCGCTGAATACGGATTTAGAGATAAGGCCTTACAATACTGCGAGGGTATATACAACGCAATTACTGCGCAAACAAAGAGGTCACCTTACTACCACCCTGTTCTGGACTCCGCCGTGGATGACCTTATGAGAAGGTTGAAACAGGCTCCAAAGGAGGAGTCGTCTTCATGGATCCCGAAGCCTAGGATGGACCAAGTATCTAACAACATGTGGAGCCGCTTTAACAAGTTCGTTGCTGGCGATGATGACGAGGGTTCCGGCAATGCCGCGTCGGGCGAGGCCGGTGCCGAATCTGGTCCGTTTGCTCGTCTTGCAGGCGGGACGCCATCAATTAGTCGGTCCCCATCCGTCACGAACTTCGATGTGTACGGAAACGGAAATCTATCTCCTACCCTCCCGGCTAACAAGACTGCTTCCCGCTATGCGCCAGGAGCACCTCAGTCTTCGGGTAATCCATACGACCCCAGCACTTCTTACAACCCAGCACCTAGGTCTTCAATGGAAAGGACGTCGGGCGAGATTACACGAAGCTCTTTTGAGCTACCAGCAAGACGAGGATCAGATATGCAGTCTGCGTACGGAAGTCCTTATGCCCCCTCGCACTATTCAACTACCTCGGCATATCAGCCTTCGGTCCCAGCTGCCTCACAAGCATCTCCGTATACACCAGTCTCTCGAGAATCAGACTCAACACAAGCTAGGGGCATCGGAATTTCATTCCCGGGTTACAACCCGTATGGAGGCGCACAAGCCTCGCCGAATCCCGATGTTTCTCAGTCCCAGCAAGTCTCGCCTACGGAGCCGAAACCAGCAATCTCGGCGAATGATACAAGCGCGACGCAAGGCTATCAACCTCCTTCATATGGATACGAGTCACCATCAACCAATACTTACGAACCACCAACTACTCAACCTGAAAGTCAATCTGGCGGATACGAGCCACCTTCATACCAACCATCTAGCTTTGAGCCCCCATCCTACGAGCCGGGTCCAGCTGGTGACGAAGGCGATTCTCCTTCTGAGCCAAAGCCCAAGAAGAAGAGCTTCTTCGACGACGACGAGGATGACATTCCTGCTTTGAAGCCCCAAGGAAAGAGCAAGGAGGAAATAGACCGGGAGAATGCGGAGATGGTTAGGAAGATTGCCGAAGAAGAGGGTGAGTACCAAAATAACAATATCCCTTGTCGATATGGAACTAACAATGTTTTAGAAAAACGTGCTGCAGAGGCAAAATCAGCTAAGAAAGGCTGGGGCTTCGGAGGTTGGTTTGGCGGTGGTAGCAAAAAGGAGTCGCTCGAGCCAGCCAATAAGCCCATCAGGGCCAAACTTGGCGAAGCCAGTAGCTTCGTATATGACCCAGAACTCAAGCGCTGGGTCAACAAGAAACCAGGAGCAGAGAATACTCCTGTTAAGGCGGCAACACCGCCTCCTCCTCGCGCCGCTTCTCGCAACGGTACTCCCCCACTACCGGGATCTACATCCGCTCCTCCTGCCGGCCCTCCTCGTGCTCAGCTTACACCTGCACCTACCCTCCTAAGAAGTGCTATGTCTCATGATAACCTCACGGTCCCCGGTGGCGCACCGCCTATGACGCGGTCCGTCTCGGGTCAAAGCATTAATAGTGCCCCAGGCGGGCCTCCCAGCGCACCGCCTAGCAGACCGGCTACCAGCCTAAGTACCGCAAGCAGCATCGATGACCTGCTCGGAGCGGCTGGGCCGAGGAAGGGACCCAAGAAGGCGAAGAAGAGCGGGCGCTATGTTGATGTCATGGCAAAGTAGAGAAGAGACGAGATTCATTGGATGGTTATAAATGATTGACTGCGATACACACATGCACGCATAACGGAAGAGACAAACGGATTGGCACGGGCGCAGGGCGCAAGATTTGCATTAATACACATCTGCTACGACTCAGAGCTCGAGCACGCGCGTGCGCGCGCGCGCTGCCGGCCTGTATTATATATATATATATATACCTAGAACTTCTTGTAATAAAACGACGACCGGGACTAATTTTAGGTTAGTATGTGTGCTGAGAGAAAGAATGGATGATGTTTCCGTTTCTGGGTTTGCTTCTTTACTAGGTACGCTTTGGATATGTCCTATAGATTCACTTAACCCCCCTTAGGTACCCAATTACCTGACCTAGTACTTGGGAGGGTTAAGGTAATAATTAGAAATGAGAGAATGTGATACCGTATATGAAGTTTTGAAGGGTTGAAGGGTTGGTGTCGGGAATAAGGATAGTTTGTATGTGCTTCCCATGGGTTGTCCCATGATAACATGTATAGTATGTACTTATACTTCTAATGTCAGTAGACCATGTACAGTAAGTAACCTTACCTCTACATCGACAACTATTACAATGATTCGCCTATGACATTGATCCTTTCTCCCTCTCATTAGATGTCATCATGACAGCGTAGGCCCGAGCATAAAAACTGGCGCTGCGATGTTCGTACTGATGACGCGCTCTCGGCTAACGGTGCCGACGAGGTGTATTAGTAGACAGGTAGGTTAGGTCTCTGTATTCTAGTAGACTGAAGCCGCTGCTTCTTCTTCTTCTTCTTTTTCCTTTTTATCCCCTTTTCTTTTCTCCCAAGGTGCCTCAAGTACTCTTCCCAAGGTAAGAAAAAAAAAAAAAAAAGAACAGCCTACCTCATACAGACTTACAACACAACATGACGTCCCAACCCCTCCCCAGCAGCAGCACTACCCGCCCGAACACGGAGAAGTACTCGGACCCGGACCCCCTCGCGTACGAGGCCCAGGTCTACCAGCAGGGCCTGCGGTACCAGCGGCCGCCCTTCACCTTCAAGCCGCTGGAGTGGGAGCCGCTGGCCGCCGAGCGTATGTCGGCCGAGACGAGGGGGTACGTGCTGGGGTGCGCCGGGACGGGGGAGTCGGCGCGCAAGAACCGGGAGGCGTTCGGGAGGTGGTCGATCGTGCCGCGGCGGCTGGAACTAGGGGGGGGCATGACGTCGTCTCCTCGTGGTGGCGGCGAGGAGAAGGACGTGGGGAAAAAGGGAGACGTGTTCCCGCGTCTTTCCGTCCGCCTCTTCGGCCGCGAGCAGCTGCTTCCGTTCCCCATCGCCTGCGCGCCCGTCGGCGTCCAGAAGATCATGAACCCGGACGGGGAGCTGGCGACTGCGCGAGCGGCGGCGCGGGAGCGGGTCCCGTTTATACTGAGCACGGCGAGTAGTGCCAGCATCGAGGACGTGGCGAGGGCGAATGATTCGGGAGTGGAGCAAGAGCAGGAAGGAGGGGAGAAAGGAAACGGAAACGGAAAACCAAAGGCGGAGAGGTGGTTCCAGCTGTACTGGCCGGCGAGGGAGCACGACGATATCACAGCGTCGCTGCTGCTGCGCGCCAAGAAGGCTGGGTATAGCGTGTTGGTGGTTACGCTGGATACGTCTATCTTGGGGTGGAAGCCTGGCGATATGGATAATGGGTGAGTTTGTTGAATCCCCCCCCTTTTTTTGGTTCTTTATTCGTGGTTATATACCTTATATGCAGTATATACTATACACCATCACCCCTATTTCTTCTTCTTACCTTTACCTTTATATCATTAGCCATAGTTCGTTACTATAATAAAAGAAGTTATCAGCAGCAGCTAGTTTCCTGACAGCTAGCTCGGCAGATACAACCCGTTCCTGCGCTCGGACCAAGTGGGCGTGGCCATCGGGCTGTCGGACCCGGTGTTCCAAGCGCACTTCCAGCGGAAGCACAACGGGCTGTCCGTGACGCAGAAGCTGGGGGCCGCGGCGGCCGAGTGGACGCGCACGATCTTCCCCGGGACGACGCACGCGCTGTCCGACGTGGCCTTCCTGCGGGAGCACTGGGACGGGCCGATCGTGCTCAAGGGCATCCAGAGCGCGGCGGACGCGCGCGCGATCGCCGCCTCGGGGCTCGTCGACGGCGTCGTCGTGAGCAACCACGGCGGGCGCCAGGCCGACGGCGCGGCGAGCTCGCTGGGGACGCTGAGGGGCGTTGCGCGGGCCGTCGAAGCTGTTAACGCGGAAACCAGCGGAGATGGAGGGCAGAAAGGAGATAGCAAGAAGAAAAGAAAGGTCCAGGTTCTCTTCGACTCCGGGATCCGCAGCGGCGTGGACGTCGCGAAAGCGCTGGCCCTCGGCGCGGACATGTGTCTGGTCGGCCGGCCGTTCGTGTACGGGCTGGTGCTCGGCGGCGAGGAGGGGGTCGCGCACGTGCTGCGGAGCTTGCTGGGGGATCTGGAGCTCACGCTGCATCTGTCGGGGATAAAGTCCGTGGGGAAGGAGGATTTAAATGAGAGCGTGCTGGTTAAGGAGGATGAACTGTTTTAAATGTGTGTGTGTGTGTGTGCTGTGAGTGGGTGAGTGGTTGGTTGGATAGGGATTTATGTATAAAAAAAGGGGGGACGTGGAATAGGGGTGGATTTCAGATTGGGAAAAAGTGAGGAAATAGCTTCATGCGCTTAAGGCTAGCTAGAAAATATATTTATATTGTGATACTTGACTTTACAGAGGTATAATATAACATGTCCTAAGTATAGGTAGTCTTCAAACAATAATAATGCAGACCTCTTCGACGTTTAAGGGGTGCAGTGCAAGTAACATCGTAACGAATAGGCAGAAATAGGGGGTGCCTAAACCCAACCCGGGCCAGCTACATATGATTCCCCATTTCGGACCTCCCAATAACAAACAGCCTGGTGGTGCAGTGGTAGCACATTCCATCATTACGCGCTTCTGAAGGAAAAACAAAAAAAATAGTACTCAGATGAGAGGTCGAGGTTGGAAAGACGTGGGTTCAAATCCCACCCGGGCTAATCTTTTTGCTCTTCTCTATTTTGCTTCAATATCCATTTTCCCTTTTCCCCAAACCCCAGCTGTGGTGAACTAGCCAGCCAGTTCCGCGGAATCATATTGCAAGGCGAAGTTCTCCTGGTGGGATGGATGCACTGGGTAATGGCGTTGGTGATATTATGAAGTTGTCTCATTGCTATAGTGTAATAGGTCTTAGTGGTTTAATATGTCAGGCTTATAAATATTATTTCTTAAATCTCTCAGGGGAAGTCAAGTTCATTGCTATACTTGATACTGGGCAGCGAGGCAAGTATATCGCAATAGCAGTCCAAGTCTCACTCCCACCCCTATCTTCAGATCTGCTAGTGTCCACTTATAAAATTAGTTACCAGCATTACTTACTATATTTCCAGTTCGCTCAATGTTCAAGCATCCTGCGCAGCAAGAAGCTCAACCAAACCGAACAAGCTTACAAGTATATCAACACCCAGCGTCGTAAAATCACCATCATCACCCATCTCACACTAAGGTACAGTTACTAGACAGCTCAATAAGCAAAATTATTAAGATATCCCTTGATCGTAGAGCCTACAACTACAAACCTAGGTAATATACTATGCTTATGTACGTCCCGTTTTCTCTCACGCTTCCCCCCTCTCCCTTGCTCTCTTCCAACTACCTAAGTAAGGTAAAAACCTTCATCGGTCTTTATAAACACGCCCATATCTTCTGACATGAGAGAGAAAGGTTCGGCCGGTCGGTCCTAAGAACTCCGCCCTCCCTCCTCTCCTTTTTCCTCCGCTGACAAAGGAAATTCTGGCCTGGTCTGGCCCTGTCTCTCTCTTCCTTCGCACCTCTAATAGCCCCCCCTTCTCTGATAGCCTGGTCCAATTTGCCGCCAAGCCAAGTGTAAAATTAATACACACCTATCGAAGATGAACGAGGTTGTAAATTCGCCTGTGGCGCAAGTGCAGTGATGTGATGGAATCGAATAGTGGGGTTTGCTTATATGCGTCAAAAGTCTTTGTCAAACGGAGGTGCCGGTTCCAGAACCGGGAATTATATGACAAGATTTATTATCCGGCCTTTAATCGTACATGAGCCTCGGTTCTGAATTGCTTTATAGTAGCCTCGCAAATCCGGCTGTCGGTGCTCTAGACAGAATTCTCTCAGGGTTGGCTGCGTAATATATCGTAGACATTATATATCGTATTAGTTGGATGAATAAAAGTGGTGGGGTTCCATTCAAGACTTCTCAGTGTCCTTTTCTACTTCCGCGGTGACTTCAGCAGGGGTTTCTTCCGGTATAGTTGCTTCGGGTGCGGATGCTTTGGCTCCCTCATCCGCTTCGGTAGTACTGGAGTTCTGACCGGAGCCGCCCTTTAGCCGCCGTCGTCTAGCCCTCCTTTCCTCCGCCGCCGATTTCCTCAGGCTATCTCTCTTCTCCGGATCATTATCATCTGCTCCATCACCGCTTCTCATATCTTGCAACAGCATTGCAGCTCTGTGGGCTAGACCATCCTCCCCATCTTCAGCCGCTGGAGGAGCTTCGCTAGGGGAAGGGAAATCCGGGCTAATAGGGTTATTATCGGGATCCGCAGCACCGTTGATGGTCTCCTTGTTGAGATTGGCTTCGGCCTCTGGTATCTCGTTGAGGTCGGGTATTTTCTGGCCCGACGCGATGCGGACTTGATGACGATCCTTGAGACGTGCACGCCTTCTTCGGTCTCTTTGATCTCTCGTTTGCGGCGCCGCAGCGCGTAACTTCTCTAGAAGCGAGTCCATTGCACCAGCAGAAGCTGGCGATGGCGGACCGCTCTCGACGGCTCCCGTGACCCTGAGCTGACCATGCTTTCGTTTCATGCTGGCTTCGTTTCTACGTCTCGTCTCCTCGTATTGTACGTTTTTCTCTCTGCTCTTCTTCCACTCTTGCAAGAAGGTGGCTAACTTGGCGAAGAAGTCACGGCGGGCATTTTCATCCTTCGGATCTTCGCCATAGAAAACCATAATGTCATCGTATGTGCGGACCATCTCTTCCAGGTACAAAGACATCTGTTCTGCTTTTCGACGAGCATCCTTCATACACCGCTGGACGACTTGCGAGACACGGTCCTGAGGATGGAACTTCTTAGGGTCGCTGAGGTTGCCGCTGTCTAGTGACCTCTGTATGTTACGAATGTTATCCACGTATTTCTTAGCGTCTGCTTGTAGTTGTTCGATATTGATCTTCTGAGCGGTGATGACGGCTTGAATATCGGATGTGAAACCCTCCCATTCGGGATACTGGTTGCGAACGATACGCTCCACGAGATCAGCGAGCGTCGACTGGTTCTTGTCATCCTTCACCATACCCAAGCGGGCGAGCGAACTGAGTTTGAAACCTCGCGCTTGCTTGTTGGCGTCATTCATGTAATTTCCAATATCCAGAATCAAACCGAGCACATTCATCAAAGAGACCGAGTCTCGTAATGCCTCTGACACTGACACGACTTGACGAATCTTCTCGTTGATCTCGTCGTAGTCTGCCTCGTAGCTCCTCGTCAAGGCCAGCGCACGTATTCTGCTCTTCCAATAATGGTGTAGTTCAAAAGCGGTGTACAAGTAGATTTGATCTTGCCTGGTGAGTTCTTCCGGATCCTGTTCACGATTTTCCTTGCTAGCTTCTGGACCAGTCCAATCTTTGCTATATGGCGCCATAAGCTTCGCAGTGTTATCCGGAATATTGCATAGATCATCCTTTAGGAGGAAATCCATGACAACAGGGTTGTCAAGAATTTCCTTGTCGCACTGAATGATCATTTGGACGATCTTTTCTACAGAAAACTGTGAAAATTTGGCAAAGGCAATTTCTAGAATAAGTTAGCATTTCGTGAATATCAGCCCTAATATGGAGAGGAGCTTACCATAAGCTTTCCGAAGGTCGCTAGAGATAATCTGCTTCTTGTCGTCTTTCTTAGAGCTACCAACACCAAGCTTCTTGATCTCTTTAGCCATGAATAGCTTCTCAACCTCATCAAGGATACCCTTCTTGCTAAGCTCAGCATACTTCTCTTCTCTTGCTTCTGCGGATGGTGCGTGCGCTGCCCAGTGACTGGTTTCAGGCGTGTCAACCTTGTCCCAGTGGAGGGCCTTGAGCTTCCTCTTCGGCCTGACAACAGGGAGACCGATTGTAGGAGCCGGCCCAAAGTTATTTTGCGCAGAGAGGAAGTGGCCGGACATGGCACCAGGCATTGGCGGAGGAGGAGGAGGCATTCCTCCAACAGCACCTGGCATAGGAGGCGGCGGAGGCGGAGGAGGTGGACCACCTGCAGATGAGGGCGACAGCATCCCTGGCATCGGGGGAGGTGGCGGAGGAGGCGGGGGTGGAGGAGCGGCTCCCGGAATCTGGCCGGGCAATGGAGGTGGGGGCGGAGGAGGCGGTGGCGGTGGTGCTCCGGGAATTTGACCGGGCATCGGGGGAGGAGGTGGAGGGGGTGGAGCAGCCGTATCGCTAACTTGAATTTTGGGCGGTTCAACTTCTCCCGGAGTGATAGGTGTCTCAAGGCTTGGGTGAGAAGGACCGGTCGTCGCGCCATCTTCGGAGTCACTGATTTCATCCCTCCTCTTCGATTGGATCTCTGACATAAGGCTAGCGGCCTGCTTGGGATCCATAACCGGCCTTCTGATTTCAACGACTCTTGGCTTCTCGTATACGATATCGTCTTCACCTTCGGTAACACCTTCGTCAGCGCTAGAGACATGTTGTCCTGCCGAGCTGACGGGCTTCCTGGACAATCTTGTGTGTCTATTGACTGTCCCAAGCATACCAGACGACGGGAGTCCTGCACCTTCCGGCGCTTCAGGGTAGCTCTCTGCATAGCCTTCCATTTCCTCACGTAGAGCACGCAAGCGATCTGAAGGACCAATAGTATCGCCCCAGACTCTACCCTCGAGTTTGTATTGGGTCTTTTGCCGTTCGAGCTGCATAGCAAGCCGGTCCATAAGCTTTTCTCGATCCAAAATACCTTGCATTCTAGCCGGGTCTTCGTCGCCCATTTTGCCTCCGGCGTTGCCCTTGACAGCCTGGGAGGCGGCCACGTCTTGAGCATCCCTGAGCATAAGATAAAGCTCTCTAGTTTCTAACTCGTACCGCTGCGCTTCCTTAGCACGCACCGTCTGCATGTTCTCGATCTCAGCCTTAAGACTATCTGCTTGACGCTTCTGGGCTTCAATGAAGCGGGCTTGCTCATCTAATTGTTTCTGTAGCTTAGCAACAAGACCATCCGCACCTAATTCTAACTGAGCTCTCATCTCATCCCGTTCTGCCATGGCAGCATCGGCGATCTGCCGGGCCTCCAAGGCCTCATCTAGAGCTTGTCTGGCCTCAGAATCCGTGTGTAGCTTATCTAAGAGACTCTGCACAGTGAAGTTCAAGCTTTGCTTGAGGTCCATGTTCGGCAAACGCCGATCCATAGCCACATAGCTTAGCATCGAGTCAACGAGCTGAAACATACGCAACCGTTCTTCCCCGTCGTTATCTCGGATCAGAAGCAGGTGCTGCAATGCCGATATGAAGTAATCATGCGTCTTGGAGCCTTGAAGTCGCTGCTGAATGGCGTCTACGATCTGGGTCGGATCGTTGAGGTCCTTAACCTCGCCTTCGACGCTGTCCTTCATGCTACTGTTCTCCCGCTCGAGCATATCCTCATAGTCTATAGCCTCATTTGTTCGGAACCGCTCGACCTGCTTGTCTATCAAGTCATATTGGAACGCCTCCATCTTTGTGAGGATCCGCTTGATCCCACAAGCACCGAACTGCGCCCTGATATGCATGCGTAGCTGGAGGTCATTCTCGGGGGCATCGATGATCGAGTTGACGAGGATGAGCGTGGCAACTGCGTATTCCATCAAAAGATTCTCCATGCCGATACCGCCGCTGCGGACTTCGTCGCTGGCTCCGACAAGACTGCCCATCTTCCCTCGCCCGTCTACGGTAACCTCCACAAGTCGCATCCAGGAGTCGAAGCGTCCATTTTCGTTTTGTTGATTCTTCACTACATCCATCGCCTGGATCACCTTTATGTGACCCTCGCCACTGTCCCAGTGGCATAGGAAGGATAATACATCGCTGACAAGTTTTCGTGTCGTAAGTCTCGGTGAAATGAGCGATGTGACGAGGGCCACGACTACCTGCTGATGGGCGAGCGCATCATCGGCGCCATATTTGTTGTTGAGTAACGCTTTAAGACATTTTAGAATATCATATTCCTTATCGAGGCTCTTGTCGCTTGCTTTTACGTCGGTAGGAGCAGCAGGTCCAACCGCGCTTTTCCGATTGATCTTCAACAGGACGTTGGTGAGAGCGACCTGCCCTTGACATTCAATGAATCGCTTCACCCAACCGATCTGCTGAGTTCGTAAATTGACCTCGAGGCTGCCCAAACCTTTCAAATCTAAGGTATTATCCATAACCTTCCGCACGTACCATTCGGGAGATCCCTCTTCGTCAGAGGATGCGGCGACATCAACGCTGCTTGGATATACTCCTGTCTTCGCCGCCTGCTGCCTCCTCTTTTGCTCTCCCTGTAGTTCTGTTAGACGATCCTGATAGATGAGTGTCCATTTCTTGGACGACGGATACGCCTGCATCTGTCGTCTTGCCTGTTCCGGAAGGTTATGCCATCCTCGCTTCTTCATCAGCTCCAAAAACATCTGTTCCGTAACCCTATCGTCGTCCGGTCTGGTGAGTGGGAACCCTTCTGCGCTCCCGGGTGGAAATACCGGATGCCCTGAAGGTTTAGTCACGCGGTGCGAATCTCTACTCGAAGGTTGCGACGCGATGGAACTCTGGGAGGTAGCACTAGGCAGCGCTATTCTGGATGAGCGCATATTCGTGGAATTAGTAGGGGGTCTTCCGTTACCTGCTGAAAATACGCTGGATTGATCGCTTTGTCTAGATGTTCTGGCGACGCCGGACATGCCATAACCTGGTAGAGAATCCCACCTTTCGTTGTAGCCGCTGTAGCCGCCGTAGCCGTTGTTCTGCGTAGAAGAAGCCGTACTCGCCCGAGGCGTTGGGGAACCTCCCGAAGACGGGCCCCACTGGTGGAATTGCGGTTGCCGACCAGTAGACGCCATCGTGACGTTCGGATTGTTGCCGTTGCCGTGACCAGTGCTGGGGCGCTGAACCGAGTGCTGAGAACTAGCAACGCTTACAATCGAGGCTGTATCGAAAGATGGATACTGATGGAAATCACCGGTGCCTTTATTTAAGTGATGGGGCTGAGGTATAAGATTCTGGCGCACGGGCGCCTGCTCATTTCGAGGGAGGTATTCAATGGGTATTGGACTTCGTTGATCAGCATGCGTACTGTCGTAGGGGATGGCGGTAATTACACCGGCGTTAGGGTTGACGCCGGTTTCAGGAGAGCTGGGTCGGTCGAGCGATACTATCGACGAGTCCCTAACATGTCGAGAAGTACGCGACAAAGAGTCATGATCCGAGCCGAGGTATCGACCTTCTTCGCTGCCGGTGTGTCTTTTATCACTCCTATGTTTACTCCTAGAGAAGAAGCCCTTACCACCAGACGACATGGCTGCGTAGGGCGGAGAGGGCGCTCTTGAACGCCGTTACTTTAGTCGCTTTCTATCAATTATGTATTTACGCCAAAATGGAACGTTTCGATCCGACGTTCGAGGGGAGGCGAATGAAGCAGTCGAAACCTATGGAGATATCGGGTTCGTGCCGTCAGTGTATTGGATGCTGAAGATATTGGATGAGTTGCATCGTGTTCTCCGGCGAAGATTATGGCGTTTGAAAGGAATATACAAGTTGAAATTGCAGATCTAGGATCGGACGAAGGCCTGCATTGAAGCGTAGTAGTATTAGCATGATTTTTTAGGTTCAAGCATTGCAAACAAAATGCATGGGTAATTTCTGACGAATTCAGTGACAGGAGTTTGGGAAACGAGAAATGCGCACTGAAGAAACAGAAGAAACTGAAGAAGGGGGGGTGGCCGTACGCACATAGAACCGAACACGGCGCTAGGCTACATAAAATGCAGAAAAAATCAAACATTCAAGAGTTCCTCGCTAATAAAAAAGTCGGAAATTTTTGGTTGTTTGAACAATCGTCGAACAATTCAAATTCGGAGTAGGGGAGGGAAAGAAGTGGTCATAGTGGTGGGTTGTGGTTAGTTATGGTTTAGGTAATTGTGGCAGCAGTTTATCGGGATGTGATAATGTTGCTCAAAGGAGGTTCCTACCGTCTGATGAGACTCAAGGTTGCGGGTTGTGGATTCAATGTTGTGCAATGTCGCAGGAGGTACCCTACATAGCGCCGAGCACTTATGGTTGGCTAGTAGTGGGTAGGATGCGACTTACAGGGTACAAAGCGGATTACCAATTGAATTTACACGTTTACAGTTTCCCATCTTTTGGCCCCCTCAATTTGCGATAAGCGCGTATGGATTTGTCCTAAAGCGGGACTTCAGCTCAGAAAGAAAGACTCGAAAATGTACCTAAGTACCTACCCAATTTCTGCATTCCAACATTTATTTAGGGGTCCTTTCTAGATCGTGTAAGCCATATACCTATTATACCTATTATATTGTATTGTATTGTACGTCGGTAACTTGAAGTACCTAATAATAGCAGGTAGACATGTCAGCAGCGCTAACAATTGAGTACCTAGTCATCAATCATTTGCGATTTATCAAAAAAAAAAAAAAAAAAAAAACATAGTTTGAAAATTTTCTTCAATAGTAAAAATCTCATCTCTTTGTGCTTCGTTATATGGTAGATATCTCATTTTATCGATAAATCCTACGATACCAGTACGGAAAGGTGTGAACGATTCTGAAACTTCATGTGGGACATGAACCCCTGGGATCGATCCCACATTACGACGGCGATAATGATGCGATCTGGATTCTGGAGAGACCCTGGGTCCTTAGACACTTCGGGCCACAGACTACTACAACGCAGGCTCATATTGGTATGTTTAAAACATCTTTTCGAGTGCGGATGTCAGGTAGTTGGATATTAGGTACCTAAATGAAGTAGTCTTTAGCCGATGCGCAAAAAAGGGGTTGCATAGGTTAGGTACTCTCTTCTAGGTCCTCTGTTATATTTGACCCCTCGGTTAGGTACCTACTGGTCAGGTTCACCAGGGGATGGTTAGGTAGACTGTAAGAATACTCCAAGTCCGATGTAGAAGGAATCGGCTCCATTCTCGGTTTACAATGATATAATAACTAATATCAGCAACACGAGGTAACAGCAAGGCTGCTTGAGCTTAGATTCATTGTAGGTGGCCCGTGGGATGAAGTAATGTCCTGGATTAGACCTCAATGTAGAGCTAATTTGGCCAATAACAACAGAGAGTCTGAAAATAGTAAAGTACGTACCTAGGGGTGAGAACCACTGATTATATAAGCAATTACGGATCCATACAGGGGGTTACTTTGAAGATGCGACTGCGCAAGCCGGCGCCGCACGTACGTAACCAAAATCATCTTCATCTTTCAGCCTTACTAGGTATAATTAACAATTGACCAACAGGTAGCCTTATGCAGAGCTTCTGCGTAGTGTGGAAGACCAAGTTTTCTAATCAGGCTAGAAGTTACTGATAAAATTATCCGTGAACAGTGGCTGTCGTTTGATCCTCATCTATACAATAAATCGTCACTCATGAATGCGGATCGTTAAAGCCGGATCAGCCTTATCCTACCAAATTTGACTTCATGCCATGCCCTCTTAATAGAAGGGAGTATTGTATATCATCATCAACATTATGGGTCTCACAATATCCGCAATTAAGGTCAGTTCAAACTATACTTATACTCAAAGAATCCATCACCGATCTAACTCTTACAGACCCTTATAATACCAGCCGTCATCTCCCTAATCCTCTTTCTCCTATCCACTTACGTACTTGTCCCGTTATGGCGACGTTACCATGCGCGGTATAGTCAATATCTTCCTCTCGAAACGATTTCGAATCATACAATATCCCTACGCGTTAGAGTGCAAGATGCAATAGCTCGATGGATGGTCCCATCGCGGTGGCGCATTAATATACATGATCGCGTCGTGGTCGGAGCCGACGACGCATCCGATATAGGTTTCAGTTCCGAAGAAGGCGAAGAATTAGATGAAGTATTCGACGATCGCCGGCACGCGCTGTCGTTAGATACCCATGATATTGAGCGTGCCGATAGCACAAGGAGACTAAGCAGAGAGTAGGTCAAGAAAGCTCATACGTATTCAGAATCCCGAATATTACGTCGAGACACGGGGCTAATTGCAATCACCCAGTTTAGAGGAAGGCTTCCGAGATGATAGCGAAGAGGAAGATGACACGCGTCAAAGCAGACGGTAGCAACCCCTATTGTCTGATAAACGACAATGGTAGTCCGGCTTTGGAATAACTACGTGGCCTTACACAAAATAATTTGCCGCCATTCAGATATATGGGGAGGCGTTGGCGAGCCAGTGTATTATCAATTGGTTATAATTCCCTTAGGTGCGAGCTATACTGCAACCGAGCGCGGCGTAGGAGGATTTTGTAAACCTGTTTAGTGAGTTTGGGGTTTCGAATGGATCATTCTTTAAGGTCCAACCCATATGTGTCTCTAACTATAGGCTACCTATCTTTATCCGAACCGCGATGTTCTACGTCTCTATCATATCAGACGGGATGACGGAAGATCCTATCGCAAGGTTTTTTCTCGCATATTACATCTATCCAAAAATAAACTGACACTTCTTACGGACCCCAGACTAACTTTATGAGTTTTGTCCCCTTAAATGAGTGACGGACAATTATTTTAATACGAGAGGAATATTACATACCTCTTTATGTGGATACCTAGCGCGATGGTTTGGGACGATATACATCAAGCCTGTCGGATGTTTCTACATGTCGAACAGATAATGCCCGACCACTGCAACCTGCACTAACGCAATGGAGTTGTATCGGGTATCCTGCTGTCGGGTTTTGTCATTTAACGGAGGTAGTCATTAGATCTATGGTGATCAGACGGGCCATCTTGATGTATAACGTTTTGGAACGACGTATGAGCTCTTGAGACGCTAACATATTGCTAGATAATGCATAGTCTTCATTTTTGGGGATTCGACTGCGACACACCTCGAGCCATCCCCCCTCTCCAAATATATACATACCCGGCCTGCCTAACCTACCTAGACCTAGGTATATATACGGGTTGGGATCCGGTCCAACAACATTGAAGAATCTCACTATACGCCATATCTACCCTAGCACCATTACACTGGACACACGTTATGGAATACCAAAGAATAATACCTACCTAGGTATACGTCATTGAAGACGAACATATTTCATCAACACATATATCCACAGGGATCATCCCTAGATCATCAACCTAGCCAATATACTGTCTCCAATGGGTCAGGACTGATCTGGTACTGCTCTTCGGTGACCAGGCAACGTCCAAATCTAGGTAGCTAGCCTAACTACCTTTAGGTAACTATCTAAAACACAATCTAGCAGAGGTTGAAGTCATAAAGAAAGAAGAAAAAAGGGGGCCTCGATATCCGATGTTGGGTTCAGAAGGTAGCTAGGTACCTACCTATCGTTCCGGACGGATACGAAAGGTTAGGTTCTGTGTTACCTCTCGGCTGCACAAATATTAGTCATACAACACCCGAAACCTTGGTCGAGTATTACGAGGTTTAGAGGTTAGCGCGGGAGGGGAAGCAATTGCCAAACTTTTTTTTTTTTTTTTTTTTTTTTTTTTTTTTTTTTGAATGGGTTTAAATGGAAGGAACTCGCAAAGCCGCATGCGGAATGACCAAAGTTGAAGCTTAAGCTTACTACTAGTAATGCACCTGCCAGGTAGGCCAATTTCTACCCGTGCTTGCATCTACATAACGTTTATGGCGGCAGGTATGGCATGTAAGCTAGCTAAGCTAGGTAGCTAAGTTAATCAAGCTAACATTAAGCTAACATGTCCGGCACGTCTGCATGTCTGCAATGGATGTAATGTACCTAGGTACCTACGTATGGTGTATTAGTTATATTATATGCAGCCACCTACCTAGATTGTAGGTACGTACGTGCTAATAAATCGAATTACGCCCGACTTTTTGCACGTGGCCAATATCACATTCCAGTCTTATCTCGCATGCCGACAACCATCACGGATTCGGACAACCCTAAACGGTAATTAATATGCACATGAGATGCTTATCTGCCTGAGTCCTTTTATACTACGATATAATTGAGCGCACATGATGCCATGAAAGAGGAGAATGCCGACTCAACTTGACTACCTACCACATAGTTATCTAATTAATCTGTCAGTCATCGACAAGCCGTACCTGGTTATACCTAGAGCCCGTTATACGTGAAAATACCAAGAATAATCCGATCTTGTCTGCTTGTATACCGTGTAAGTCACCTATCTCGTCATTTGTACTTTTATATATCCTTACTGAAAATCCTAGGACGAAAAGGCATTCCGCCGATTCAGACGAGAAAGATCATTGGATCTTCTAATATCCTCTTTTCTTTTTTACCTTAAACGTTGGAGCCCAGCAGGTCCACAAGGTGAATGCTGATTTGAGCAAAACCTTTTTTATTTTTCCCTTCTTTTTTTTTTCCCGCAGTCTGCTTTGACTCTTTGACCTGCTTGGTTCATCAAATTAAGCAGCAGTCGGGCGCAGGTCGAGCGACTTAAAAACAGAAACACCGGCAACCAATAGCATTTTGGTCGCGACCGTCTCTGAATCATTTTGATCACATCATTAGGGCATGCTATGGGTATGCTGGATTTTACCCTTCTCAACATTTTATTCATTCATATTACAATTCTCTCATACACATGACATCCACATGATACCTCCGTAATCGTGAGCTGTTCCACCGTTCCTTAGACCGAAAGATTCCCGTCGCGTCAAGGTCAACCCAGGTTGCAGAACGGCAAGTTACGAGATACCTAGAGATCCGTCAAACAAGCAAACAACACAGTTAGGGTCTGTCTCGAAAAAGCAAAAGCGTCTTACTTGCACTGTTCGTTGATTGGACCGGATTCCCCAGCCAAAAGCCGAAACGGGTTAACAGCTTACCTGAGTTTACTTGAGTTTTCCTCAGTTAAAACAAACCTGAATTAACTGTGACTGTGCGTACGGTCTCGGACAGTATAGTGTGGTTACAGCTCGCTTGCATTTCCCCTTGGTATTATCGCGTATCCGTATCCAGGCCAAATACTTTTACGCTTGTATACCTTTGCAACCTCAGTATTTTTTTTATCTGGTAGGCAGGCTTGGAGCCTTGCCATCAATTCCCACTCTACTTCTCCTCTTACTCTTCCAATACATATACCTTACCTCATAAATCTTCCAGTCCTTCCTATCTCGCGTCATCCGAAACCTCAATTAGCGACCGACCAGCCATGAAGGTAATACTTAAAATCAGCCTCCAGTTTCTAAAGAAGCTGTCGCTGAAAAGGGGCAACAATGACAATCCGATAGATTCGGATGCACAAGAGGAATGTTCTCCTAAGAATAAGAAGCAACCACCACCCGAACTTCCTGAAGAGTGTCCCATATGTCACGATCCCGTGGGTATCGCCAACCCCGAAGGCATCGTCGAAGCATGGACCAAGCTACATTGCGGCCATAAGTTCGGTACACATTGTATCCAGACTTGGCTGCAAGAATCTATAAACCGCGAACCTAGTACCAATCCGAGCTGTCCCATCTGCCGAAGTACAGCTAAGCATCCTTGCGGACATTTGATAAGCCCCCCACCCTTTCCATCCCTTCACCTGGATTGGCAATCACCTCGAGCTCCGCCATCTCCTCCGCGACGCCACCAGGTTCGTCGTCGCCTTACCCGACGAGCAGGTCACCCACTCCGTCCCCCGCCTCAGCCTCGCCGTCGGGCCCAGGTGGTTGGCGAATGCCGAACTTGCGCTGAGAATGCCGAGTTTGAAGAGCGACTTCGCAATAGGATTAGGGAACGTGGACGACAAGACACGGGAGAATCGTCGATGAGCGCTAGCAGCCGGTCTGCAGCCGCTATCAAATCCATCATCCCCGGACTAAAGAGATCTTCGAACACTGTCCGCACGACCATTACTCACGTAGGTATCGATCCCCTCGAGCTCGAGGGAAACCCACGTAGTGCCTTATGCGTCTCATCTCACGTCTCATCACGCCGGATGCCTCGACACTCGTCGCCTCCTCCTGGGTATAGTAGACGTCTCAGCATATAAAGTTCTACATCGATGTTCGCGACATTCAACGTATGGTTTACGGGGCTAGATGGGGAGGACAGGATAGAATACAGGTTAGATGATAGGCGGACGGAAGCTGGTATTTTCTTTGCAGTCTCTCGAAGTTCTGACGGATCACGGAGTAGATCTGTCTTAACTTATCCATCCACCTGATGACGGAAGTTATAGTTTACGGCGAAGGTTCCTAGGTATCACATAGTCGGAATGCATGGGGTCTTAGGGAAGCTCAGGAGTTCTTAGGCTAGGTTCTACATGGAAATGGATTTTCACGCCCGGGCTGGCATTTGATCTCGCGATTTGCATTATGGATTCCGGTTAGGCTCAGGCTATAGGAAATATTTGCTGGACAGATGAAAAGGAGGTGGATAACCTAACCTAACCTATAACCTCTATAACCCATAACAGGTAGTTAGTTACCTACCTACCTAGGTAGTCTACGCGATGCTTTACTTTGTTGAGTTTGAGTTGAGTTGGTTGCCTAACTCGGTTCTCCTATTTTTCCTATTTCTCCTATTTACATGTACTCTACCTTCTGTTACATTACATTAGGTACGCTCTTGCATAACAGCTGAAATCTGATAGCGGGGTACTTCTACTTTCCCACTCCTCGTTGTTTTTGTTTTTCGTTAACGATAACGGCATTAAGAGGTCATTAGGCGGGTTGGCGGGGTGGGAAGCTACGGAGGGGCTCGAAATTTCCACTTTCCTTGGTGCTCTTGGTCCCCGAACGGGCTGACGGGGGGAGCTGAAATGGGGGCAGCAGGGGGGTAGCAAGCATAAGTGTACCGCTTACCCCGCACTATATACCCACTATGGTAGGATAAGCTAGGATTAGTAGTAGCTAGCTTAGGGCTTATCGATTAAGCTAACTAAACCGTATCAATCGTTTTGTTGGAGCACGAGCCGTCAATATCCATCCATTTCCATACTTCTTTTTACCCGTGATCGAGCTTTTTTTTTGTCACTGTTTGTTTGCGCGGTTGTTTGTCGCGTCTTACGTGACAGGTCCTTCGCATATAGCCAGTCATACTTGAGATCATGGTGCGCTGTCTTGTGCGGACACCGCCAATATGAGGTTTAGATCGGATCTCAAGAATACACGCACGTTTTCGAGTGAGCTAACTACCTGAAGCTTCTTCTACTTAGGATATTCCTTGAAATATCTACTTAACGTTACCTGGTTCTGATTGTTGGTGTAATTAGAATTGGTGGCCGCTCTTTCGTCCCTCGAGAAGATCGCCTGGTTGCGTCTTGACGATGATACCGTCCGCTTCACCGTGATCCCGGATACCGGGTCGCAAGTCTGGGCGTTCGTAGACCTTTCTCCTATAGTGTTAACCTAGGTAACCAAAGTTTACTATTCTAACCGGTCTCTACTTGCTGTACAGGTCCTTTTCCATGGACTTCATCTTCGACAACTATGCTCTCCAATCCGCCGAACCGAACAACACCATCAACCTCGAATTACCTCTAACCCCTCTCCAGCGCGCCCTCAAGTCCGCCATCAACGGGTCCTCCGCGTCGATCCGCCTCACAAAAAAAGACGGCATTCCCGTGTTATCCATGACCGTCACGACCATGGTCAAGGAACCTCAAGGCGCGGCCCGTCTCGGCGGTATAGGCGCAAACCCCTTAGGCGGCGGCGGCGGCGGCGGTGGTGGTAACTACGACGACGACGAAGACGGGGTCTTCGCGCAAGAGCCCCTCGAGACGAACCTGCGCCGCGAGCGCGAGAAGATCGTCACCCAGGACATCCCCGTGCGCGTCCTGCACCCGGACACCGTCGAGACCATCATGCAGCCCAAAGTCCGAGAGCCCGATGTCCACATCCAACTCCCGCCCCTGCTTCAGCTCAAAGCGATCTCCGACCGTTTTACAAAACTCGCCGTAGCTTCCCGCACGTCATCATCCTCGTCTTCCGCCGCAGCAACAGGAGCCTCGTCGTCGTCTTCGTACTCGCCCAAACTCGAGCTCAGCGCCAACATGCACGGCGGGCTGCGGCTGCGGCTGGACACGGACTCGCTCAACGTGGAGAGCCGGTGGTCCGGGCTCGAGAACCCGGAGCTGGACCCGGCGCAGCTGCCGTGCGCGCTCGAGGACCACCCCAGCACGCGGTTCCGCGAGGCCGGGCCCGACAAGTGGGCGACGGTCCGCGTGGACGGCAGGGACTGGAGTAAAGTGCTCAGCGTAGGGAGGCTCGAGGGGAGGGTCATCGCGTGCTTTGCCGACGACCACGCGCTCATCATGTACGTGTACGTCCCGCAGTATGACGATACGGGGGCTGAGGACTCGGTTGTTACGGTGAGTTTTTTTTAGTTTTTTTTTCGGTTTTTTTTCTGGCCTGCTGTGCTTGTCTGTGAGAAAGAGAGTGTGCTAATGAGTTTTATCTAGTATTATGTATCTTCTTATAGTGCTTGAGGGTTTAGGTTCTCATATGTAGGAGGTATCTAAGGCGTATGGCGTTTTAGGCCTTATACGGCTTGCTTGGGCGAGGCTAGAGTGTTTAAGAACGGATAGATAAATAGGTACCTAAACTAACCTAAGAACCTAATGCTAGTTTCACCTTTTGTGTTCATGCCGATGAGTTTGTCGTTACTGGATTAGGTAGAGTATTCTACGCATGGAGCAAGACGCAAGTCGAAATTACTGGCTACCTAGCCTAAGGGTAAGGGGTTCGACATGCTGCAGTTGTTTTGCAGCTGGGTACCGGAAGTAAAATAGCGCCGTGAATGTATTTCTATACATGCTTTGAGTTGGTTTGGATCAGAATACGATATGTGTCAAATAATCTAAGGATGGCTTTGACAGGTCATCTACTTCAGAGAGGTACTCCTAGAAAGCTTCCGTCGGGATCTGGTGTGATATTTATCTGTCTAACTCCGCTATCCTTGGCATTGTGCAGTTCATAATTTACATCATATACTTTTATCTTCCGCTTACTCATAAGCTATTCTATAACCCCTATATACATATTACACGATCACGCGAGTGGACTGACTGGCAAGGACATGCTATACATACATACATACAACAACATCATCATCATCCCTTTTATCTCTTCGCACGCCTGGCTCCTTCCAACTCCGTTTTTAGCGACACAACAACAACAACAACAACTACAACTACAACTTCAGAACAAGCCAATTCTGCTTCTCCTCTCCCTCTCCCTCGCCCGCCTTCACCTTACCGTCCTGCACCACCTGCTCCAGCACCCCCCGCACCGGCCCCTGCCTCTCCGTCCCCCCGAACCAGCGCTTCGGCCCCGCGTACGCCGCCACGAAGCCGTCTGGCCCGGACACGCAGATCAGGTCCGCGCCTGCCCCGGGTTGGACGGAGGAGGGGGATTTGCCATTCCTATTGTTATTACTATTGTTGTTTTTGTTGTTTTTGGTATTGGTGTTGGTGTTGGTATCTTTCACGCACGCGCACGGCATCGAGAACCGGCCCAGGTCGTTGTCGTCGGGAAGGATGACGAGCTGCTTCGGCGAGTGCCATGTGCACGACATGGAAGGGGGAGTAGGAGGAACAGCAGCAGCAGCAGCAGCGCTGGGGGCGGGAGAAGGGTTTGCGAGGGCGAGGCGCAGGTCCCGCTCTTCGATGAATCGTCGCTCTTCGTCGACGAAGTACGAGATGCGGAAGTGGTCGGGGTGTTTGGCTTGTAGCTCGCGGATTTGGTGCGCGAGGGTGGACTCGGCTGGGATTTGGGTTGGTTGTTGTTCGCTAGGTGCGTCTGATGGCGTCGTCGGGGCTGCGCTGCGCGAAAACCAGCTTGATCCCTTCCCGGCACCGGAGCCTGGCGGATTTTGCTGTTGTCGACCTAGCGCATCGGCAGCGTGCCGGTTCGCCCATAGGATCGAGACGGTAGGCTTGTCCCCTTTCCGCTCGCCCGCCGTCTCGGCCTCCGCGCTGTGACCATCCAACACCTTCCGCGCAACCTGCAGCGCAGGCGCGATTCCCGTACCTCCCGCGAGGAACACGACATGTCTGCCAACATCGCCCAGTCTCCGCTCGACATCGAACCCGAGATGCGGGCCCCGCAGCCAGACTTTCTCGCCGACCTGCAGCTTCGACAGGTACGTCGACATCTCGCCGCCATCGACCTTGCGGATCAGGAACCTTAGCTCTTCCCCCTGTCCTTCCCTTCCCGCTTCCCCTTCCCCACTACCAGCACCCCCGCTACCCCTAGCAACAGCCTCCCCAGCCAAAGGCGGCAAGGGCGTATAATGCCTCGCGATCTGCAGCTGCGGCTGCTTGACCTCGACGGACCAAAGACCGTGGTCCCAAGCCCTCTGCAGCAGCAACGACTTACTCCCTCCTCCTCCTCCTCCGCTGCCTCCGCCTTGGTCGGCGCGAACGCTAAGCACGAATACCGTAGGAGACACTTGCTCCTTGGAAGTGATGGTGAAGGGGCTGAAGGACGTCATGTTCATGGCGCCGCCCTGCGCGTTCTTGCTCTTGAGCACGGCGGCGACTAGGAATGCGCCCGCGAGGCCGGCCAGGTTGAACAGGATCCATGGTCGCCAGTTGCTTGGACGGCCTTGCTGTGGCTGCGGGCCGTTGGTTGATGATGATGGTGGTGGTGGTGGGGTTGTCTGAGCGCCTTGGGATTGTCTTTGTGGGAGACTTGAGAAGAAGAAGTGTTGGCTTTGAGAAAGATAAGGGGTTGTCTTAGGCTGGAAGCTCCTGGGTGCGACTAATTGGCGAGGTCTAAGACGGACGGCTTGAGATCCCGGAAGTAGGCGCGGTGTCAACCGGCCGGCGCATCTTATTGTTATTGAGGAACTCATTTGTTCTAACTCATATTCAGACCTCCAAACTGGTAATCCTATAATAGTAAAAACACTCACGGCCTGTATTGCGGATGCTATATAGATTGGCCAAGTGAGCTGTGTTTTTTGTAAGTGAGATATAAGTGAAAAGTTGAGATTGCCGGAAAATTGTTTGTTTTGGCAGCTGGAACAGACTGTCATGTTGAGTCTTGCCAGTTGTAAATGTGCTAAAGGCACCTGGCCATCACGACAACTAAATCCAGCACACTCATCTTATTGAGAGTTAATATAATGCTATGTAATCGACGTTTTGTTGTTCTATTTTAATGATATACCCTTTTTGAGTGCACTCTTTATTTCGACACTATTTCGTGAGTTGAGGTTTGAGGGCGTATCTCATAATACAAGACGATACCGCTTCTAGATGCAATGTAGTGGTAGTCTATAATCTAAGAAGCTCGCTATTCTGGTTTATCCCGCCTCTAAAATGGTCCATGATGATATTACCATTTACAATAGTCTCCTTGATAACTCCCTCTACATGCTTCGGCTCTATCCTGCCGTACCAGATCCCGTGGCCGGCTAGCGGGTGCGGATTACCCGCGTTATTCTTGAGAGTTGGCGGTAGGTAGACGATGACGTTTCCGGCGAACTTGTGTCCTCCGATATGGCTGATCTGCCCTACCCTCGCCGTGCGCGGCGTTTCCGTCCCCGTGGTAGTGCTGCCGGGCAGAGGTGGCGCTGACACGCTCTCGTTAATCGCCGGCCCGTGAAGAACATCTATTCCCGCCCGCGGCAATTGCTTCTCAAACTCCTCTTGCAAAACGGGTCCGTAGATACCACATCTCGCATCCCGCTCTCCATGACCGCAAATCAACACCAGTATATCCTCGACGTCGCGAACGCCATACAGTAACCGTTGATACGCTTCTTTCCGTGATAACCTGTCCTTGTGTATCGGAGACAGCCCCTCGTTCATCGGATGCAGCTTTTCTGGGAGAAGGTAGCCTTTGACTAGAGCTTCTACCGAGTCGAACGAGACTCTCGGAAGGAACGGGATATACTTGAAACTAGGCACGAGGTAGACGGATGTTGTTTGTACCTCGGGTCGTCTGGAAATTGCGGAGGGGAAAGAAGAGTTTATGACGGAGACGTTGTGGAAAGGCTACATGTATTCTCTTGCATTAGCTAACTTGGGAATAGCCTTCTAATGCTCAAGTAGCAAGACTTACATCGCTGTACACGCCCCCTCGGCCTATCAACTCCTTAAGATCGGCAGCCAAGTTGTCGCCGCTGTTATCCTCTTCTATGCGCGACGTCCAGTCGGTTTTGCCGGTGCAGATTATGACCTGTTGCGCGTACGACGCTATGAGGCCATTGAGATTGGAAGTCCTATCGATGCTCTGTTCCGGCGGCAGCGACGGCGTGTCGGCACAATCGCACGTTGGTTCCGGGCATTTCGGGACCGTGCTCACACATCGCGAGGTTATCGTTGTGCGCGGAATCGTGTTGTGTCTTGTTCGAAACGAGGCGGCGCGCCTCCACCAGGTAGCTCTAACTAACGGTCGCAAAGACATGGTGATGATGATGACGGTAGGACGGGTTCGCAACCCGCTGGAATACAAGTATATCTGGTGAGAGCCATGTTAACAACTCTTAGTTGTCTAAGATGGATACTCGGCCTGGTACTTTTTTTTTCTTCTTTTCTCTATCTCCGTGCGGTGGTTCATTCTCAATTACGTCGATTTTGCCGGGTTGTACTGTACTGTAACTCCGAGAGGTCGGAGTTCCGAACTGACGGGTCTGCGGGTCCATTAAAATTGGAGCAGTAGCGAACAATGGGAGCTTACAAAGAAGCAACCTTGTATGTACAATTATCCAGAACGCAACACATCTGATATACATACAACTGGATGATATTGGATTGAAACTCCGAGTTAAATTGACATAACCTAGCTACCTAACCTAAGGTACCTCAGGTAGGTTAGATCCTTTTTTCCCCGTAACTATAACATATAACTTTTGGCCTTCCCTCAGTTCTTCAATATATATTCTATCATGCAAGTTGGCACAAGAATAAACCAAGTATACATCTATCTCTATTCCAACTGCTTTATCTCGAATGGTATCAGGGTTCCTGTAACACTGATATCTTTTTCCGGATCATACTTCTCGAGAGTATCCAAAGGGCCATATTTCTCGCAGAGATACAGCATGTCGTTATAAGCTCTGTCAAGTGTTATTTATTATACCTCAAATTTGGGAAGCAACACTAACATTTTCCTCGAAGGACTTCCCGGGTGTCCAGCCGAATCATTTAAATATGGATGGATGCTGTAGAGACGGTTGCGGTCGTCCCATTCTTCTGCTGGATCCGAGGGCTCGATGTGGCGCTGGTACGCGCGCATATACTTTAAGGAGTTGAAGTAGTATGCCCATGTACACCGCCAGGTTCCAAATTCCATTTCGTTATGGGCGTACGTGCATCCCGGATCAAATAAGACTGTCTCGCCTGTCTTCATATCCGTTCCCACATTTCGTTCCCAAAGGTCACCATGTATCAAGGCGGGTGTGATCTCACGACCATCGGACTGCAGAGCTCCTAAGAGTCTAGGGATGACTACGTCAATGAGTTGTTTGCAAGCCGCGTCGTATTCTGGCCAAGGACCATTCGTGTCGTTGTCGTATTTAATAACGTCTTTGAGCTGATGCGTAAATGACATCGCCCAACTCTTTTCCCACTACATTGACGTAGGAGGTAGTTAATGGTAAGATTCTTCAAGTAGGTTCTATGGGTTTTGACCAAAACACGCTTCGTGTCTCATATAATGCAATAGAGTGAACTGAGTGGCCAAGGGGTGCTTACAGTTACAGTACGTTCCATTTTGCCGCATACTGTGGGAACAGGGTATCCAAACATCCCATTTGGAGATGTGCCTCGCTGGTGAAGCTCTGCTATCTTAGACATGAAAGCCTCGGGCTCTGGTGCTGTGGAAAAATCCATATCATGAAAGTCACCTAGAAAAAAGTATACCGTTGATCCGTCTTGTTGATATTCACCCCACCCCGTTGCCTTCGGAACTAGTCCGGTTATAACATCGTTGATAGCGTTCGCAGAGTGAAACTCTCCCTCTACTAGTGGACGGGCGCCTTGACCCGTAGCGCGCTTTATTATGTCTTGTGTGAGAAGCTGATCATCGCGTGGGAATATCCCCTTACCTTCAAGAAGTAGCTCTTTGGGCTGCCATCCGGAAGTATAACAGATACCTTTGCTGTTTTAGTCCACGCCGATATACCGCTCGACTCGGCAGATATGATACTGGTACCACTAGGCATAACTGCGAACGGGGATCTCATGTCAGCAAAGGTCACAGTAATGCTACGAAGAATTTGCTTACCTTCCAAGACAGCCTTGTTGATAAGGAAGTTCCCCTCAATTCCCGTAACGAATTCGGGCGAGTCAGCAGCCATTTTTCTCCCGTTACAAAACGTGAGGAGACTTTGTTAAAAAAGATACCGGGAGGGTTATAATGTATTAAGGCCGGCGCGATACTCGGAAATTTCACCATACACTACAGGAGCGGGTCTTAGCCCCCAATGTCGGCAAGGCCAGCTGAATCGTATCTCGGCGCTTAAATTATCAGTCCTGAACGAATCGTGGCTTTATTACAGAAGATCTACCTATGTGCACATTGAAGCTGCACTGAGCCCAAGTTGGAAGCGCTTATCGCAACTATCCGCTCATTGATTCGCTTCAAGTGAAATATCCCTGTTATAGGTGTACGTAAGGGGTGGGGGTTAGCAGGCGATCCATCACATTCGCCAAACGTGAAGGAACAATTTGAATAGATGACCCAGTACCATATTTCTCCTAACTTCCCATGCCTCTTGTGTGCATAGCGTATGCTCATAACAACATAGGCAATGGACACCTGGGATTAATACGACTTGCATGACTGGAGAATATGCCCAGACAACATGGTCAGTTATCACTTTCATTGTTCTGGACTTAAAAGTAATGTTTTATTAGTTTCGAAGACTCTCCCATTTCAGGAGGAAAGACCGCGACGAAAATCGCGTACCACGGTTTCATCGAACCGCGTCTGAGCCTCAAAGTTCTAATCCAAGCCCATCCGGTGTTTCGGAGCCAATTCGTGAAAATCAAGTCGAGTCTAGAGCGAGTCTTCATTCATCCGCACCTGTAAGAGTTGCCAATGGTGATCTTAACTCTCGAAGACACAGCGAAACCGAAGCTGGACCACTTGGTCTGACTGTGGTATATACCCCCGAAAATGCTCACAAGGCAGACATCGTCTTTATACATGGACTTGGGGGGACTAGTCGGTGGACATGGTCGAAAAACAAAGATCCAGATCTATTCTGGCCACTGACATTCCTACCTCTTGAGCCAGATCTTTGCTTAGCTAGAATACTAACCTTTGGTTACAATGCCAATTTTCGCAAATCTGGGAATATTGGCACTTCGGTGCTAGACTTTGCCAAGGATCTTCTTTTCGATCTCAAATTTGCGAAAGACGATCACAAAGAAGACTTGCGCATGGGAAGTGTGAGTATCACCGTGGATTGGTAGTTTCGAAGCATGGCCTAATCTTGCTTGACACTAGGTACCGCTGATATTCGTTGTTCACAGTATGGGAGGGCTCATAGTTAAGGAGGTGCGCATACCTACCTGCTTTTAACACGAATAGCTCTATACCAATATACTTACAAGTAAAAGGCATACATGCAAGGTCAGAACGATCCCGAATACGAGTCCATCATCAAGGCCATTTCCGCAATTACCTTCCTTGCCACGCCGCACCGCGGGACACATCTTGCCGAGACATTAAACCGTATCTTACAGACGGCAATGATCACAAATTCGAAGCAGTATATATCTGACCTTGCGAAGAATTCTTTCACCTTGCAAAAGCTTAATGAGCAATTCCGGCATATTGCGCCTCGGCTGGATATTGTTTCTTTCTATGAAACCCAACCCACTGCTATTACTTCGAAGAGCCCCCGAATAGTACGTAGACCACACTTCATATGTAGATTTTAATTAATATCCTTTAGATGGTATTGGAGAAAGACTCCTCCGTACTTGGATATCCTGGGGAAACCTCTAAAGCACTAAACGCAGACCACCACGGGGTATGCAAGTACGAAAGCCCCAGGGATCCCAACTATATCACTGTTAGGAATGTACTTAAGTCACTCCTCAGCAAGATCATATCAACAAGTAATTCGAGAAAGCCAGGCCCATCAAGTAGAAGAGAATCGCATGATCTAAGGTCTTTCTTAGTCATTACGGAGATACCAGCCATAGACTACAGTTTCTTCCGAGACCAATGGGTACGAGGCACTTGCGAATGGGTCCTCCAAGATAAAGATTTCATCGAATGGTATCAGGTATCTGAACCGACATCCTCGCTCTTATGGTTGAGCGGAGGGGCTGCAACTGGGAAGTCAGTGTTGTCCTCCTTTATTATCAACTACCTGGTGGAGCGAGACGCCTGCTGTCAATATTACTTCATAAGATTTGGCGATCAGAAGAAACGGACCCTAAGTTCGTTGCTACGTTCAATCGCTTACCAGATAGCTTTGACGATCCCGAGCTTTTTACAGAGACTCCTCGAGCTTACCGACGAAGCCGTTGATTACGAAACCGCAGATCCAAGGACTATCTGGGAGCGTCTCTTTAAATCCATACTATTCAACATGGAAGACCAAAAGCCCCTATACTGGGTGATAGATGGCCTAGACGAGGCGCACGATCCTCGCGCGATCATCAAACTCCTATCTGACGTCGCTTTCTCTTCAATCCCGCTTCGCATCGTCCTCGTAAGTCGTAGAATTTCGGAAATAGAATCTGCCTTTCAAAAAGTATCCAACTCTTTGAGATCGAGAACAATAAACATTGAGGGTCACTTGGAAGATCTACGGTGCTATGTGCGGCAGGAACTAAGTATGTCCGGTGGTTCAGAGTTCAAAGAAAATATTATACAAAGGATTGTGGAGGGGTCTCAGAATAATTTCCTTGTAAGTCTCAACCTTTCCGGCATAAGAACCCTCCTCCGCAGTTAAACTAATTGTGTAGTGGGTACGACTCGCTGTTAGCAAGCTGAATCTATGTCATAGACTCGCAGACGTTGAGATCGCACTTCAAGAATTGCCAGTCGGTATGGAAGCACTTTACGATCGCATGGCATCGTCGATTGCCCAAAGGCCATCCCCGACGGATAGGTCATTAGCATCAAGTATGCTACAGTGCATTGCTTGTTCGTTCCGCGGATTGACGGTCACAGAGTTATCGCAGGCCTTAGACGAAGACATATCCGAGATATTGGACTTTGAAAGATCTATTGTAGACCTATGTGGCGGATTTGTAGCCGTTGATAACGGCGGGAACGTTGTGATGATACACCAAACTGCACGCGAATACTTGTTGAGCGACAATGGCCATCCTTTCAGCATCGATCCCCAGGAGGCCCACGAACGCATGTTCAAGAGCTGTATGAAGTGTCTTATGACCATTGGCCTTCGAGCAAAGGTGAACCGAAACCAAAAGCCCGAGTTTATTGATTACGCCTCAACTTATTGGTCATCACACTTAATGTCAACATCCTTCGATTCTGAACAAGTCGGAAAGGTTCTTAAGAAATTTTTGACCAGCCACTGGGTTCTGACATGGATACATATCCTTGCGTCAAATAACCAACAGCGAATACTTATTCAAGCGTCGAGGAATCTTTCGAAATATTGTCTTAGGCAACGGCGTTATTACGCACTACAAACAGACAGAGGACAACAAATCGTGGAACGAGAGCTTCTTGAAAGTTGGTCCATAGATTTTGTCAAGTTAGTAGGGAAGTTCGGTATCCATTTACGCCGAGATCCAGAGTCGATATACAAACTTATTCCACCTTTCTGCCCTCGAAGCTCCTCGGTCTACCAGTTCTTCGGGAAGGCAGAGGTAAAAAACATTGCCGTATCAGGCATATCTACCGAGAACTGGGATGATTCCCTTGCGCGCATATCACCCAGGTCTGGCAGCTATGCATCGTCTATCTCGGCCTCTGGGAACCTGGTTTGTATCCTTGCTTCGCCAGGACATGTATATATGTACGACTGTTCAACTTTTGAAGAAACGCCGTCCTCTCCCATCCAACACGGTGAACGTTTATACCGAATGGAACTCAACAGCACTGCCAGCCTGCTAGTTACCTATGGCTATACAACGATTAAAGTGTGGGAGACTTCGAGTGGAAAATGCAAGTTTTCAGTTAATAACATCCCTTCAAAACCTCGACCACTTTCCATACGCTTCATAAGAAATAGCACCAGCATCCTCATCGGCAGCGAAGATCGACGGATACGATCCTTCGACTTGAGCGACGAATCTTCAGACTTGGAGCTTGTAGCGGAACTAGAAGAACCGGAGCTTGAGGGACACTTTTTAAATTCATCCAACTACATGGCTTTGAATAATGACGGGACGCTAATAGCTGTCGCCTATCGAGGTCATCCGCTTTCTGCGTGGGAGATAGATGGGCCTGTCCATATCGGGCATTGTTGGAGGACTCGCGAAGAGGCTGCGAGAGGTGAAGTCATCGATGCCGTCTGGCACCCGCACTCCCCCGAAATACTAGGTCTGTACATCGAAGGAGTTGTTTTCAAATGGCGTCCTTATGATGGTGCGGTTATTGAGATGCCAACAGGAGCATCTAGATTAGCAATCAGCGGGGATGGTAACCTGCTCGCCACCGGTGACGCACATGGAACTGTGAAAGTTCACACCACATCCGACCTTGGATTGCTCTATCAGTTGACCTCTCAAGATACTGTCCTAGGACTGACATTCAGTCCTGACCATCGGCGCTTTTACGATATAAGGGGGTACTACGGGAATGCATGGGAGCCGAATGCGCTGATGAAGTTTTCGGATCAGACGGAAGGTAATATAGATGGTGGAAGTGAGACCGAGAGTCTCAACCATAGCCTGTCAATGTACTCTAACTCGACTAAGAAAGTTGACTCCATCACGGTATTGGCGGCAGCACCAACCGGACGCTTATATAGTTACGGTACGGAGACCGGAGCAGTACATATAGTCGACTTGCACAAGGAAAAAGATATCGACGTTCATGCGAAGAAGGGATTTTTAAGTATAGAGCAAATGAGTTGGAGCCAAAATGGGCGGTATATGTGCTTTGCCGACTCCAGTAAAAAGGTTTACATTAAGTCAATCACCCCGGGCACAAGCACTTCGGAACCAGTTGCGGAAACCAAAGCGGAGATCTCGATGAAGACTATTGCGAAAGGCCCCATAACACAATTACTTTTCCAACCCAACTCCAAGAGTCTCTTGGTTCTCACGTCCAAGTCAGCACACACAATCTCGATCGAAACATTAACAGTTATCCAATCGGTGGAACTAGATGCGCCTGACTGCAGGTGGATTGCACATCCGGAAGACATGAAGCTAGTTGTGGGGTTCGGGAATAGGCGGATACAAATTACCACCTGGGACCTAATTCAAGTCCAGGCTTATGCGACTAACTTAGGAGATCATGCTGTTGTGAACAGAGTTCTTGCTACCCAGGATAAAATGCACTTGCTCGTTCAGACGTCTTCTGAAGCCCATAACTCAAAGGAGAAGGAATTGCATTATTTCAAGAGTTCTGACCTAGGAGTATTATCGGAATCGACAACAACGATTATCCCGAAGACGTTCCCTCGAGATATATCATCCGAAGTCGCCCTTCCGCTTGCGTTTCGTGCCCAGGATCGCCTCATATATCTCTCTGGCAACTTTTCGGTCTGTTCCTGGAGGCTTTCTTCTGATCCGAACACACATAACATCCTCATGCCAAGCAATCATACGACTCCTACAGAATCACCAGGAACCCATAATCGCCACCAATCTAATAATTCTATCGCAAACCAATCTAGAGAAATCTTCGTACTTCCGGGAGATTGGGTTAATAGGGACTGTCTGTCCTTATGTACCGTCTGGGGTGCAGAGCGATCTTTCCTATGTCCAAGGAACGGGGAGGTGGCCGTTGTCAGGTGCCGGGACTTAATCTAACCCCTCTGCCAGTATCGCACAGCAAACAGCATCATTTGCCGATAACACTCTTTTTTTCTTCTTTTTTTTTTTAAAAAAAAAAACATACTACGATGAATCTGAGGCTATCCTCCATTGTCGCCATTGCGTCCCTTTCTGATAGTCCACTAAAAAGAGGCCTAGGACAACCAAGCATAAACCGCCCATGAATGTAAATGTCCAACCGATGCCCAGGGCATCAATCAGATTTTGAAGAAAAGATACTGTAATAGCAGCTAATGTACAGCGCACGATGTTACTGGAAGCCTGGGCAGCCGCCGGGGTTCTATGGTTCTTATCTACCAGGAGGGTATTGTAGATCTTGAAGTCGTTCAGCTAGTCTGGGGAAGAGCATACATATGGGAGGGGGGAGCTTACGCTGAAGTCGAGCTGCATACACAAGCCGGCGACGAATTGAAGGACGAGGGGAATTGAGATGTGCTACCTTGTGTAAGTTTAAGTATACGAATAGGAGGAGGAGCAAGCTTACCTTGTTGTAATGTAATGTCCAGCCAAAAGCGATAATTGTCATAGTTGTGATGATCAGGGGTGTCCATATAACGCTAAGACGGGCCTTTTCAATTGGGAAATTGTCCAAATCATCTCCAACCACTTTGTCCGTTGATAAGTCACGTTTCGTTCTGGCTCTTCGGTATGCTCTGTCAAGTAGGGGTCCCGAGAAGAAAGTAGACACCATGCCGCCGACACCGAAAGGAAGGTATATTATACCGGCCTGCCACTGGTTGAGATTATAAATGTTTATAAATAAAACGGAGAGCGACGCATTAATGCATGTATATACGACGTAAAGTAAACCGCAGGCGAAGATAATGGTAGCGTTATCTTTACGGGTAAGTATTGTCAGAGACTTCAAGGGATTGGGAATCCGCCGCGCTTGCTGCGCACTCTGGTCGCTATCAGGTACCCAGCGGCGCATTAATGTCGGAATCGGTAGTCGTAGATGTTTTGGTGGCCTAACCGATCCATTCCCAACGATACTCCGAGAGGTTTCAGGGAGGAAAAGAATGATTATAACCAAGCACAGTCCCGCAGCAATGGACAAAAACCAGAAGATCCAAGTCCAGCCAGCGGCATAGCTCAATGCACCTCCTAGTATTGGTCCAATACTTGGCGCAATTGTTATACTTACTGCTGTTAGTAAAGTAGGAGGAGGAACTCAGTTATGAGGCCTTACACACGCGAAGGACACAGCGCTTACGAAGGAACCTCTTTCCGCCGGGGACGCGACGTCAGTGATTACGCCGTAAGCAACCGAAAATGTTCCTGCACTCAATTAGCGTCAGCACAACGACCCCAAAGCTAGGTAGATAAATCAAGTTCATGCCCGAGATTGCCAAAGCCTGCAAGACACGAAGACCAAGCAGCGCATTATACGACTTTGACAAGGCGATAACAATATTCGCCACTACGTAGAGGCTCAGCGTAACCATGTACACAGGCCTGCGACCAAGGACATCTGCGGCGTCACCAACAAGCGTGGGCGCTATCGTCGCGACCGCCATGTACGAGGTGATAGTCAAGTTGATCTTATCAACCGAGACTGAGAGGTCCTCGGAGAGCAGGTGTACGGCGGGGAAGTAAATAAAGCTACTTAGAGTCGAAAACCAGGCGGCGTACGAGACCATGGAGACAATACACCATTTCTCAGCTTTGGTGAACACAGAGTACCTGTCCATGGCTCTTGCGGATTTCTAGGGCACTCCCATTAAACTATATCCAGGTAGATGAGGTAGGTAGTTATTGTTACAGATGTTTTCTCCGAGTGTGTACCAAATGCGAAGTTGATAAGGGGATCAGCAGGACCCCTTCTATATATTTACGAATTAAGAATGCGGCTGATATCTACAGGTAACCCCGCATGATCTCCCGCCGCCGATATGCGGCGAGTTCAACGGCATGCATAACTGGGTTGTGTCGATCGTGAGCCACGTAGCCATGGTTTAGGAGATAGAGTATTAATCAACCAATTGGGAGCTTTGGCTATGATTACAAACATTACGATTATTAAACGACTAACTATATTTCTCAACTGGAAAGGCAATCCTATATAATTCAGGGGTTTTGATGTTGTAACCTATTGAAGAGAATGAATATGTAGCTAACGTAAGAAACAACTAGATGAAGACTAATTTGTGTTTTCTAATAGAGATTGTATTACTGTTCTACAAATTCATGAATACAAATTTATGACTACACGGTCAAAGGCAATGCCAACGAGTTAACATTAAGCTAGAACTAGTAGATACCTAGGAGGTAGGTATGTTTAGGCATACTGAAGTTACTCTCCCAAGTTGGACGAAGTGACAATTAGGCACTTACCTGTCATTTGTCTCTGATAGTTAACGGATGTCATAAGAGAGGTAGGTACAAAAGTAGAAAGATGTGTTGGTAGAGCACATGGGAACCTTAGAGGTAGGTATCTCGATATTAACTGGCAGGTACCTAATACAAAGACAAGCTCCTTAGAGGAAGGAACGCATTATGTTGTTGATATTAACGGCGTGCAAGTGCGACTTAATTTGATGTACCTACCAATATGCCGCGGGCAGGAACAAGACAATCTGTAGTTTCCTGCCGGAGTCTTTGAAGAACTGAAGACCTAAAGTGGCAATAGCAACGGGCTTTCGTGCTTGCCTAATGAGCTTCCGTGCTTGCCTAATGTGTTGTTTGGCTGCCGTTGCAACAGGCAAGTGCTGGTTGCTTAGGCAGGTTTGTCGTTCTTTCCTCCTTAGAAACTGCCGGCTGTTGCTACGGCGGTGAGGTCGGCGGTGAGGCTTCGTAGGGCACTATATAAGTCTGCGCACATTCCCGGTCCATGGAATTTTTTTTTCTTCTCTCTTCTTCCAACTTACCAACCATCTAACAACCTTATTCAATTCTACAAACTAACCACCGTTCCTAATAATCACCGTTCGGAGTAAAGGGCGTGATTACCTAAATTACATTTCTCTCTTTCTTCAAGTTACCAACCGTCAAACAACTTTATTCAATACTACAAACTAATTACCGTCCGGTGTAACGGGGTGCATTAATTGCATGCTTACACTCAACTTTAATCACTTCTTGTTGATTCAACGGAAAGACTGAAAAGCTATCTGCGAAACAATTTCAGTCTCAATGATCCTAACCTAACCGCCTCCGGCTTGTTTAATGTAAGTTTCAGGCCTCTTCTAATTTGAGCTACCATATTTTTTATTGAAAGGCTGAAATCTAACTTGTTTTACACAGTCTACTTATTTACCTACTTGTTCTATTCACTCTTTATCAACATACCTATCCACACCCGCAAACCGGAATGGAGATCTACTCCTTACCCAACTCATAACAGTCATCATTCAACAAGTATTAATTTCTCTGTTAATTACCTATTGTCTAAACCAACAACCTGAATGGTACCCTCCGTACCGTGGCTTCTGTTCTGATCATGTCAACTTCACGCTTCACATTATTCCAGTATGATTACCCCCTCCACATGGTAAGTCTATCATTTTTAGATATTGTGCAATGTATGTATAAAGAGGTAACTAACTTGCTTGGGTTTAGTGGGTGCAATGGATATGCGTTCTTTACAAGGTAGCAACTGTATTATGAACTATACGTAGTGTCATTAACTACATGTTGTTGTCTCTATACGAACTTTACTGTTGCCGACTATGCATTGTTAACAATGTATAATACCGGCGATGGTATACTATCAACTCTGTATACACATCGCCGGCTATACATATCGGCGACTATATACACTGCCAACTATGATTACATGTCCATCGGCAACTATACATTGTTGACTATTCTAGGTTCTGTCCACAGTACAAGTATGCGGCTATTTATCCCGTATACTATACATTGCAAGTTACCACTTGTATATTGTGAACTACCTGTCAGCAAATACAATCAACACGACTGGGCTCCTCTCGACCTTCTGAAACATTCTGAAACCAACGACAAGAGTTATCTCTTCACTGCAACCCTGAGATTCACACACAACCCCAGAATCCAACCCAACAAATATTCTAACTCAATTTGGGGTGCCTCTTCTCAACTATTCACTTATTTACCCCAGCTTAAACATCATTATCACTTGGTCACCATCACCTGTACCATAACAATAATGATGGGGAATATCTATTTCGACCGTGACCCTGTCCCTGTTCCCGTAGCCCACTGGGCTCTCGGAATTTTGCCCTACACCATCATCTACCTGAAGAACCTATTCTACAGCATCTATGAGATCACTTGGCCAAATATCCTCTTCCTGTGCATGTTCCACATAGTAGTCTTCCACCTATCTCTCTTGGCCTGGGTAGACTACTGTTGATGGTCATCTCACCCTCTTCATCCTGAACATCGCCAGATCATCGATGAAATCGTTGCAATGGGCGATGCCTGTTAACTCTCGCGGACTGCTTTGGATTCTATTTTCCTATCTCTGGTGTCACTGCCGTAAGTGCTTTTTCGAAGTTGTCTACTGCTTTTGCTATGCATCCTATGACCTATGCTGCACTATCATCATCATCATCATCCTCTTCCTCATCATCATTCTCATCATCATCCTCACGAGCACTATCATATTTCTACCCCGTCGCTGTTTCTATCATCGTTTCCATGATCGTTCTTATCACCGTCCCCACCCCCATCACCTTCCCTTTCTACCCCGGCTTCGTACCTACCACGAGTGACTCTTACTATTATTCCACAAAATGGACTACATGTTTGCAAGTGATGATATGATATGAACTTTGGGTGTCAATACTTGGCGGGCAGACTGCTAACTCGGATAGAAGTAGGATTCGTCAGCGTCTCACCCTTCATAAAAGACACATACCTTCACCGGCGGTCCTATTTGCCACAAAGCTCTCGCCGGGACGACTTCTGGGTCAGCAAGCCGAGCGCTGGGCCGGGATCACCGTGCTTGCGCTCATATTGCAGCTCCAGGTATTCCTGTGGCGGGCCCGCGTCGTTGTCATCGCCGAAGAGATAGGCAATGTCGACGACAAGGGCTTCGGCGCCTTTCTTACGCCAGTCCCACTCCTCGCGCGGCGCACCCTATCACTATTCGCCTACTGGGCCTTCCTATCGACTTATGGCGTGTTCTTCGCAGCTGCAAACAAAGTCTATAAAATAGTTGCACTTGTGTTAGGCAGCATCCTAGGCACAATCGTTCTATTACCATTATTCGCCTTGATTCTAGTGGCAGCTTTTCTATTATAAGCCACTAGGTACTCACTCCACCTCCGAGATTGCAACTTGCCGACCGGACCGTGACCGGCGCGCAAAATATCAAATGATGTGCAGCACAAAGGCAAGATAGCCGCGTCAATCGTCGAATTATCCCGGAATCATATTACTTCCAGCTTTGGACGGCATATTCATTTGTCACTATTACTCATTTGTCACTCACTATTTGGCTCATGGCGGAAGTCTTACAGCAGCATACAACACACTACACACATCCGGCAACTCGTTTAGGGATGGGTTTGGTCCACGCTTCTGAGACATATTTCAGGAAGGAGAGCAGAAGATGATTACTTTTCCGTCTATTGGCCTCTATTTGCTACCGCAAGCTTCACCCCGGACGCGGTCTATGGCAGCGTGGAATGGCTGGGGGTTCAAGGGGCAGAATTAGCGTTTCGCTTGACAAAAGGGAAAACTCTTATTATCGCACAAAATATTGCAGGCAAAGGATGAGCAGCCATAGTTCCGAGGAGGTGCTACATGGTTGCGAGGAGATGTGGCTGCTATTTCCCCGTGAGACTGGCCTCGCGACTATTCTATTCAGCCAGCTTCCTCACCTATCTTTCCATTTAAACCTCCTCGTCTACAAAGCTACCTTTAGCGACTACGAGGTACCTATTGGTTCGCACTCAGCCTTGATAAAGATGCAAACGGGTCTTTTTCGCCACGATACCACGCGACTTCCGAGCTTGCTTATTGGCTTCTGTATCCCGACGCTTAACGGTGGCATCTATTCACGACCCATAAGATATTCGCCACACTAGGGATGGGCGAGCGGCCTGCTTAGTCTAGGGTTCCTGGAAAGGACGGCCGGCTTGGCTATCTACCTCCTACGCGCGTACCTCCAATGCGGCGCGGTGCCTGAGATTCAGCCAATTCTTGCGAATGGTGTGTGCCAGGCAACACAGATAACAATCAGTTCTCGTTCTCAAGACTTATTTTATTACACCTCTTGATACGACTGGACTTGATACGGAGATCAGCGATGATGATGGTCATGATGCTATTCTTCGGGAATATATTGAGAAGAAAAGAAATATCATTATCATTGCAAACGAAGCATTTGGCGCGCGCTACCGAGTCGTGCAGGCGGGTTTGATTACTCGAGTATATCTCATATCGGGGTGGCGCCGGATCTTTATCCCATTTTCAGCCATTTTTCAGCCAATTCCTGCGCATGGCGGTGTCGAACAACGCAGACAGCAAGCAAGCAGCAATTAGAGTTCCCACTCTCAAGACTTATTTTGTTATAATGATACGACGGGACTTTATACGGAGACCAGCGACAGCGTTATTATTCAGGGAGATATCGAAGAGGAGAATTGCTGTTGTTATTATTGCAAACGAAGCATTTGGCACGCACAAACGCGTCGTTGCGGCAGTCCTATCTCCTAGACAACCCTGTCGGTGGTGATGGTGAGGATAGTGGTGGTGATGGTGATGGTGGTAGTAGTGGTGGTGTGGTGGTACCTATTACTCAATCTTCAACCAGCCAGCCAGTTGACGAGTTCATGCGAATAGCAACGGGATGAGGAGGAGGTGTCAAGCAACGCGACTACACCCACCAAGCACAAGACATCACAATTCCCACTCCCAAGACTTATTCCGCCTGTGTCTTGGCCTTTTCCATTGTCTTTAACTGTTTATCTGCCTCACCTCACCTGACCTAACTTAAGGTACCTATTTCATGTATACTACCTCACCCAATAACAATAACCTTACATAGTACTTTACGTTCTTACTTTACGTTCTTGACGTTACATCCCCCGCGAAGCTAATATCCGCCCCTGCGCGCGCGCCCAACCAACCAGATAGATTAGTTACCTTACCTAGGTAGATTAGATGCTTGAGGGCTTATTGCACTACATCACAGACTCAAACTTGACTTGACTTGACTTGACTATTCGGGCAGGTGACGGTTTTAATTCTCGCCCGTGAAATGAAATGAAAGTGAAAACGAAACTAAAATGGTTCCCTAATGCGATGCTAAGCTTTTCAAATAACCTACCGCGTGCCGTGCCGCCCCTTGTTCGCTCGGTGTGCGATCGAGCCCACCCAAATATAGAATCCGGTACCGCCGATCGTAGGCAGCTCCTACATGCATCCAAACCCCTGGATCAGATGCGCTTAACTCATGACCTGAGATAAGAATCTTCTTCATCTTCCTTTCCATCCTCTTGCCAAACTTATTGATTTTATTTAATTCCCTTCCCCCCCCCCCCCCCCTTTTCTTCATCTCTAATTATAGGTACCTACCTAATGTAAATCCATTTTTATCGCGCGATGAAGCCCATTACTTTCGCCGGTATCCTCGCTCTGGGCACCACCCCTGCGGCTGCCGCCCCAACAGCAGCCGGGTCCGCGGGGTGCGGCAAATCGCACCTGCTCCCCGGGATAACGACATACCACGGACTCACGAGCAGCGGGAAGGGGCGGAACTACTTCATCCACTTACCGGGGAACTACAGCGAGACGACGCCGTACCCGGTCGTGGTTGGTTTCCACGGGTCGAGTAGCATCGGGTTGTTTTTCGAGGTGGATACCGGGTTGAGCTCGGATAGGTTCAGCGCAAATGTATGAAGTTTTCAATTTTTAACATTGTGATAATGATAATGATGATTATGATGAGGAGGGGGGTACCGGTGGGCGATGTAGGTAAAAAACTACTTTGGATTAGGGTATTAACAGAAAACTACTTAGAAAATCATGGTCTACCCGAACGGTCTCGGCGTAAGTCCTCCACATCCTGCTATAAAATTAATTCCTGTATTCACTTAACGCTATCTAGGGCGCCTGGACTGGCGCGAATTACTCCGAAGCCTCGGTTGAGGAAGACCTGCAATTCGTCTTGGACCTGTTGGACGATGTCAGGGGATCATATTGTGTAGATGACAGCCGAATCTACGCTACAGGGTGAAGCCTCATCAATCTATCTAGCGCTATTTGACGTGAGTGCTGACTCAAGTAGAATGTCCATCGGGGGCGGCTTCGTCAACACAATCGCGTGTAACGATATAGGAGGACAATTCGCCGCTTTTGCGCCCGCCTCAGGGTCGTACTATACGGATAACGACGCGGCGCACGGGGATTGCAAGCCAGCGCGAAGTCCATTGCCTTTACTCGAAGTCCACGGAGGTGCTGACGGTAGCGTGCACTACGACGGCGGGGACGGTGAAGGAGGTGAGGAGCCGAGTATTCCCACGTGGTTGGGATGGTGGTCGCAGCGGAATGGGTGCGATGATGGCGCGAAGAAGGTGGAGGATAGCTTTGATGGAGACGTGCACCATACCACCTGGAATTGTGGTGGTGAAGATGGTGCGCTGCAGCATTGGAAGGTCGATGATATGGGTAAGTCTAACTTAATTCTTTTCTTTTCGGAGTTTTATTTAGACATGTACCGTCTGCATGTGGATGTTTTGCTTACCTTTTTGGCTACTTCTTCAGGGCACTGCTGGGCATCAACCGAGATCAACTTCTCACAGGTAGCGGCAGGCCAGGGACCGACGCATATACAGGCGTCGCAAATTATCATGGAGTTCTTCGACAAGTTTACCAAGCCGTGAAAGAGGACGGATTTACCCCGTGTTATAGTGTCGCAGGATGGACTAAAGTTTGTGCATGAAGCTGTATGATAAGTGTTAGCTGTAAATATCGCTCTCAAGTAGGTATATATACAACACGCCCTTTATCAAAGTTTGAATGCCTACCTCTAGCTAGATATAATTTATTCAGGATGGTAAGAGCTTGGACGCGACGCTGTTAGAGTTCGGGGATGAGGGAGATTGTCGACGAATAAAAACGACTCTCCCATTCCCGCTACCCTTGATTGGTACGCTAACACCAGCGACTTCCACGCTCTCTTCCTCGCCCTCGCGAGGTTGTACATCGGGCCAGTCTCTCCAGATTTCCGTATCTGCCTGCATATACCGCTTGAATGCCATCTGCACCACGCGGATAGCTTGGGCCAGATCGCCGACCTCGAAGGCTATCACCTGCGGCCGGATGATGGCGGCATGGTCCAGGAGCTTAGCGTAGAAGACATCTTCGGGCCTCACGTCTGGATATAATTTGGCAGCCTCCGGTGAGTGAGGGACCAGAGAGTACCGGGGCTCCCAGTTGCGCACCGACGGCTCGGTATCGCGATCGAAGCCCTCTTGCGATATATACGGCGGGTTACTGACTAGTATGCCGAAGCTATTCCTTCTCCACGTCATCCCTGCGTCTTTTATATCAAGCTTTCTTCTAATTTTCTTGTGTAGGTAATTAGTGAGCCGCCCTTCGTGGGCGATAGTAAAGGGCCAATTTGCAGAGAAGGCGTCTGCCCTCATGAAGGAGACGAATTGTATAGACGTGGGTGATTGAAGCAGCTCATGCTTCCTATTATGATCGAAGTTCCGCGCGGCAAGCCTGACGGCTTTAGGGTTAATATCATACCCTCGGACCTGCATGTTTGGAAATCGCTGATTTAGCAGCGAGTAAAGCAGTAAGGCGATACAGCCGGTTCCGGTACACATATCGATGATTTTTAGCTCGGAACCTATCTCATGACCAGTTTCACTTTCCTCGACATCCAAGATGTCACGCACGACGTGGGCGAGATGGGTGGTCCAAGCCTCGGTCTCATGGCGCGGGATCAAGACGCCGGGGCGGCACCGGATCTCGAGATTGCCGAAAGGTTGGCTCCCTAGGATATATTGTAAGGGATACCCACGGCCCCTGAGGCTGCACATACGGTAAAGCTTGGTAGCTTTATAGACCTTATCGTTACTTTTTGAGGCTTTTGTTTCCCTGAAAAGCGGCGCGAGCTTGTTCGATTCCACACTCTCGCGGATCCAGCGCAGCTCGTTCTGTGCCGAGCTCATATTTTTGCACGTAGGAAGCAGGGCGGTTATGTACCGCATATCGGTATTCAAGCGCTGCGCCGCCGACGGTGATACTCGTGGTATTTTCATTATGAGAATGAGAATTAGAAGTGAGAATGAGAAGTGAGAAAGACAAGTATAGAATGTGTTTGTGTTTCTTATGGTGAATGCGAATTTCTTATAGCGAGTAAGTGCCTTATAGCGAGTGCCTCCTCTCAGGTTAGGTAAAAATTAATTGATATTGCCCCGCCTTTTAATGTAATTGAACAATTTGATTGGCTGATAACTGGTAGTACGTATATGAGTTGGTCACGTGGTCCATGAGTGAGAACTTTCATTCACTTGAACCTGTACCTAAGTTAAAGTTAGGTACCTCTATGCCTCTAAATCCTCATACAAGGTTGGAAGATAACAACCACTTTGGGCTATGTCTCGAGTTATTTTAGAGCTCCCAGACCTCTAGCAATTGTTATATACATGCATACTTCGTACATCCATCTATTTTTTTATTACACGTCTAGCCAACCTAATCAGATATCTACGCCCCCTTTTATCTACTCCTTTTTCTTCGGAATCACATAATTGACCACCGCACCCCCTCTCACAGGGAATACCTTAGTAGCTTTCCTGATGTCAAGGTCGCCAACTAGTTTAGCCTGCGCTTCGGGTGACTTGAGAATCTCTTCTGTGACCCAGTTGCGGAATTCATCTCCGCCATCTGCGATCTCTACTGGCTTCAATGGTACATCCACCACGCACCGTAGCTTACCGTTCACTTGCACGGCGCAAGAGACGTAACTTCTTCCCAGGAACTGCAGCGACCCATCTTGGACGGGCCAGCTACACTCGCCTTTAGCGAATATGCTCCGGCTGTTAGGTATAAGAATGCTCCAGCACTCCTCGGCGAATGCAGGAGTGATGGGCGCCATCATCCGGATAAGCTGCCGCGTAGCTTCGCGCTTGATCGTATCCGAAGCTAGCTTGTTTTCAACAAGTATATTCGTGAGGCCCATCAGACTCGAGACCATCGTATTTAAAGGATAGACTTTCTCTAACGCATTGGTAACAGAGGCGATGGTGTTTTGCGTCTCGCGCCACACCTCCACATCTGCTGCCCATTGCGCTGATTCCCTTTCGTTCATCTTCTTTATTTCATCCGCAGGACGGCCGAAATAAGCTTTTCCATCAAAGCCAGTATGAGACTTTGGCTCAGACTTAGTAACGGTTTGCACAAAGTCATACAGCCGGCGCAGCCAACGTGTGACACCAGAAATCTTATCCTCGTCCCAGTTCAAAATCTCTCCGACGGGCGCTTGGAAGAGGATATGAGCCCTGGTAGCATCAGACCCATATTTAGCGATAAAAGAAGTTGGGTCTACACCGTTGTGTTTGGACTTGGACATCTTCTCAAACGACACTGTTCCCGTTTTTCCTGAGGCTACTACTTTCGGTCGAGAAGGATCCGACAAATCTACTTCGTCTGGCTTCAAGAAGCGACCACTGTCAGGGTCTGTATATGTCTTTCCATGCACCATGCCTTGAGTGATGAGTCGCTTGAAAGGTTCCCCAGAGAAGTCTAACGGCGAACTAAGATGCCCATCTTCTTTACCCATTTCAGGGTATAAAATACTCATAACCGCTTTATATACAAATCTAGCGTAGAGGAGATGGAGAATAGCGTGCTCGACCCCGCCAATGTAGATGTCCACGGGGAGCTGGCTTTTCGCCGCAGCTTCGGACACAGGAGCCTCTAAATTGTTAGGGTCTACAAACCTCATGTAGTACCAGCTAGAATCCACAAATGTATCCATCGTGTCTGTATCTCGCTTGGCTGGACCGTGGCATTTTGGACACGAGGTGTTAACCCAATCAGTAGCAGACTCGAGCGGGTTGCCAGGGCGGCCACTTTCCCAGTGATGATCAACTTTAGGGAGGGTAACAGGGAGTTGATCTTCCGGAACAGGCTGCGGACCGCATGTGTTGCAATGGATGATAGGTATTGGAGTCCCCCAATATCTCTGCCTGCTAATCAACCAGTCTCTAATCTTCCACTTAGTGTTACTTTCTGCAAGGTTAGACGTGGTTTTGATCTGGGAGACGATATCCTTCGCTGCAACGCTAGAAGGCTTAGTACAGTAAGAACCGGTAATAGGAGTCAAAAATCCTGCCTCCAAGTAAGGACCGTCTTTGAGAGAGGAGATAGACCCGCTAGGCTCAGGTGAGACAGCATACTTGAGAGGCTCGTCAGGACGGTGTCTTTTCCAAAATGCGAAATCTCTTGCGTCATGCGCTGGGACTCCCATAATTGCACCTGTCTCATAGTCTCCTCTAACGTAAGGAGTAACGTATACTGGAAGAGGCTTGAGGTTTTCTTCTGGGACATCTTTGAGGGAAGAAAGTGGACTAGTTGCTTTTAGGTACGATATCTCGTAACCTTCTGTGGTATCAGGGGGAAGATCCTTTACGCGCTCGACGAACTCCCGAAGGGCCGGATCTTCTTGGGCCATCTGTTGCACCAGGAGTGAGTGTGGAGAGAGAGCGAGGAACTGAGCTGCAAATATAGTTTCTGGTCTTGTCGTATATATCCTTAACTTGCGAGACTCGATTCCTTTGTCCGCGGTATTGGCGAGAAATTCGTAATAGGCACCTTCTGTGCGTCCGAGCCAATTCTTTTGCATTGTCAAGACCCTCTCAGGCCAGGCGTCATCCTCGCCAAGCTTCTTGAGATCCCGTAGGAGCGACTCCTTGAATTGGGTTATGTGGAAGAACCACTGCTCAAGCTCGCGCTGCTCGATCTTTGCGCCTGATCTCCATGATCTCCCCTCCGAATCGACCTGCTCATTCGCAAGTACGGTCTTGTCGATAGGATCCCAGTTCACCGTTGCCTTCCGCTGACTCACTAAACCGTGCTTGTGAAGGAGAAGAAATATTTTCTGGGTGTGTTTGTAGAACTCCGGGTCACATGTTGCAAATTCCTACGTAGTGATTAACATTCGGTTTTCCTATACTTGCATGCTATGATCGAAAACGAACCCGCGACCAATCGAAAATTGCATTCATCGACTCAAGCTGCTCCTTCATACGAGCAATGTTGTCCCTCGTCCAAACGGCAGGGTCAATGCCGCGTTCAATTGCCGCATTTTCGGCAGGTAACCCAAAGGCGTCCCAACCCATTGGTAGAAGCACGTCACGGCCCTGTAAACTATAAAAGCGTGCTATCACGTCCGCTATGGTGTATACTCGAAGATGGCCGAGGTGAAGGTTGCCTGAAGGATAAGGGAACATAGAAAGTATGTACATGTGATTATTGGTGGACTGAGAGTCATGATTCTTTAGAGCAGCGACACTACCTGTTCCTCCACGAAGCTGACGACCCTCTTCGGGGAGCTCGCTGCGCTTCGAGACCCGGCGCCATTTTCGGTCTAAAGCAGGCAAGTCAAGCTGCGTTGTAGCATAGAGCCGGCGCAGAATGGGCGTTCCAGAACTTGAAGACCAGGCGCTCTTAAGCTTCAAGTACGGTCTTGACTGACCAGCGAAATTTCTTATAACGGAATGCATTGAGTAGATTTCATGGCCGCTGTCTTAAAGAAGAAAAAAAAGAAAAAAATCAGAGTCGCTGAGTAAATGAAAGTTACAATGAATTTTATGAGCTTCAAGGTTGTTATTCAATGTCAATGTTATCTTATCAAACATCGCGATGGGAAACCCCCGTTTTATTGCATAATACTGCACTTTTACTTACATCTTCCCTTTTCATGCAATATGAGGTATGTCTAAATGTCTGAGTTACAGGTTAAAGCCATGCCACGGCCATCACGATTCAAATATCTTTTACTTAAAAAGGGTTATATATCGATTACTACGTAAAGCAACTCAACTAGAGCTAGTTGTAACTAATAACAAGTGCCAAAAAGGAGAAGGCTATTACTTAAACTCGGATGCGCGAAGCTGAGCGATAGCAAGATAATCCCTCCTATCATCCAACGAGACGTCTCCGCCTTCTCTTAACGAGACGCCTCCGCCTCCTCTTGACGAGATATCTTCGCCTCCTATTAACGAAATTCCTCCGCCTTCTCTTGACGGGACGCCTCCGAAGGCTATTTCATCGGCACTGTACTCTTTTCCTCCCTGGCTTTCGGTACTCTCCAGTCCCACGTTGCTGCTAATATCTGCTTCATCGTCAGTCGAAAAGGGGTCTAAAAAGGGGTTTATAGACACAGCGCCATTCTTATTAATGCTTTCCTCATCCGAGGAATCGGAATCATTGTCAAACAAACGTTCAACGTCGTATAGAACTGATACTATATCCTGACCAGCTCCCTCTCTAATCTGCGCGAGCTTATAGTTGTCTTTGAAATCCCAGCCGGAGTAAAATCCTTCAGAGCTTAACAGCTGAGCATTGACATCGTCATTTTAATTCCACGCGTGACGAAGCTTCTCGACCCAACCCTTTGCCGTTGCGCGACCTAGAGTAACGTGTTCAAGCTGTTTCTCACTCACAGACCCGGCAACGGCATCGTTGGTCCTGGGGAAAGCAACATCCAATCGCATAAGACCGAGAAGGTCCATCATATGTTCGGAAATGAATAAGATCTTTTTCATTAACCGCCGCGGAATGGTCATCCGGTCTGGTACCCTGGCCTAAAAGAGCGCAGGCAAAGTTCCCAACCTTGGTAAGAATATCAGAGGATATAGCAGCTCCACCTGAGGAGTTACTAGAAGGAATCTGAGTCTGGTTGCGACGAGACATATTCAGGTCTTGTTACTAATACGTAGTTTCTTGATCTTATGTGGGAATACCTAACCTAATGTCTTGTCTTAAGACATTACCTATACTTATTATGAAGTGTGCATGTTAACGAGCGGATATATATATACCTAGGTATATATGGAGTATCAATGAGTCTGTAGAAATTGTTATTAATTATTTGATCATGACAATGTGCTGGTTCAACCTCAAGCGTTTAGAGGAGAGTAAACAATTTCATTTATTCCATTGAACCCTGTCCTCAAATAAGGGTTTTTGTTACGACTACTTTAATGCATACCCAGTCAGCCAGTAAAAGCCTGACTCATACACCTAACCGGTATTAAAAATTACGTAATCCCTGGGTAAGGTAACCGTCATGCGCCAAGGTACGTACTACGGTACTAAGATGGAGGTATTACAGGTATCTAGGTACCTTATTACTTGCCTTTGACCCGCACAGACCCGTAGACCGCCCTATCGATGCTCAACTCAGGGGAAAGGGGAGCCTGTGGGGAGGAAGGTCCAGTGTGGACGATCAGAAACAAACCCCATCGCAATCTCATTGTTCCCTCTTCCGTATTTGGTCTTTTTCAACCATTTTTTTCTCCTTCTACCTACTCTCTATACTATCTTGCATATACTATTTTACTGACTTAAGAAAGCCTTAGACTCTTTTAAGAATTTATCGTACGAGAAAAAAACTGTTTCGATACTAGCCTTGCATTGCTATTCACTTAATTCGAATCTTAATACATTAGATACTTTATTGTACCTACACGACTCAAAGCATTAATTATACGGATTATTCTTGGCTATTTGAGAGAGAGAGAGTCTGACATCACAAGCTCTTGAACGCCACGAATTAATTCCATAGTGTACTACGCCCATCACTTATAACCGACCATGATTCCTCTTCGAAGACAAAGGAAATAGAAAAACAACTTAATTCACTATATTCTACCCCAACTTAGCTGCGATGCCAGCTCAACATTCCTCCGCCTTCCACACCACCGCTCGGGATTCCCTCGAACTCGCCTCCCTAGCATCGTCCAGTCGCGGTCCCGATACCTACTCGGAAACAGACTCCAGAGCGTCGATATCCTCCTCGCGGAAGCTCTCGCTCGAGCAAGACGACCCGTTAGATTACAACAACCCTGCGAGCCGTTCCGCTCGTGGAAGAACGTACTCCATCACCTCCAACTTCGACTATGCCGCGAATCTCTTCCCGCTCTCCTCGTCTACCGCTCCCGGCTATGCCCCTTTAGGCGCACCGAGTTCGGCTGCCCAGCGCCACGGCGGGCTGGGCGGGCCTTCGCTAGAGAAACACAAAACGTTAACGTACTTGAACGGGCTAGGTTTAATCGTAGGGCTAGTAATTGGTTCGGGTATCTTTTCGTCCCCCAGCCAGGTCAACGTAAATGTCGGCTCGCCTGGAGCGTCGCTGGTAGTATGGGCGATATCTGGCGTCCTCGCCTGGACGGGCGCAGCCAGTTATGCAGAGTTAGGAGGCGCGATTCCTCTCAACGGAGGCGCGCAAGCTTATTTATCCAAGATTATGGGCGAATTGGCCGGCTTCCTTTTCACGTGGGTGGCGGTCCTTGTCCTCAAGCCCGGTAGCGCCGCTATCATCGCAATTATCATGGGTGAGTACCTCGTGCGCGCCGCGGTCGGGGCCGAAGCGGAAACGATAAACCCCTGGATCAACAAGAGCGTGGGCCTTGTCGGATTGTTTATTGTGACGTTTTTGAACTGCGTATCGACGAAACTGGGGACCCGCGTGAACGATGCGCTCATGTTCCTGAAATTCATCGCCCTAATTGGCGTTACTATTTGCGGCATCGTGGTCGCCCTGACCGGGTTCTCCACTTCCGGCAAGGCTAATGTGGACTGGAAGAATCACGCATGGTTTGATGGTACGAGCACAGACGCGACCCATTGGGCTGTAGCCCTATACGCCGGGCTGTGGGCTTATGATGGTTGGGACAATGTAAGCTTTTCACCTCAGAGATGAGCATATCCTTGGCAGCCCCAGTATAGCTAACTATCAGAATGTAGACGAACTATGTAGTGGGCGAGTTTCGAAACCCTTCAAGGGACCTCCCGCGTGTCATCCATACGGCGATGCCTCTTGTCATTATTTGCTATCTCCTTGCCAACTTCTCATATTTCCTCGTTTTACCTCTCGATGCTCTCAACTCCACTAACACTGTTGCCGTTCTGTTCGGCAACAAAGTATTCGGTCCCGTGGGCGCGCTTATTTTTGCTCTGATTGTCAGCGCGTCTTGTTTTGGCGCTCTTAATTCATCTACGTTTACCAGCAGCCGGCTTGTTTATGCCGCTGCCAAAGAAGGTTATGTTCCAGCTGTCATTAGCCGCGTGGGTATTGGTTCCCGCGAGCCGGGCATGACAACTATGAGGACGAGGAATTGGTTTTCGAAACGACTACACAATATGATCGGCGACGAAGAGACGGGTCTTTTCTTTACGCCGCTGTACGCATTAGCGCTGAACGGCGTGTTAACGGCTATATATGTTATCGTCGGCGAGTTCGGGGAACTCGTTACGTTTTACGGGGTGGCAGGGTATTCGTTCTATTTCCTCACCGTCCTAGGATTGATCATCCTCAGGGTGAAGGAGCCGCAGCTGGAGAGGCCGTATAAGACGTGGATCACGACCCCCATTATATTCTGCTGCGTGAGCTTGTTCCTGCTCAGCCGCGCGGTATTCGCGCAGCCCCTGAAGACGCTCATCGTCGTCACATTCGTCCTATCGGGGATTCCGATATTCTTTTGGAGGATACAGGGCCGCGACCAGGTCGCTACCAAGCGGGAGACAGGCGCCGGCAACGCGGCGCCCGGGTGGAAGTTCTGGAAACGATGGCGGAAATGAAGCTACGACTGAAAAGATTAAACCCAACTCCCCCATCCCTTAACTACCTAAAAAAGGGGAAGGGAGGGATGTTTCTTATAAAAAGATTTTCCAACAGTTGGACATAGCGAGCATTCTGAATGAAAGAGAAGAGAGCATTATGACCACTGGGGTATACGGAGTCAGGCATACGCATATGTATCTACCTAGATTCTGGGTGGTAGTGGTGGTGGCATCGGTAAATAGCGTATATTTCATAAACCGGCACGTATGACGGTGCGATATGAATGAGTCAATAGAAATAATGACACAGGCAATGGCTTCGGTATATTACCGTGAGAAAAATACGATTTAAGAATATAATATCCCGCAATGTGTTTGACATTCATCCATGCACGCATAATAAAAGTAAATTCGGGGGCTATTATGTCTCCCAGCATACCACATGTAATCCCGCAAATACCTACCGTTCTTGCTCGTAAATGTTTTTTCCCCCTTTTCAACAAGAGTATCTTTATATGCTCAAGGTACGTTATCTAATGTAAGAAGAGTCTTTGTCATGATGATCATGAACTTGGTGTTGTAGGTATTTCTTAACGAAGAACTATTGTACTTCTCTACTAAAGCTACCTGGCTAAATCATAATCGAACTTCGTCATCGTCACTTATTCGCAACTCCTTCGTGCTTTGTCTCCTCACATATGAGGACCCTTTCGACGAAAAATAGGATCAACATCCTCGTTATTACTTAATCGATAGCAATTACCGAAACCCTTTTTCCTCTTCTTCGGATTTTCAGTTCTTTTTTAATTTCTTCCTTAACTTCTTTCTTAGCGCTTGCAATTTCTAATGTTGTGTTAAATTAATCCAATTTGTTGTTTGCGATCTTCGATACTGTGCTTAATTGGTCTAGTTTGTCCCTTAAGGCTTTCAGCGCCATATGACTATCTTTGAGCATCTTTTCAATTGTGTTGATTTATCTTCTAGCTGTCTGTGGCGTTGCGTGGGTATCTAGATTATACTATGTAATGCTATGTAGGTACCTGGATGGTAGACAGTAGTTTGATTATAACGAGCTTGGTTTTTGAAAAGGAAGATCTGTTAGATCTTCTTATGTCTCCCGGCGGTTTGTTTAGTATGTCAACGACCTAAATGTCGCAAAGTCTCCGCATGTGTCACCACTCGCTGTATCATTGGTGTTTTCCTCAAGTTTCCTCTAAACTAAACTATGCTAGGAAGGACTGAGTTAACACCCCCCCGAAAGCCGGTAGCGTCGACGTGTGTCATTCCTTCGTCTGCCGCGATGGGAAACCGGTTCCACGCAGCAGGTTCGAATCCTGCAGCTCTTACCGAAGGGCCATGGTAAGATATCATGTGACAAATCGCGCAAGCACCCCATCAGCGTGACGATACATGACCATCCAAATAATCCCGAAGTCTTCAAGAAATTGCCAGCGATGATCACAGAGTTTGCGGACATCTTCGAAGACAAAGGTTTTGCAGATAATGTCAATCCAACAGCAGAAGATGAGCTCCCTCGTCTAAACCTCAGACCAGGATAGCAGGACCTCATCCCCTGTATATGGCTGTCTTGAATTCGACCATTTCTGTCGGAAGGACATAGTCTAAAGGTTGTCTCACGCGCTGCTACATCGGCATTCCTAATAATATTATAGGCGTTGGAAAGAAAGCCGGTATTGAATGGATGCCCTGTGCTTTACGTAGGTAATCCTAGGAGTTGACTCTAGGGAATCACCCGAAGAGCTGGGCATTTGCCCGCGTCCCATTGGCAATTTTGGTCAAAGGAGTATAGATCATCCAGCGATTTCTTAACTGAACGATAATCTGGTGTCAAGCTTAGTCCCGCATACGGTTGGCACCTTTGTCAGATTTGCAACTACAAGCGAAGCGTCCAACCCATGGTCTTGCGCCAGTCGCTCAAATCAAATTGACATAAAAAAATTTGTTGTCGGCTATTCTCTCCTCCTCTTTCAATAAAGCCTTGTCGAACAAAAACGACGCCGTAATTGCAGACTAGCAATGGCGCTGTTGGATTGGCAATACTTTGCCAAGGAATACGATATCGTATTAATGACTAAGGAAATATAACAGAAACGTAATGAAATAGTAAAACAGTGATTGGTTGATTTTTGGTCTGTATTGTGTAACTTTCTGTGGAGCTACTAATTGTTGGGACTTGGTCTGATGATTCTTGATCTTATTGTTGTATTGTTCAAACTATCTGAGATGTCTGACTGAGATTAGGATTTCCTTTATTTTGACTAGTCTTTGATAAGATTACTATTGACACAATTGATAAGCCTGATAAGCGATAACTATCTTGTTGCCTGACAACATCCCCTTTCGCAAAGAAGCAACGAGGACGTTGCTTCATCCATCTTAACCTATGCGTTTGAAGAGCCGTCTTTTTTCCTCTCGGGGTTTTGGCTCAGATTTTGGCTGAGCTGCTTTAACAAGTTCAGTCGTCCTGATAAGCTTGTCGATTTTGTTCTTGAGCTTTGCTATAGACTTTTGTAAGCCGGTAGATTGTTCGTGCAATCCGTGGACTTCTTCTGCTAGTTTTGTGAATTTGTCGTCCAAAGACCGGCAGGTCCTATATACTTTTTTATGGAGCTTACTCTAGAAAGGAAAGGATCTACGAATTGTGGGATGGAAAACGGGTAGTCCCAATTGTGGGTGGGGCATGGCCCTAGCGGCCTCAGCCGCAGCCCGTGACGCGAGCACGTGACCCACGCCCTAACAGGCGCCTTATACACACTGGGTGGCAAGCTTTTATCATGCTTACACTAATTGAGGTTGACTCTTGAAGCGCTCTGCCTTCGCTAATATATATTTTCCTATACATAGGTTAATACTATTGAGGAGAAGTAAAAAATATTAAGAATGGAACAACTTACTGCTGGGTCCAGGGCATTGCTGCCATAATAACTAGGTACCCGATTGCATAGGTCACCCTTGGCTGAGCCCCTAATTTAGTCTCAACAAGACTGGTAATTCCCAGCATACGAGTTTTAAACAACTGTATCTGGAGTGTGGTATAGGTATTCTTCCCCGATTTTCAGGGCTTCGAACAGCCAGGCCAATCCACCTGGCTAGATGCTAGGCTGTGTAATGGATTAATTTGGCATCTCAGAACTGACTGGTTCAATGCTGTTTCTGTTGGAACATAACGTCAAATCAAAAAAGGTATTCCTCCTTGTACTCATAAGGGCAATGAGATGTGTCGTATGGTATTTCGGGGTCATCCGTGAAAGAGTGACTTCCTGTGTGATTAACGTTTCCTATTTGATCCGTTCGAGGCAGCGGATCTAGCGTTGTTTTGCAAGTCTAGAATTGAACCCTTTTTGACCATGTATGGTGGCCGCGGCGATGGTGTTTTCGCTCTGGGCCAACTCGGATTGTGGGGTCCTGAAACTAATAGTTGAGGGCTGGTGCCGCCTATAATACCTCGTTCAGCGGTCTTCATGGTTCGGTCAATATTTCTTCGTATATCGTTCCCCTCACAAACAAAGTCGATATGCCCGTGAAGGTTACATGTTTTACTGTCGGACCCTATCCGCACGGCGATGTGATAATCATGGTTGGATTGTCTTGCGTTGATCTTTTCCCACCTATTTTCTTCACCTCGTCGCCGTATCCCTATGATAAATATTAATACAATGACTCGAAAAGAAAAGTAAAAGATTGACGAGTAGCGGAATTACTTACTTGGCACTTTCGACAGACCTCAGCCTTTAGGTGAACTGTGTTGTGGATAAGAAAACACTTAATCTGGTGTGCCGAACAGTATCCCTTCAAACGACGACAGCTACCCTTTCTGAGATATGCATTTATATAGGTGCTGCTTGTTGACAAGGTTGGTTGTGGATAGATAGAATAAGTTATCCAGGTCTTTATAGGCAATATATGATAGTTGTCGATCCGTAGTGTTTTCAGTTCAGAGCTACGTCGTCTTGTTTAGTGGTGTTCAGGCGGGGAGCGTATATGAGTCTTACCAATATTAGTTATATTGTTGCATAAGTTTAGTTTATAGTTGATACCCCGCCGGTCGAAGATGAGGACCACGGTCTGGGCTGTCAAGTCTTGAGAGTAGGTATTGACTGGTATAGGTTTGGAGTTTACTATGACGTACACGGCTTCCAGCAAATTGGAAGCCTCAGGGTACCCCATAGTTGATAATCGTCGACTTTACTTTATAACAAGTTGTTATTGACGTGTTGAACGTTGTATAAACCTGAGGTGGCATTTATGTGTTGATTGATAAGAAGAGAAGAGAAGAAAAATGTTGTTGGTGGAATTGTTGATGAAGAAGTTGTAGGTTTGCAAGTTGGTTGCCTGGATTTTAAAAGTTAGGTGGATTCTTAATGTAATAACGTAACACCTATTGTGGTTGCCTTGTTTGTATTTTCCGGTAAAGAGTGATTGCCTTCTAAGTTTGTAGAAGAGTTTGTAGTTACGTTCCGCGGCAACTGCCTGAGAATATGTTGGAGTTAGGTTAGGTACATAGGTAGGTACCTAGATTTTACAAACATGTAAGGAAGGAGCATTCTCTGATAAGGTTTCTACCGCGAGTTAGGTAGTCGGGTTCCAAAAGGACTTTCAACTCTGGGAAGCTGCAGTAAGTCTGATTAGGTACGTTAATGGTTCATTTCAACTGATTATTAAAATTGACATCTTGGCCCTATATTCTAATTTGATGAACAAGACAACCTTGGAACACACATATATGTATTTTTATTAGATATTTTTATTAGAAAGGCCATGATTACCTACTAAACTTCTTAAGGTACTTAAGTTATGATAACCACCTGTCAACGGACATACGTGTTGAGGCTTATTCCACCGTGACAAACCTTAGTGGCTCCTATAAAAACCTAACTTGCTAATTACACGATTCGGGTAGCATTAATCGCGTCTATCTTGTAATTTATACTTGATTTCGCGCGCACAGGGTCCGTAGGCGTAGCAAAGGTTGGCATCTTGCATTGAATCTTACATTGCTTATCCCTTAGCCTAGTTATATAACCATGCATTGCTTGTTGTATTCTTGCGGGTTTGTGCCCTCTCGTACATCCACTTGCTGCTCAACCCGACAGTGTTTCTCTTTCCTGCCACGGGGCTGGGGCTGGGGCTATCGGGTACTCCGCCATAGAAAGAAGAAGAGAATCCCGCGCTGGAAGAGAATCCCGTGCTGGCACCCAACATTCCAGACGATCCTAGCGAGCTTATCGACGAGCGGCGCGCACCGTTCATGGCCTTCTGGAGCAGCGGACTCTGAGGAGACCCTAATCCGGCAAGATTGACATTCCCGTTTCCTCCGCTGAGGCTACCGTAGTTGGAGGCAGGGCTGCGAGTGGGGCTGGAGAAGCTACGCTTACTGCCAGTAGACCCGGAGATAGAGGGAGTTCGGGAGTAGCGGGGCGGCGTGCTATACGCAGAGCCTGGCGTAGGAGGTGCGGAACTCGGTGGCAGACCCAGCAGTTGTCGTTGGCCAGGGGTTAAGGGGATGTCAGATAGATCATCTTTGGGTCTGATTAGAGGCAGGAGATTCGTGCCGATATTGAAGAGGGGTATGGCAAGAACTGCCCAGTATGCGTATCGCGCGTAACTCCAGACACTGCCCGAATTAGTATTGCTGAAGCGGTTAAACTGGGATATGGAGGCGTACGCGTAAGGAAAGGATTTCTTAGATGGTAACGCTCGCGCCGCCAGAGAATGCAGGATGATCAACGTTATGAGGACGATGATATTCACAGCAATGCGCTTGATGTTCTTGTCTGAGAAGGTAGTGGCTTCCTGTCGCTGGGTAATTTCCTCTAGGCGCGGATGTCGCCATGTGCCTGGACTGTCTGTGGGCGGTGGCGTAGCAGGTGTTGATTTCTTAGGGGTGACTATCGTCTTTGCCATCGACAGAGACATAATCGCTAACGAATAGTCTGGTGCCTCGAAGTCGAGGACACAGAAACGATTCAGTGGACGTTCTATCGAGAATGCGCGTGTAGGTCGCCGTTTTGAAACAACACCGATACGAGAATGTTGAGTCCTACTAAGAAGAAAAGAAAGGAGAGAAAGAATTAACTGAACCGATAGCTGAGTCAATTGAATGACATTTATTTGCTGCTGTTACCTATTATGTTAGAGCTTGTTAATCAGTGCCTAAGGTTAGTATGTATAATTTTAGTGGCGCTGCGAGAGCAGGCCTTCGTCGTCGAGCTTTCGTCTGATGGAATGATTCTGCTTTGTTTTCTTTGGGGGGACGAATCGGTTGTCAAGGCACTTGCGAAAAACAACTTCTTGAATGTACTGTTACATCCCCTTAGTCATCGTGCCTTATCGGATTCGCATCCCAGATTTAGCGCTAAGATTCAAGGGAGCTATTGTGCACGGACCAAAGTACATTGGTACATAGTACATCATACATATACCTTTTTTAAGGCGCGGACGCTAGGTTGCTACGTCACAGGGCTGACAACAAGTTCCTTTAACTTTGAAGCTCCGAGTTCCCCACCAAACCATCTCACCTCATCGGGGTCAACTACCTAACCTAACCTATGAAGGACCAACGGACGGATTCAATCTAGAAAGAAATCCAACTTTTCCACCACGTCTACTCCCTCTTTCCTTTCTACGATACCGATCGGTCCATAGTTTGTTTGATGGCTACGACATAGCTGGAATCCATTTGTCCTTTTGAGGGGAAACATACCTACCCGATCCAGATCCAGATCCAAAAGTAACCCCGATATTAGCAATAACAGGTACCTAATATAGAAGTTAACACACCCACCTCTTAACCACCAACATGAGTGTTGGCAGCCTCTTGACCCAGTTCGACGAGGGACTGAGTTCGCTCTTGACACAATGGAATAGCTACTCTACGCTAATTGTTACGGCCTTGGTGTTAATCATAACATACTCCATCGTGAACCGAGTTGACCCTGAGATCCATCCTATGCTTCTCGCTCGTCAAGCGTCAAGCTCGCCAGTCCGAAATGAAGGAGAATCGCCTGTCTACCGCGGAAACTCAGCGCCTCACGGTTTACCTCTCAACACTGGATTAAATGTTAAAGATGCCGGCGCTTCGAAATGGGCCCAGGGTCGAGACGGAGACTTGAGAGATATCTGGCGCAGAGCTGTATCCGGCCCATCCGATGAAGGTAGCTCGAAGGCAAAGGGCCGCATCTTAACAGTCTTGGGAAGTGAGAAGGTTATAGAGCACGATATAAGTATGAGAATCCTTTTTGACCGTGGAAGTAAATTACGATGGTACTAACAACTTAATCTAGACGATATTACGCGCCAGATCAACCTCGTTGGAAAGCATATTGCTTCTCAAGGCGGAAAGAAGGTGGCCATCTATCTCCCCAACTCTGTCGAATTTATCGCCACCTTGTTCGCCTGCAGCTTTTACAATTTGACTGCCATTTTGTTGCCATTTGATCAGCCGGAGGATGCGGTTATCTCGATGCTTCAAAGGTCCGGCGCGGACACCGTTGTAACCGCTCCGGGTGCTTTCCCGTTCGACAACGCCGTTTCTAGTTACCCGGGCCTTCGTCAACTCATCTGGGTCGTTGACGAAGGTAACAAGCATCTCGACTGGAACGAGGTCCCTAAGGGCATGGGCGGCAGCGTCAACGTTTCTACTTGGCAAGATATTCTGAACGACAACCCCGTCACAGCTGGTACCGAATTACCCCCCGCCGACCCGAAGGCTGAGATCCAGGACATTGTCATCTTTTGGCAGTCTAAGCCGGGCACTCTTGAGGAGATGGTTCGATTCACCCAAGGAAACATCGTGTCCGCTATTTCGGCCCAGCTCACGGGAATCCCTCAGAAGGAACGCTTCTCGCCTGCCGACCTCTTCCTATCCGCGGCGTCCTTATCGGCGTCCTTCCCTCTGGTCCTAACCCTCGCAGCTCTCTACTCCAACGCCTCCGTGGCTTTCAACTCCGTCGCCGGTATAAACTCCGACTTGGTCCTAGCCACCACCGGCGTCGCACCCACCATCGTTGTCGCGACCCCCGAAACTCTCAAAAAGATCCACGAAGAAACCAAGAGCAGAGTCGGCGCCTCGCTCCTCACGCGTGTCTCGCATTGGGTCCAGACGCGCAGCCTCGTCCTTGACGGCGTCATGCCCGCGGCCTCCTTCCTCGCCTCGTACAACGATTCCCTCTACCCGCAGATCGGCTCCTCCCTGACCCCGACCCCCAAGCCCGGCAAGCTCCGCCTGCTATACGTCGCCGAGCCCGCCGGCACCGGCGCCCCGCGCCTCTCGGAGCGCACCCTCTCGGACCTGCGCGTGTTCACCGGCGCCCGCGTCATCTACGCCCTGTCCGCGGCCCGCGTCGCCGGCGCCGTCTGCCAGACCCAGTTCCACGACTACCGCGTCCTGGGCGACGGCTCCGGCGTGCACTTCGGCCCCCCCGTCAGCTCCGTCGAGGTCCTGTTCCGCGACGCCGACGGCCACAAGATCACGGACGAGAGCTACGCCGGCGAGATCGTCGCGCGCGGCCCCGCGGTTTCGGGCGCAGAGGCCCCGCTTGGCGTCGTGGGCACGGTTAGGGTGGATAATACGATTGCTTATTTGTGAGTGTGAGTGTGAGCTTGAACTGAGAGCGTTGGATGATGGTGATGGATGATGATGACGGCGAGAAGGGGATGAGATTTCATATTTATAGGTTTCTTGTAGGTAGGTAGGTAGGTACCGACGACCTAGGGTCCTGTATTAGGCGGGCGGGTGGGATGAAGCAACATTTTGTCTGATTTGGGTACCTCTCGCGATTGAAGTAGATATATAGGTCCTTTGTACTTGGGGCTGTATCTACAATGGGCATGACTATATCCAATATTTCTCTGTCTGGCATTAGGCGTAGCAAGTAATTTTGCTTTTATTCAACATTGACGTCGTTCATAATTACTATAACTACCTAGCCTAGCTTCATCTACCATGGCATACTCGTACGTACCCAAAGTAAATAGCATCTCGGAATCGTACCTAAACCCACGTATGTCAGGTAGGTACCCCTCGTTTGTTTGTTTATCTGTGTGTTGATCGAGCATAACCTGAACGCCGAGCCGAATGAAGCAAGCAAGCTCCCTTCCACATCATGAATCACATCACATAGGCCACATCACCTCGTCTACCCTAAGTAGGCACCTAGGTAGGTACTCTTAAGCACCGTTCCGATATACCTGCGCGCCCTGGTTCCGGAACATAATGGTATCCCGTCTCTGCAGGAGCATCAGCGCGCGGTTAAGACTCTGCTCGCTGAAGCCCTTGCCCTCGACCATCTCGCGGCGCAGGGTCGCCAGGCTGGTGCTCCACCCGATAGGCAAGCGGCGACGAAGCTCCTGCTCGACGCGCGCGACCTCCTCGTTCAGCTCGCGGCCGCCCTGGTTCGCAGTCCCCTGGGTGACGGCGTCCATGGTCGAGCAGAGGAAGAGCCGGATGGCTTCGTCGACGTGCTGCTCGGTGGCCACGGGGGAGAGGGTCAGCTTCGCGAGGGCCTCCGTGATGCGCACGATGGCTTCGAGTTGTCGCACGGTGATGGGGATGCTGGAGCGCGCGTTGGCTTCGAGCTCGGAGGCGTGGACTTGTTTTCGGATGGAGACGAAGTGCGAGGATAGCTTCTCGGCGGCTTCGGGGGAGAGGCGGGGTGCGCAGCGTCTAGACATGAGTTAGTATTTAGTTATTAACATAATTAAGAATGGATACTACTCACGATTTGCAGTAGCTGATGTACCGCCTCATCTTCTCAACTGGTACTTCACCCTCGACTTGCTCCTCAAGACCACGGCCACCCATGTGAATACCCATGACGTGCTTGGCAATGCGCTCATCTTTATCCCTGCTATGATCGTCCTTGACAATGAAGATCATGTCAAAACGGGACAGAATGGTGGTCTGAAAATCGATGTTCTCGCCTGGTGTCTTCATATCGTCGTAACGGCCAAAGATAGGGTTAGCCGCCGCGAGGACGGAGGTTCGTGCGTTTAGGATTGTTGTTATGCCTGCCTTGGCAATTGAGATGGTCTGTTGTTCCATAGCTTCGTGGATCGCAACACGATCCTCGTCTCGCATCTTGTCGAATTCATCGATACATACCACACCACCATCCGCTAACACCATTGCACCACCTTCGAGGTAAAATTCTCGTGTAGAATGGTCTCTCTGCACGGAAGCTGTTAAACCAGCAGCCGAGGAACCCTTTCCGGAGGTGTAAATAGATATAGGGGCGGCTTTCTCGACGAATTTCAACAGTTGCGACTTCGCCGTACCCGGGTCACCGAGGAGGAGCACGTTTATATCACCTCTTAGCTTCATGCCATCTGGTAAGATCTTCTTCGATCCTCCCAGCAGCAGGCAAAGTATGGCCTTCTTAATATCTCGGTTACCATAAATCGACGGGGCGATACAGTCAGCCATGATATTGTAGAGGTCAGGTCTTCGGCTGAGTTCCATAAATTCCTGCTCTTCTTCCTCGGAGAAGATCGAGTGACCTTTTGCTGTGGCATCTACGTCAGTCTGGATGCCCACGGCTCTGAGGTAAGGTGTTCGTATAGCGACGGCGCCGCCAGTTGATGAGTTCTTAGAAGCCTTATTTTGGTAAATGGAGAAAATTCCCATGATTGTACATCTCGATCCGGGAACAACTCTGTTTGTAAGATACCGGTCTGCGGAGATGAGAACATGTCGCGGAAGCTCTCCCACGGGTACCTGGTCCGGTGCTTCTTGGAGCTTGATAATCTGCTGATCGACAAACTTGGACTTCTCGTGAGTAACAAAGTAAGGATCGAGAGGACATTTCTCGGAGGGGTCATTGGGAGGTCTCTGACGACCGCATGTGCGCGGAAGTGTTACACCAGTAAATCCACCTAAGACAGGGACTACCTGCGTGTGTAGACAACTTCGGCATTGGATATGTAGCTGTGTGGCTTTAGAAGACATGACAGAGGCGCCGATGACGATACCAGGTACTCTGACGAGTCTAGCAATGGTCTCGGAATCCAGATTCCGGATCGAGACATCTTCTGCGTTGGAGTGGAGGAGTAGTTGGTGTTCAGGTATGACAGCTTTCGGATCATGGGGGAAGATGATTCGGTGTGTGCATTTCTTGAGGGCTAGTTCGAACTATGGTTATGCTGTTAGTAAATATATATATTAGGTATATATACTATTGTGTTGGAAGTAGAGTGAGTATATTATATATAGCATACAAGAGGTATAATTTCAGCGGGCTCCGTCACTAGTCGGTGCGCAAGCTCTTCATTATACTTGATTAAATCGGTAACGTTGACATCGCAATAGTACTTCTTTAATAATGCGTTTTCCCTTAATTGATCTCGGTAGATGAAGATATTGTCGTGTCTGAACTCGAGGATAAATGTTACGAGCTGTTCCTGTATATGCAGCCGGCTATCTTCGTTTGGTCCCGAGTTGGACTGGAAGACGGAAACTGAGTAAACGGATTGGCGATCCATTTTGGACACCAGGTATATACGTCCTGATTTATTTTAATTTAATTTATTTTACTTTCTTCAGGGTATCGTGATGGTTGAACTCGGGGTCATGCCGTGGAGTAGAGATCGAGGGGTTGAAGATTGAAAGATTTAATTTGGGAAACTGAATTAATTAACACGCGAAATGGAGACGCGTTTTTTTGGCTAGGGGCGCGTTGAGTGGTTGCATATGGCGCTAATCCTATTCCAATTCAATGGGGTAACCCCTGAATGTTCCAAGGTTCCTTCTTGGCAAAAATTTGAGTCCGACACCGATATCGCGTGTTAATAGATATCTCTTATATATACATTTTTTTAGCTGTTTAGGTGTTAAATTTGCTTTTAGAGGCCTACTATGTAGTTATCAGTACCTTAGGTAGGTATTACCTGACTCTACAGTCGGGAAGCGGCATGTAACCTTGAATTACTAGCGCCATCAGATGAAAAGTATAGGAGCTTAGTTTGCTTAGATGATTCGGTACAATACATTTGAAGTTAGCTGGCTACAACTTACAAGCGCATACTAAAAACATACCTCAAACAACCTAAGTTAAGATCCACGACCCGAAACTGTTTGCGATACCATACCATATAATACCACGTACAACACATTACGTCGGCGCCGATTTGATCCATATTCCCAAATTGCTCAGAGTTGACCTAGTAGCATTAGGTACAGAAATAAATAATTAGATACCACAACTACCCGTCGATCCAACCGTCGATCCCTCTCTTTAATACCTAATCGAAGACTTGCGAATATTCGTCTTAAACAGCCTCCTGAACTTCATACCTCCCTCCTCGAGATCGATCAAGTTGCGCCGGCGAGTGGGAGTCGCAACTTATATTTCCTGGCGTCTTATGCAGGACGTTTACATAGCTTCGGCATAGATATGATTCCCCGGTAGCCTCTCGCGAGCTTTGTCAATAAGCCTTTAGGCTTCCCTCGCAATGTTTTCCAACTCAGAAGCCCGCAAGTCTGTTGACAGCCTACCACCTTTATCACCCACCTCCCGAAACGAATTTCCATTTCATCGCCAAGGCTCTGTCGCTTCCCATCACGCTGCACGACGAGGTTCGACTGCGAGCTCCATACATTCTATTCGTTCTATTCGTTCTATAGGGGGTCATCTCGATACGTCGAGTAGTTGGTCGCAAACTGTTCACGAGACAGGCCAAAATGCTATCTCTACTCTACTTCAACCGCCGATAGTCCGGACTGGTTTACTGCCGCATACCTCAGCTCCCGCTTCTAGTGCCCACAAGCCACCCACCGCACGAGATATTCCACCTGTTACATTGACCAACATACCCCATGTGGATTCTTCTGACTTCAAGCCTTATTTAACGCAGGTTGGAGCTTTATATGAACAGTTAAGGCGGGTGAAGGAAAGCGACGATGACGGCAGCGAGCTTGTGTTTGGACGTGGCAGGGTTGAAGAGTTTGCGAGTGCGATAGACGACGGGCGTTTGAAACCTGGTAGCCGTCCATCAAGCTCTCGAAAAGTGTCAGGGTCTTCCATTAGGCCTATATCACCTATAGAACAGCCTTCCGTACGCCCGATGCGTAGAAGATCTAGTTCTAGCTTCAGTCGAAAAGGGGCATCCCAAGGTCCGCCTCCTTTGTCCACTATTCCGAACGTCTACTTCGACGAAGATTTCCATTTGGAGAATCCTCGTACATTTGACGTCGTTAGTGAACGGTCCGAGGTTGTACAGCAGCCTCCCGGTTCTACCGGGGGAAAGAATGCTCCCAATGGGGATGCGCCGGCCCCACGCAAAACTCTTGCTACAAATGCGATATTGCAAGAGAAACTATCATGGTATATGGATACTATTGAAATGCACCTCATCTCGTCTATATCAACAGCTTCCACGACATTCTTTACGGCCTTGGGATCTCTAAGAGAATTGCACTCTGAGGCAGCCGAATCGGTGCAAAAGATAAAGGCGCTGCGGCAAGAGCTTGAGAACCTTGACCAAGAAATTGCTACTAATGGGTTAGAAATTGTCCAAAAGCAACGACGACGAGAGAACCTACAGCAGTTGAATGATGCCGTAAAACAGTTAAAAGAGATTGTCGAGTCAGTCGCGGCATGTGAGACTTTAGTAGACTCAGGGGAGATCGAAAAAGCATTAGAAAGTATCGATTCTCTTGAGAAGTTAATAGCTGGAGAACGGATACCACAGCCCGGCAAGGTCGAAAATCACAACTACCAGCTGTGTGATCTCAGGGACGCCGTTGCCCTTCAGGGTGTAAACGACGATATTTCCGCTTTGCGTTTCCGCATCGGCAAAGCGCTCGAGACCAGATTCATCGATACGTTACTGGGCGATTTGAAGAACCATGTTGATACTGTCTCACCCCAGGAGGTTTTATTGAGATGGAGTAGCTCAGCCATGCGATCTCGCGGTGCGCTTAGCAGAGAACCGACGGGGAATCCGGCTTATTTGGCCGCAACTAGAGGTCTCCGCTCCCAACTAATGCCAATATTAGACGGGTTGCACCGTTCAAAGCACGTCACAATCGCCATTGCATCCTATCGTGAGGTTGTCTTGCGAGAAATCCGGCAGCTTATTAAACGACCTCTTCCGACCTCCAACGATGACGACAATGAATCTGTAATGTCTGCATCTACAATGAGCTCGAAACGCTTAACCCAGCAGGAAAGGTCATCCATCCTTGCCCGAAATCTCCGGGCGCTCGACGAGCAGGACGCCGAAACCCTCTTCGTTAAGATGTACATCAGTGTCACAGAGACACTACGGAGGCTGAGTACTCAGGTTAAAGTACTATTTGACGTTGCAAGCTCCTTGGGACAGGAACCCCTGGATTTTGACGCCGGTCTGAAGTCGCCGCCTCCTCTCAAGTCACCGCCTCTTAATAGCGCAAACCGCGATTTACAGGAGGATATTCATCTAACTATGGACTTGGCTAATCTTTACGGCCAAGCGGTTGATATCTCGCAGGACAAAATCGTAAAAGTACTTCGCGTCAGGTCTGAACAAAGCACCCATCTTCCCTTAATATGGTTCTTGCGGTACTTTACACTTAATCTCTATTTTGCAAATGAGTGCGAGGCTATTTCTGGCCGAAGCGGCACCTCGCTGAAAAATATCGTCAACTCCCAAATTAAAGATTTCATCCAATCGCACGGCGATGCAGAGAAGCAAAAGCTGGCCCAGGGCATGGAGTCTGATCAGTGGAGCGCCAAAGATTTCACAGACGAAAACAATATCTTACTTCAACGTATACTTGACAGTAGTACCAAGGATAGTGACGCTTGGTCAAAAGGAAGCAAAATTTGGTTACCATTCTCCGAAACGGATAGCAAGAAGACTTCCAACGGGCGACCAAGAGCGGAGTCTAACGGCGGAACGAAGGAGAGGACGAGGAGTGCAACAATAGATGACGAGACATTCATACTTCCCAATTCGGCAATACTATGCCTGGAAGGAATGTCTCACTTCTTACACCTGATATCTGGGATCCCATCCATGGCATCTGACGTATCTAGCTCTCTGATCGCATACTTGCAGCTTTTTAATTCTCGGTGTACACAACTTATCCTAGGCGCGGGCGCTACTCGTTCAGCAGGTCTGAAAAATATCACGACAAGACATCTGGCGCTCGCATCGCAAGCGCTAGCATTTATCTCTACGCTCATCCCCCACGTCCGCGAATTCGTTCGTCGACACGCAGGTTCAGGCCCCAACGTCAACAACGCTAACCTTGCTAACCTTATGGGCGAGTTCGACAAGGTTAAGCGCTTGTTCCAAGAACACCAGAACAGCATTTACGACAAATTGGTGGAGATCATGAGCGCCCGCGCCTCGGCACATGCGAAGAGCATGAAGGCACTCGATTGGGACCAAAAGACCGAGTCAACCGTAAACTTGTACATGGAAACGTTGGTCAAAGAGACCGTGACGCTTCATAGGGTTCTCACGAAGCATTTACCCGAAGGTACTGTAAGGTTGATCATGACGCCCGTCTTCAATAGTTATAAGAGCCAGGTGGGCAAAACGCTACAGGGACTAGAGCCTAAAACCGAGACAGGTGTCAAGAGGTAAGCAACAATATTAATACTTTTCATTATCCAGACAACTAACCAGAGGAACTACAGGATGGAATCCGATATCGAGTACCTTATTAGTAGGCTAAGCAAAATAGACGGTTTCGGGGATACGGGGGATACTCTACTTGGCATCGTCAAAACAAAGAAGCCGGAGAAAGAACCGGAGCCGGTCAAGCAAGAGGACAAGCCCAAGTCCCCCAAGCCAGATGAAGGTAGTTCGGAAGAAAAGAGCGGCAACGCAGACAATGCAGGCGAAGCTGCGGAAAAAGTTACGGAAAGCAAGTCATAGTTCTTTGGTCTTGTTTTGATATGTCATTGTTTTTATTTGTACATTGGACCGTTCTCAGCATGAAGGCAGGCGTTCTCTTTTTTTGCTTCTTGGTAGTGGAGAGAGGACTGCGTATAGTACCGAGGCGAAGGAGGTGTTTTTTCTAATAGGAGAGACGAAGTAAATGAAGAAGTGCAAACTTGAGTTATGATATGAATGTTGTATCCCGCCGCGGTGACAAATGTACATAGGTTAGGTGACCAGGGCTGTTATACGATGATGGCTCATTTCGATGTAAAACTGTAGACTCTACATGGTACTTTCTATATCTTTCTGACACCGTCTAGCTATTCTCCCTTATACCAAACTGAACTATGTTATGATCTATTAACCATGCTACTTGATGGCCGTGTTCTTTTCGGCGAGTGACATTTTGAAGAACATATTACAGAACCTTCTTAACCTACGATATTCGAATTCCCTTTCACTATACTTAGGCGCCTAACTTACTTGACATACTTTGGCATGCAGACATCTATAGGCCATCCAATAACCACTTGTATCACGCGATCTATACTGCGGCCTGGGTATATAAGCGTTACATCAACGTCCGATATCGATGTCCTATACCTACCTACCTAACCCTACCTCGCATGTCCCACCCAACCCCATCTGTCCGTCCGACATGCCGTCTACGTCGTCCCGTCTCTCGCCCACGTGTTTCTTCCGCGAGACATAGACACACGCGGTCTCACTTTCCCGTTTTCTCCACACGCCGCTTGTGCCTTTGCCTATGTACGCGTACGTGTACTCCTGCCGAACTTCCTACAAACATCATTGTTTTCGTGCCTACCCCCCCTTATTGCTGATTCCTCGGAAGGCAGCGAGCCAGATAGAGAGATAATCGAGCAGCTATTACGTGTCACGACGTTAGCAGATTGCGATATAGGACAGCTTCCCTGATTTTTGTTGGCCGATACCTACTGGTATGCAGGTACATTATATAAGTAAGTGCTGGCAAATGCTCATAAATGACAGGTCATAATGATAAGACGTCCGCATACATGTACAAGGTAGGTAGGTAGTCACACTGCGGCTGATATCCAATCCCCTTTTGGTCATAAGCCGGTCGCACGGTAAGTAGCCCGCGTTGCCAACCTACTTCCACCAACTGCTGGTCCGGTCCCATCAGGTACATACCTGAGAGGTAAGAGGTAGGTAGGGAAAGAATACCTACCCCGCGACGGTTCCTGTCAACGCGTCGCACCGGCTCGCGGCAGGAGATATACATACTACCGAGTGACAGATGCTAGGTCCCGAGAAAAGCCAAGTCTTAAGTACCTACGTCCTACCTGTATGCGGCGGAAACAGAGAGCCTCGAGTCGATGGTCCGGCTTCGGTGACAGTAATTACCTAAAGCTATAGGCGAGGAAAAACTTTGGAAAAGGTGCGTCGGGGCCCTGCTTGATGAAGGTACATTGATGGGTAGGTATCTACTGCGCATACATGAATGAATGCGCTTCTCGGGCACCGGATACCAGCCCCGAAGACGCACATATATTATTGTTGTTATTGACTTCCACCTCATACAACTATAAGCGACGCATTATTAACGGCGAAAACAAAAAAGAAAATAGAAAGAAAAAACGTGCAGTGCAGGTTCTCCTCGTTTCACTCCGGGACGGGTTGACGTCGGTAACCGCTCGGCACTTAGGGGGGAAGATTACCTAGATCCTGGATATTGCTTGAGTTATTTATTTATTTTAGGTACTTATTTAGGTATTTATTGGATGTTGTGAGTGGACGGACAGTTTAGAGAGAGCATTTATCAAAAACGAAAGAAATCCGATATACCTACCTCCTAACTTAAGGTAATCGCTGACGAAGGACGAATAAGCCTTAGGTACCTCCTACCTTTAGTGACGTGTCCTACGTCCGCTATTCATCTATCTATCTATATTACGTTCCCCAGCTTATGCGCTGCTCAGGTAAGACGATGCCTAGGTAGGTAGAGATGGAAAAGGGAACTAAGGTGCTGAGAACCGCTGGTTGCTCCATGACATACCTATGGTACTTTAGGTATGTATTGCTGCGATCGATGTGTTATTATCTATCGATCATACCTATCTGACCTTAGGTAGGTACCTACACAGCTTCATGTCTTAGATGGTAAGTAGTAGTGTCTTCGCACCCGCCGATGCCTTGCATACCTATCTAGGTACATACATAGCGCATATCCGTTCAAGATACCAGGGAGGGGGAGGGAGAGGGGGGTGCGTTTACAAACCAATAAGAAGAAAAGATCACCACCGCATCGCATTACATGTGTGTGTGTGTGTGTGGTATCGATGCCGCGGGAGGTCATTAAAAAGAAAACAAAAAAGCTTGGCGGTTGCATTCTTTCTTCTCTGGCACGTTTCTGTCTAAGACACTGCAAATCTTTATTTGAACCGCGGGCAGGGCTTGGCGAAACGTGTCGGGATATAGGATGGAAGGTATACAAGCAAACATTTAGATACCTACCTCCTCACATTAGGTACCTAGATATTAACCACCTATTTATTTATATGATTATCTTAGGTGGGTTGGTAGGTAGTTGCGGATTATACAAACGTAACATATATCATGCAGCATGGGGAAAGAGATAAGGTAGTGTTTATTCATGTTCACGTTAATATTGAATTGATATTAGCGGCAGGGGTAAGTGTGTAAGTGTGAGTGTGAGTGTGAGTATACGTCAGGTAAGTGTTCCCGCGACGGTTTACTCAATAGCCTATGCAATTCGTCTCTGCGTTACCAATAAAGTAGTATACCTATCCGCACTCTATCACAGCTCGAAGTTGGTTACAGGTTAGGTATTCCCTACTTCGCACAGCAGCGCGGGCACCTGTACTAGGTAGCACTTTCCTCTACGGCACCATCCATGACGCAGATCCCCGGCCCCGAGACCGAACCCCAGACCCCGGGGCAGGGGGGGCGGGGGAGCAAAATCAAAGAAGCAAGCACCACGGCGAAACACAGGCAGGAGGAAAGAAGGAAAAAACATCGTGTGTTATCCCGGCGCTCAAATAACGCGATACTACTACCACTGTATTAGGTATCTACGAAACGTCGCCGAGACCTCTTCGACCGTTCTAGAGTGGATACAAAGGGTATTTAAGAGGGCAGTTGCCAATATCTAATTCTAATTTAAGCTCCTGGGAAAGGGAAGGAGGGGGGGGGATCGGACCCGATGCTGCGTATTCCACAGTTCGCGTTTCCCCGGTTCGCGTTCCTGTTCCTCCCCAACGCGGTAGGTATGTCGAAATAGCCTATGATCCCTGTCTCGCCTAGGAGTCTTTATTTTGAGGTCGTCAACGGGCAGGGCTTCGCGAAGGTTAGTTGTCAGGTAGGTATCTAATTATAATTCTCTTCAGGCGAAGGGAAGGAAACAAAAGAAAAGGGAAACAAAATTAACGACATGGCCCGGATTCGGCAACTCCGTTCGAAAAAGTTTGGTTTTCAAAGCTGGTCGGGGTACGATGTGCCATATCGATTTTCTATTAACAGGTAGCCTTGGCGTTTATGTTTGGTTTCGTTTTGTTTCTATTTCGTTTCGTGGCTTCGACCAGAATCGACGTTGGTTACGTACTATGTGCTGTGTTTTAACGCTGCGCCTCGTGGTTCTATCAATAGCCGCCACGCGATCCTGCCGGGGTTAATACTTCTCTTTCACCTCTAATACTTCTCGTGGCCTGAATGAATTGTACTGCCACATGGTGTATACCTATACCATTATACTAGCTTCGCCTAATATCGGTAAGCGAAAGACGGCTTCATAAAGGAGAAGAGAAAGAGAAAGAACTAAACGGATAGCGCGAATACTAAATCGAAGCCATGTGTTAAAGTATACAGTACATACCAGACTCTCGGGTCTAGACTTCAACCTAAGATAATAGAAATTCACAAAGCAACAATTCACATAGATGATCAAATTTTTTCTCTTTGTTTGAAGTCACAGTAAGCTCGTCTATTCGTTCCATCTATTTGGTATCTCGCTATAGCATAACCAAAGGGGTATAATTGTCCCTTCCACAGCAAATCAAAGAAGTGCGACCCTCAAGTATATACATGTAAATAAAAATCGCAAGATATATGTCAACGAATGTGGAGAAGGGTGATAAATATCCAGTTGCTTTTTGTTTTCTGTTTGTTGATTTTTTCAGGAAGGGAACCTGACCAGCATGCCATCTTCTACTCCGCCGGGGAAATCTTTTGTTCTTGTTCCTACCAGCACGATCCCTCAAGGTCGTGAAAGTTGCGCAAAGCTCCTAAGGCTCGCGGCGGGTTGGCGGTTGTAAAGGATGGGTGATGCCAGCCGAAGTGAAATCGTCGTATCATCGTTTCCAAGCGCCTAGCGCACTACGCCTTCAAGGAAATGCAGCAATTCGCTTACGCGGAGAGCTTGCCAAGAACGTAGTTGCGGGGGACCACCATAGTCTCAACATCACGGCGGGCAGGGGCACCACCCCCGAGGGTAACGATGAGGTCTACTTCCGGGGTTGTGACGGTCTGGATATCGTCGGGGTGGTAGTAAGCGCTACCGCAAGGGAACACTTGGCATCCGGACACGGAAACCTTGGCCTGGGCTTGCATTTGGCTGGCCGGGTACATTTGCTTGACGCCGTTAACATCGCCGGGGTTTACGATAGCAGAAACATCGAAATATGTGAAGCCGTTCCAGCCGTTGAAAGCAACCTCAGCGAGCATGCCCGGGACGTTAGGGGCACCGTCGTTGAAAGAATAGGCATTTCCGATCCATCCCTGAGGGAACTCTACTCTAGCCTGGCTGAATCCTCCGATCGTGATGGGGTCGATAGGGGCCTGTCCTGCAGATGGAGTGAAGGTGATGTGGCGGGTGGTGCCGTCCTGGTTGATGAAAGTGAACGAGTTGGCGCTGACCAGAGTGGCCGAAGCAGCAACGACGGCGGCGATCTTAGTGAATAGACCCATTTTGTTTGTTGGTTGGTTATGTGTTGATGTAAGACTGGCTTCTAGATTCAGTTGATAGGGAATGTAAATTGTAGCTAAGGGTTATAGCTTCGTGTTAAATGAATGTATCACTAGTAAGCTTTGAAAGGAAGGAATGATAGCTACCAAGGAGCTGAAAAGAGAATGTATAGAATCAGAAGATTGTTGGCGTTATAGAAGTGGTAGTCAGACTAAGGGTGCGGGATGACACAAGGTCTTATATAAAAACTGGAGAGACAAAGACCACGCGAGGTCGGCTCATGGTTCTCATCTCATTGTTCTAGCCCAACCAATCGAGGAGTCCAATGTATCCAAGGTATCCAATGTACAAGAAACGTCCAACACGCCCCAGAGCGAATATGCGTTAGTAACGGAGCGGGGGTCATGGTCCGAATCTACAATTCAGAATCCATCCAATCCCCCTGGTGCCGTGGATGTATCAGACAGCGCAGCCACAGCAGCGCAGCTCGAGGAGTTAACTGCGGAGGGCGAGAAGGATGACATGTTCCTCAAATCAAGGTTGCATCTCAGCGCAGCCCGTCCAGCAGCTTAGATGGAAAGCCTCACACTAATGGCCCCCTCTAGCTAACAAACGTTGTTAAACCCAGATATCTGAGCCTAGCATTAGTCTAGCGGCGGTGAATATGAGATGCTAAAGTTGTATGCATCGTCTCTGAATCCATATTATGGACCACCGAGCCATTCTAGAAGACATTAGTGGCCAGCGACACTCCAAAATGCTCACCCTTCGAAGTTGCGGAGCCTGGCAGACGGCATCTGACGGAATTCTTGGCGATGCTATTTTAGGGCTGACGGGTAACGATGGGGTGTAAGCTTAAAATTTCGACGAGGATGGCTAGATGGTCACCCCGTTCTGATAGGCAAAAATTGGCGCTTCCACCAATCCGATCGATTCGGGTGGGCTGTCTGTTAGGATAAGAAGAAAATTTACAAAGGACTAGAAGGGGCAGAAGGGGGTGGCACACAAAGAAAACAAGCAAAGGATTTCTGCCCTGCATTAGCAACTAAGCAGCTGCTGGACTCGATCTAGTTCTAGAACCCGATTGGTCGGCTATCAGATCTTGTTCCTGGTACCTGACATATCCCCATGTGGCATTAGCACTGATGTGGCAGGCCGTGAGAGGATGCAAGTCTCGCCCGACAAAATTGAGAAAGAGACATTTTATCACCACATCTAAGTCTACAATGATGTAGCCTAATAGGAACGCCGCCACAATCATTGGGCTTTCTGCTCCGGCTGAGATTCTTTACCCGGTCGCTTTTCCGAGAGTAATCAATACGTGGTGCCAGTTGGTAGAATAAGTGTGCAAAATAATTGTTCACATCGCTGATAGACTGCTGACATGACAACAACCTTGTAGGGTATCGCGAAGATAATCATGTTGAATGGAATAAGCGTATTCCTTGCGCCTGAGATGGAGCTCCATTCGGTAATATAGCTTTAAATGGATGAGCAAGACAATGTAAGCACATCGGTAGTTGAAATTTTTTTGGACTTTGATTGCAGCTTACAACTTTTTTCTTTGGTTCTCCGTTGTCAACGCAACGTACTGACACATACATATGTGATGGAATATTGAACAAGCTGCAGCTGCATGTGCTCAATAAGGCGCTATAGCGCTGATGCCCAAGCAAATTTCTCAGCCATGAGCACTAGGCGCAACTAGACTTCGTGAGGGGAAGTAAGGTAGACGTTCTAGTCTTTCGTCGGGTAGACATGGAGGGAGGAAAGTAGGTACTTGAGAAGAACTTTGTGTGGTCTTTGGCGCCATCAGGCTTGGTCGTTAAGCTCTCCCACCTTGCGTTATTCACGGCCGAGTGGATCGATACAAAGCAATGATCCATGTTGGCCTAGCTTACCTATGTAGCCACTAAGACACCCGGGTGTTGAGCCGGAATCGACCGAAACCAACGCCTAGAGCTTTAGCTACCGAGTTAGATACCCACAGCTCCGGGCTAGGGCCCGCGGCTTCACACCATTAACCACGGGACGGGGGTGTAAAAAGAAAAATAGGCAGACGGGATAATGTCCTGCTTCGCTTTGGCCACGCGTACAACACTATCCACACAGGCTTACGGGCAGATTTCTCAACCGAAGTGGACAACATATTTGGTAGTCGAGGAAGCTATAACCCATTAGCCAACCACAACCCAAGCAACCGGATAGTATTCGACCATGCATATACCGGAGGACTTCGATCGAGGCTTAAAAAATCTCTTCACTTTCCCTTACGTACAGATCACTAGTTCTTCGGCCAAAGTGCGGTCCTTCATTTTTTTTCTTTTTCAATTTTTTTTTTTTTCACGGCATTCTGGCTGTTAGTTGCTGTGAACGATGAACTAATGCATCGGCGCAAGATCCTTGACCAAACCAAGCTCTTGGAAAGAGAGATGGTATGTTATACTCAACGTATCAGCAATTGACGCGCGGAATTCCTAGGCAGCCCTCAAGTCGCATCCCGTCCCCACGATCGATAGGGTAACTTAGGTGTGATGATTTACTAAGATACTCGCGAGAGTGGATTTAAACCATCACATACCTAAAAAAAGCTTTCTCGAGAGGGCGAAGAAGGCAGCACGGAATGGCAACTTCGAAGCAAATTTCAACGCTAAGAATGGTATCCTGCTGCAGCCGAGTCCCATGGCGCCAGTCGGTCTCGTTGGTGCAAGACAGCCTGTAGATACACCCCTCGAAGTTATCCGCCACACCGACATGTTGGATGTACTACTAGAAACCGGTGAGAGTTGTTGTTATAGTTAGCAGAAGTAAGACGCCATCATTACCATGCAAGGTAAAGCCTATCAGGGTAAAGCCAGGAGTTGAAAATTTTCCGGGCCGTCCCTTGGCGTATTTTCTTGTCAAATATCCAATAGGCATCGGCGGAGAACTGCAGGTCGAAGCCGAACCCATCAAAATTTTCAGGAACCACGATGTAACGGAAATATCGATTGCGACGTGCTATTGGCGATTCTGGATGGGTGGTGATCCGATTGACTCAACGGAGAAAGCCATCTGCTACTCTCATTTCTGCCGCTGAATAGAAGTCCGAGAACCAACTCTTGGTCACCGGCCTTCCGAATATCGCAGGCTGATTCTCACAAGAAGCCGACGGTTGGATAGACTCTATCAGACCTCTTGGTTTTTCTTTCCCGTCCGCCATCGCTTCGAAATAAGCCGACATTGCAGGGAGTTTTTCTACCCGTGTCCTGTGTTCTCAATTGTTGGAGAGACGAGACAGCCATAACGAAGAATCCCGTGGTATGCCTATCAGACCTAACAAGCTTCTTCCGGGAGGCTGGATAAGAAGTGTTTGCTAGGTTTTTATTCGCAAATCCAAGGGGGTAATTCGTAGCATTTGCACGTTCTTCATCGTGCCATTCATTATCTGGCTGCACCAAATTATTCCGTCCTTGGAATATTGAGTTAAGCATGCCACTCCAGCCGACAAAGCACAAGGTATGTTGATAATATATGGTGTTGAGATTTCGGATGGCGGTTTGTAAGAAACGTGCGTGTGGTTATAAGATTTCAGTTTCGAGGAGAATAATTGGGGAAGTTCCATTGCTCTAATGCGTTTTTCTTTTTTAATCCACGTCCAATGTGCTTGTCGATCATGATTGCTATCTTTAGGTATCTAAGATTGTCTATGGATAATGGATCTAGTATAGTATTGTTTATCTACGGCAGCTACGACTATTGAGTTGAATATTATGTCGAATTGTTATGCATACCTCTATGCGAATCAAGTTTAGGTATTACTCCTTCTTACCCTTATGCATCATCTGCTATCAAATCCCATTCTTTTCTTCTATCATATAGTGTGCTTACTTGCATTTATCTTTACCCTTTTCAATTCGACCTACATATATGAAATCTCAACCAAACCACAATTTAGTTCCATCGTGATTTGTCGCATAGATTCGACACAATCTCATACGATCTTTCATTTGTACCTAGCTTTTAATTCCCACCTGCGCATTTCTTCCCTCTCTAAATATTTACTAAGCTTGATGTTTTGTCTTTTTTTTTTTTTTTCTTACTTGACGACCTGGATGCATAAAGGCCTCATGCTCAATTTAGTGTGGGTGAGAGGAAAGATAAAGAAGAAGGGGAAAAGAACGTCGATATTCTTCTGGTGGGCTTGGCAGACCAGTCAATGGTAACTGGTAGCTCAGCAACACGAGGTTTTCCTCAGTCATCTCGGTAGCATCGTTACATCCATAGGCCGCAAGAGGGATAGATTCATGGCCGCCACCGTGTCTCTGCACCAGCCCTGCCAGCCTCTCTGTTGATCAACCAGAATAGCAGGGGAGGCTCTTCGAACACCTATCACACCCTTGGCTCAACATCATCAACCCCGCCTGATTATCTGGTTACCTACCTTATCTATCGCACGATCCCAAAGAGCTATTTGTTGAAGAGATATGCTGGCATGTCCGTACATCTCACGAGTAACAATCGTTGGCTGAGACTGTTACCTCGTATCACACACTAGGAACGGACGCTTACTCTACACTCTACACTATAGTAGAGTTCCCATTTCGTACTCTGGGGTGCTATCGCTGGATGACACCTAGATCAGATGCAACGTATCCTACCGCCGCTCCGTAATGGTTAGGCTAGACATATAGAAAGGTAGGTAGCTTAGCCTTGGAGCTAAGTATCGTTAGGTAGCGATTCGGGGTCGAAAAATAGCTCTTCTCCTAGCTTCACGACGAGTCATTACGAGACGGACAGGGCAATTTAGGAAGAATCGTGACCGGACCAGGTGTCTCTATTTATTAACACGCCGGAAGTGTCGCATCACGTATCCGACCGTACGACGACGGCTACGAGTGTAGTAATAGAGTAGAGGTGTATCGGTCATATGGTTGGTTGCCTCTGTGGCTTGTGAACCCCCGGACAAGCGTCGGTCCATATGGAAACTATCCGCCATTGAGATGCATGCCATCATTCAGAGAGCTCCCAGCCTTCAAGCTTACAATGTAAGCCTGCGATTACGGGCTGGACCGGCCGGATCGGGCTACTGGCCGTTGCCCGCCGTAAGGTTGCAACGAGAGGACTCATACATCCTAGGTCCGAGAGTAAAATAAATAGGTGGCTGTCCTGCATGTGTTTCCACCATACTTATCTCTTCAACATCTTATATCACTCGGTATCTCTCAATCGCTACCCGTCGAGTCTTAACTGACATTACAGTCGTTTCGTAACTACAATCGCTTAGTGATTCGCGCCGAATAATAATAATAATAACCTTATCAGTCCTCTCGCTTTACCATCGTGGTCAATATACAGATCAAAATGCAGATTACTCGGATCCTCGCACCCGCCGTTGGGCTGTTTGCTGTTGCGAATGCTTGGGGTGAGACCGCGGTTTGGACAACGGTTGTGGAAACTGACTACACTACCTACTGCCCGGTATGTGCAATATATTCAGCATGATATGAAGACCGCTTCCTTGGAAATCAGTATAACTAACTCGTCGGACAGTCTCCTACCACCTTCGCCTGGCACAATGTGACATACACTGCTACGACAGAGACCACTCTCACCATCACCAGTAAGTCCACAATTAGTCTCTTATATACTAAAGCCTACCGAGACTAACATTGTGAAAGACTGTCCTTGCACCGTTACCTACTCTCAGCCTCCTCCAGTCACCATAACCTCGTACCCTACGCCAACTCTTGTACCTACTGGAACTGCCCCTACCTCTTCTTACCCCTATTCCAACGTGAGCTCAACGATCATCACTTACACTCCGGTGCCGTCAACTTACATCTCCGGAACTGTCCCCATCACTTCTCCTGAGGTTCCGACTAACGTTCCGACTAACGTCCCCATCCCGCCAACATCCTCTCTCCCGGCTCCAATCCCCACGGCGGCTGCCAGCAAGGTTGGACCTATTGGTGCTCTTCTTGCAGTTGGTCTTGCTGCATTCGCTCTGTAAACGAAGTATTGCGATATCTCGTACTATTGTGTTTTACAAATACCCCTTTTTGCTTTTTTATTTAATACCTTGGCGGCAGATGATTCCCCTCACCTTTTGGATGAAGCTATGATTTGATGTGGTTGGCATCTGGGAAGCGGAAGTGTTTAGCGGCCTTGTTCTATACCCTCATTAAACCAAGCGATACCCCTGGGAGCTTGGCACGCTGTTTACGACGGATGATTTTGACGAGATAATGTGAGCTGGCATAAGGAAAGGCGGAGTTATGTTGAGAGGCTCACACGAGGGGAAGGTTTGGTCTGGTTTGCATTTGGTATATTAATCTGCGTGTATGCACGCATATTGGCTAATTCGATGCCGACAAGCTTCGAAACTACACTCCCTGAAGCTCACCCGGTATCTGGGTGGTGCAATAATAACGTATATAGAAAAATACTATCTAATAATCACCAAAGCTGTACCTTTGCATTGTACGTATCGTGACCGTCACTATGAAAACATGAAATCTTCAACTAGTAGTAGCCTAGCTGTTGTCGACTGATGCATTTCAGCTGAACCTGAACGCCATCTTTGTAACCCTAAGCACCACGCACAGGAGCACGACCTTTTCCGTACCTGGGAGGCGCTTTTTCCCAACCTAACCTAACCTAACCCGACCAGTTCGGACAACTGGCCCCCCTCGAACTAACCCAGTCCGCAGAGCATTTCCCACATTCGTCCTTATCGTGCACGATGCATATGCGGGCTTACAGTGATTCCACGGCACAGTTATGTGTGTGTGTGTATGTGGCCCGTCTTGCTTATTGCTTGCTTGGCTTGGAGCTCCACACGAGGGTAGGTAATCTCAGATGGGAAAAAGATAGGTACCAGGTACCTAACCTATGCTAAGAGGTATGTATGGTTGGTGTGCATGTTTGCTGCATGCGGAGACGAACGGGTTTTTCCTTACCAGTTTTCGTGTACCAATGTAGGTTAGGTATGTACGTGTGTTAACTACCTACCTAAACTAGGTGTGTTCTAACTAAGGGGAAAGAAGTTTTTTCTCGAGGCTGGTTTACTTACCATCCGTTGTTGGGAAGAGCTGGTATGACGTTAGTACGCTTTGGAGGGGTGATATTGTGCACCATCGCACTTAATACCCCTGCAGCGTGAAATCGCCGCTGACAGGCGGAATCATTTTCCCTTATTACTATATTTTTTTTATTTAAAAAAAAAAACTTCTTTTTAGGAGTGAAGAGAGTGATATGGAATTTCCTCACAAACCTGCTTTACCTATCATGGAAGGGAGCTACACTAGTATGAGCCTACTGCAAGTCTGACAGCTTATTCGGGCCAACATCTTTATAGCGTAATGCGTGATGCTTGATCCATCAGATAGATAGATAGGTAGCTTAACTGGGACTAATAACCAACATCATCATTCGAGGATTCTTCTTCTTTCGTCGTCGTTCCAAGGTCGGACTTTCGCTTATTTGGGGATGTGCCGCCACTCAACTTATCTCCCGCCCCTCCTTATTGTATGTACATTAGAGGTAGAGTAGGTAAACGAGTGAGCAAGCGAGTGACTGACTACACACTATCGAAGAAGGGAAGAAATGTAACGATGTGCTGCATGTGATTGCGCTCCGCACAGGTGGTACGGTTTTTCTGCTTAGCCGCCAAGATGCCGTGGAGCTCGTATTTGCCTCTGCCGCCCATGCAAAGCGACCTGTAGCTCTCTACGTTTCTTCTCTCGCGGGGCAAACGAGTTGTCGGGCTTGCTGGTTTGTGCGATGAGATGACGTGATTGACAGGACTTTTCGTTGGAGATAGAATGTAGACAGGTAGATGCATATATAGTGGTGTATTTGTCTGTTTGGATATAATATGGGAATGGGAATTCTATTGGGTATCTTTTATGGGCTTAAGAGAAAGAGAAACATGTCTTTGCTGTAGACGGAACGCCTCTCTGCCTCGCTAACTAAGGCTTTGCGGCGCTTGAATGCTCATCTTCTACGTATGTGATATATACTACCTACGGTACTCATACGTATTACTGTATGAGTCGCCCGCCAAGCAAAGAACGGAGTTTTCTCGTAACAGCTGGTAACGCGTTTTTTGTTACGAAAACCAGGCACACACACACACACACACACACACACACACACACAACGCTATCCCAGCCCACCCCTCACACGTGAGAATCCGTATCTTTTTATAGTCCTCATCCAAGACACAACACGACTACAGCCAGTACCATATCTCTGGCTTCGGTAACCGGGTCTAAGACAGGTACCTAAGGTTAAGGCAGAAATCGCGGCGCAAGGGAAGACTTATTAGCTAGGGCCGAGGGGCGGGAGTTGAAAGTTCGATGTAACCTACCTACCTACCTAAGGTAAGCGATCGTCGTCGTCTAGGTATACTACGGTGCTTTGGGGTAGGTACCTAATTTACATAGCATTGTGCGATATGTGGAATATCTTCAACTCCGGATCTATATCCCATCCCATCTCACACTCCATCCGTATTCTACTACTACCTTGGCTATACGCGAGAGCGAGTAACAATTTAGCTAAAAAAAAAAGGCCATGTCTCATGCGTTGGCGCATTATGATTAGTCGCTGAGATATTATGTATCTAGATTTCCTCCCTGTCGTATCTCTGTATTGGGTACCTTTTTACCTGCCCGTCATCGAATGTTCTTAATAATTGAGTACCTGAATAAGAGGTAGAGAAGCGTGCCGGATGCAAGGGCCCATACAACCAACCTCTGCACTCACCCACGGTATCTAGATCTTGGAGGTGGCTAGCTACTACTAGGTAGATAATCTTGGGTGGGAGTCTGCTGGTGCCGAATAAATTTTGGTAGGTTAGTGTCTTCTTTCGACAGCCATAGGTTACGTTGCTGAGAGGTTGGTTCATGCCGAGATTTGGTTTCAGAGTCAAGCAACCGCCCGAGCATTGTGCGGAGAACATTCTTGCTCTCGATACCACTTACGATCGGCTACCCGCCGGACGCCACCATCACATACCTACCTAAGGTAACCTATCTGCAACAGAATACATCGGATACGCTCAGCATGGCGGAACACGTCTATATCGCATCCTCACAAAACTCCACGCCTTCACCAAAGTTTCATGGATAGATACCTAATATCATAAATCATTAACCACGATCGACGCGTAAGCTACGGGCTTCCCAAACCACCATGTAGCATTAGACTGTCGTAACTCGTTAAGTGTCGCAGTGTTGCTATAGATAGGCTCATCCTGATGATGAAGGTAATTCCATCCCGCTAGCCTCCATCCTTGATCTAACCTCTCTTATGAGTGCCTTCGCTTCCTCAACCTCGACACCGTCTTGACATAGCTCGTTAGCTAAGCGGTTCGCCGTAACGTAGTCCTCCGTCCTCATCGCGTGGCGCGCGAGCCACATCCGGGCTTTGCTAGTTGCAGCTGTTACTCCTGTACCCCCCTCTCCACGTCCGGCGCGATCACCGTCATCATCTGAACCCTCTCCTGGCGAATCGTTGTGTATCGCGATACTTTCGCCCTGGCTATCGCCTACTCCGCCATCTTCCTGTGCTACACACATTTCCATGTAGGCTTTGGCGTCTTCTTCCTCGCCCATACTGTCGTACATGTTCGCGATCTGTAACAAGATCTCCGGGTCCATATGCGCACCTCGGAGACTACCCGCTCTTCCCCCGCTTCCGCTACTACTACTTGTGTCGTAATAACTCTCGGCAAGCAACGCCCGTTTTAGAGCTTTGATTCCGTCTTGGTTTCGGTTCATGCGTTGTAAGCACGAGCCAACGGCCATCCACATTTTTCCGTCCCACGGTCTGAGACCGGCAGCCTTCTTGTAATACCATAATGCATATGCATGCATCTCTAAGATCTCATACGTCTGTCCTAACCCGTACCACGCCCGGTAGTCTCTTCGATTTACATCCACAGCCCGACGATATGATTCAATGGCCGCGTGCGTATTTTTAAGCTCGACATATTCATGTCCCATGAGAGTCCAGGCGGACAGACATGAGCGATCCAGCATTAATGCCCGTCGGAAATATTGTACAGCTTTCTCGTGCAAGGACAATAATGAATAATAATTGCCGATAACCACGCATGATTCTGGTCGGAATTTATCAACACTACTGCATAAATGCGCTAGGAATGCAAGCTTGGGTCGTGCGTTCATGACGTAGAGTATGTTCGAGTAATGATCGAGGGAATCAAGTCGGTGAGGGTGTAACGATAGAATGTTGCTGAAATGTTGTTCTGCTGTAATGAGGTCTTTTGCGTGGTATGACAGCAAGGCATCGCAGGTGAGTAGGAAAGATGAGGTTGGGAAGATATGGAGTAGCTGTTCGAGGGAATTTGCGAGATTAGGATCGTGCTGGTAGAGCTCGAGGGAGGTGTGTAGATGAAACATAAAAGAGACGATGTTCTGCGGTAAGCGAGGCATTATGCGATTGAGCTGCGGTGAATTAGCGATCATGACTCCAAGTAACTTTCTGGTATACCCTAGGTTAGGGAGGTAGGTAACATACATCTTCGACCCGTGAGATGAGTGCAGTCATCTCCAGCCAACAACCCCAATTCATAGGGAATAAATGTACGCTGCGGACCAGCCAATATAAAGCCAGTTCTTCGTTCTTTTCTTTAGCAAGAACCATCCCATATAGATATTCAAGCCATCCTTGGCTACCTTCTATCTCTTCGCCGTCGTCTGATTTCCTTTGCTCGAACCACGCTTCTAAAATGCGACTGATTGTTAATAGTTGTTTGTTGATGCATGTGCCAATGTCCTGAGGCCCCATTACTATCTCAGCATCCTCATCTTTACGCTTCTCCCCCGAGAGGAATTTGGCATATAAGGCAAGAAACAAGCTTTTCTGGCTCAGCCGTGGTAATATGTCGGCGCTACTTGTTCTGGTGCTAGGTGCCGTGGCTTTGCCCTTCCCCTTGCCTTTGGGTGTTGTGTTATTTGGTTCTTTCGAGGTTGCTATACCCGTGAACAAAGCGTCGGGGAGGAAAACTGCAGCGCATCGGTCATATTCGCGGCAATCGAAAAAGGATTTAGCTAGAAGATACTTGTTGATTTCTTTAGCCTCGAGTAATGCTTCGTTAGGGTCGACATTCTGGGCGAATGCTGTCGATGCGTATCCGTTAGATATATCTGACAATTGCGAATCGTCTGGCGATGCTTCAGGTTCGGGAATGGCGTTCAGGAGTTCGGCTGCCCTAGAGTATATCCTAGATCAGAATCTATAGCTTGCTATACTGTTAACGACGAAGGTTAACAATTACCATTTGGAAGACTGGTAAAGACATCGCTCAGAGCACTTTATAACTGCTTCCTGAAGAGCGCTTCGGAGCTGTGATTTTTCTTTATTATTGAGAGACATCGTTTCATGGAATTGTTGCGCTTTGGGGCAGTTCGACGCGGTAGTGATGAAACCACGTCGCAGCTCAATTGTGCTCCGAGTCGTGGGTTTTATACATTTATAAATGTGCAGGGACAATCTTGTATGATAGTATGACTTAAACACGTCATATTTTCAACCCGCCATTTATTTTTGTAACAGCGAGGCTTCATACAGCTCTCACATGAATGAAGATGAACAGGAGCTATGTCACACATCTTAGCTCTGCCCCTCGAAAATCAATATTGGAGCTAGGGTCTAGGGATATATGATAACGATAAGATATTGACCAATTCTACTGGAGATCGACATAGGTACGTACATAGCGCGTGGTCCCTGATCTAGGTTAGGTACCTTAGGTACCTATTGGAAAGTTGAAATAGTGAAACTTTATGAAACTTTATGAATGCTGGAAAATACTTTAAACGCGTAGACAGCACTAGGTAGTAGTGAGTCGTGACTCCCAGGCGAGAGATAACCACTGTATTGTACCACCTATATAAAGTAAGGTTACGATTAGTTACATTGTGCAGCAGGCTAGGTGGAAATTAGAAATTAGACGCAACGGAAAAGTCGAGTTAGTGTGGGGCACCTCCTTATAAAACAACCAGACAACTTCTTTCCCGGGCCCGTTATAAGAGGAGACTTCAACTCCTTATATTATTCATCCATAGGTTGGTTGTACCTCCTAACCTCCCTTATTTCTTCCGTCGTAAACTCTAGTTCAAGTCCCCGAGTCATAATAATCAATCAGTCTAACAAACATCTAGCACTTAAAAGCTTATTAACTACCTAACCTATAATTCTAATTCAAACGCTACGTCGGCAAAGATGGCAAAGAAAACCACCCGCAAAGAATTTGAGTCTGTTTTTCCTCAGCTCGAGGAAGACCTCCTAGCTTGGGCGAGGCAATATAACCTCCCTCAGGAGCAGCAGGATTGGTACAAGAAGGTGAGATTTGACTCTGACCCCTCTTTTCTCATCACTTTTATCACTCAACTTCGTTTACGTCCCTAAGAATCTGGTTTAAATCTCATACGCGGGTGTCATGTACTACTTTCATGTACTTTTACTAACTCTTCATGTAGATGCTCCGAGAAAATGTTGTTGGCGGAAAATGCAACCGTGGAATGTCAGTTCCTGACTCGGTGTCTATCCTTCTCGGCAAGGAACTATCCGAGGAGCAGTATTTCCAAGCCGCCACGCTAGGCTGGCTGATTGAGCTTCTTCAAGCCATGTTCCTCGTCTCTGACGATATCATGGACAGTAGCATCACCCGGCGTGGCAAGCCTTGTTGGTACCGCCAGGAGGGTGTTGGTATGGTTGCTATTAACGATGCTTTCCTTCTTGAATCTGCCATCTACACTCTGCTCAAGAAGCACTTCAAGACTCACCCCGCCTACGTTGACATGTTAGAGCTCTTCCACGAGGTAACGCTGCAGACCGAACTCGGTCAGCTGTGCGATCTTCTCACCGCCCCGGAGGACAATGTAAATCTCGACAACTTCAGCTTAGAGAAGTACACCTTCATCGTCATCTATAAGACCGCCTACTATAGCTTCTACCTCCCCGTTGCTCTGGCGCTGCACATGCTCAACATCGCCACCCCCAAGAACCTAAAGCAAGCCCACGACATCCTCATCCCCATGGGCGAATACTTCCAGATCCAGGACGACTACCTGGACAACTTCGGCCTGCCGGAGCACATCGGCAAGATCGGCACCGATATCCAAGACAACAAGTGCTCCTGGCTCGTCAACCAGGCCCTGAAGCTGGCGACCCCCGAGCAGCGCAAGACGCTCGAGGAGCACTACGGCCGCAAGGATCAGGCCCACGAGGCCGAGGTCAAGAAGCTCTACAACGAGATGGGGCTCGAGAAGCTGTACCAGGACTACGAGGAGAAGCGCGTCGGCGAGCTCAAGGGACTGATCGGCCACCTAGACGAGACCGAGGGTCTGAAGAAGGGCGTCTTCGAGGAGTTCTTGAACAAGATCTACAAGCGAAGCAAGTAAAAGAAAAAAAGAAAAAAGAAGAAGAAGAAAGAAAAAAGCGGATCAGAAATTAGAGGAGACAAACGAAATTTACGGAAGTTTATCAATTCCTGATATGGAATCAAACTGGTAAAATAATTGGGGGGATGTCTACTAGAACGGGCACAGGAGGAGGAATTCTCGATAAATGGCTTTAGGTTTCTTCTAACTAGACAGCGCCGACATGAATAATACCCTTGAAATTTACAGTTCGATAATAAGAGCACTTTGCACCCCCCCATAAAGCCTTTTTTTCCACATCTAGCTCGGATGCTTTACCAAGGAAGTATCATCTCCGGACCTTACGGTACTACAGGCTTAGGTATTACTTAACTCAATTGAAGTGAGTACCTAACCTAACCTGCTTGATACTCCGAGGGTTTTCTTGTGAGGTAGCATATGCATTCATATACCTAGCCTCTGTTCCAAGTTCGCCACCTACGTACCTACCTACATAATGCACCTAATGTATACCGGAATTCAAGAAAGCTTTACATTTACAGCACGGATGTCGCACGACGGTCTCGATCGGCCTAAAGTGTACCTAAAGCACCTCATCTTGGGGATACGCAGACTCCCTAGGTACCTAAGGTTACCCCTGCGAACTTTTTAAGTATTCCCTTCGCTGATATATCTAAGATCTAGCCAAGTACCTACCTAGCTATCTACCTGGTAAGAGATAAGTACGTATCCGTTCCGAAACGTGTTCCGATGGGCGAGACGCACGCGGTCTCGATCAGATGTGTTCAGAGGCAGGTACCTAACCTAGGTAACCTAAGGCATCTAGGTACCTACCTAGGTAGGGTATGACCACCAGATCCGAGCCAGGTTTATTTGGGGAGGGGGGCGGTAGGTGGTATCACGACATCGTACATCGTAGACTTCGCCTGGTGGTTGCATATCGATCGTAGAGTTTGCGGATTAGAACCATTACGCGAGGTCCCCCCTTGCGCAGAGTCGATAATGGAAAACAGCTTTCGTCGGCTTTACCAAGGACATTTACCATATGCCCGCTAGGACACGGGTTTGATAGTAAAGGTAGGTAAACTATGATGTAATAAATAGTGGTACTAGATTGTGCTCAAATCGTCTTGTCGAAACATTAGGTATGCGTCTAGGTACCTAGGTAGGTAGGCTTTGGGCCAGAACCGTACATTTATATAACCCGTCCTCGGCAGTGATAAGCATGGTGAGTTCCTCGTCACATTTGACTTTGTAACAGCTTCGAATAAGATTATTCCCTACAGTAGTAGCTGCCGAGAAAGTAAACTGTTTAATATGTCCCAATCAAGTAGTCACTTATCAATATCTCATTAGAACCAACTTGTGAACAGGTGAAACTTTCAAAAGGGGGAATCTTTATTTTAATTTATCTAATCGAAAGCATCAGCTGTCTAATGCAGAGTATTACAAAAAGAAGTATCTAGGCGCTTAGCCAGTTAAATAGGAGGTAGGTAAAGTATAGGAAGAAGGTTGATAACCAAGACATCGGTTGTTACCTGTCTTTACTCCTCCCGAAATAGTATTAACCGTACGAAAGGACGCAGGTGCAGATGGTATAATCAGTAGTATCCATATCCCGTCGTAAGCGGACCGTAATAAGTTAATCCGTTGAAATTCCCTAAAAATGCATTTCTTCTCTTCGCTTCGCTTCCCATGATTTTATCTTTCATGATTGCTCGCTTGTTCGCTCGCTTTCCGCAATCGAATGTCCCCGGAACTCCGCCGCTTTTTATAAGAGATAATCTTGACGTAGGTATATAAGGAAATGTTAGATAGGTAACCAGATACCATCCAGCCGTTAGTCGAATTAATAAATAGGAGACGTCTCGCAATATTAAGGATTAAATGGCGTAATATAGGGGGAAGTAAGTAGACAGATATGCCATTATACCACTTTCAAAGTGCCTGTCCTTCCAGGCACCGAATTATAGGCGTTATATTCACGCTCTTTCTCCCTTGCCTTTTCTCTTTCGCGTTCGAGATCTCTGTTTCGAGGCGGTGGGTTCGACCGTAATTGCTCCCGATCCCCACTACGCTCGGGAAGAGTTGGGACAGGTGGGACATGTCCTCCTACGGAGATCTTCCGAGGAGGGGCACCTTGGGTTTTGCTTCTAGTTCGGGAAAGGCTTGGGACGGGTGCCGTTTGAGAAGGCCGCCGTAAGGCGCTTCGCGGCGGAATATCGGCATCACCGTTTTTGTCAGATATAAGGTCGACCAGATGTGCTGTACCAGCAGGGGCCTTAACGCCGTGACCCGTATGTTTCCTCGCCCATTGCGGTGCTTCCTGAAATCTGTTCTCTTCTAAATCAACTAGCGGTTTTGGCTGGCTATGACGGGGTGGGTGAGAAAGCCCGGTTGGCTGCGAGGAAAGGGGGTTGGGGTGTTCGTGTGCTGAGAATTTATTGCTTGAAGGGAGAGGCGGAGGTCGTGATGATGAAAGAGAGGGTCTTCGTGCATGGGCATGAGCATGGGCATGTGAGGGCGTGCGCACGATACCTGCAGAAGTGCTCGGGCGTGTCGAAGAGGAGGAGGAGCCGACACTACGCTGTCTTGCAGAATGTTCAAGAGCTGATGGGAACCAGGAAGAGGACTTGGTTTTATCAGCCGGCGTCTCTGGCTCGGTCTTCCGATTTAGCAGTGAGGGCCCCTCCGTAAATGCATCGTTTCTATGTCTTTGCCGCCCTCGCTCCGGTTGATCCGTCTCCACATGGGCCTGTCTCCGCTCTTCATAACCTTCGCCAAGTAGACCATTACCGGTGAATCCATCGTCATTTGTTGTATTGATTCTGTCTATTAATTTTCGTTCGGGTTTGTTGTTCTTCTCCACCTTCTCGGCCACCACATCGGAATTGGTATGGCGGGAGGTGATATCCTTTGGCATAGTTGATACGTCCGGTACAGGCGGTAAGAAATCCTGGCCAAACTGAGATAGCCGTTTATCAAACCGCTTCATGTCGATAAGCGGCTCGAATTGGCCAATTGCATACGGCGTTTCGTCAACTGACACCTGGAGACGGTGACCGTTTATCGAAGCAACATTGGCTGACTTCTTTGGGGCTTGAGCAACGTTAGGTGACGTGATTTGAGGGGGCTTATCATCCGTCTTCCTGATCGAGATTTTCCTCGACGGCTTCGGAGCTGCAGGTCTACGATCCACAAGGTACCAGCTCCGCCAACCCTGTACCTTTTCCCTAAATTGGGCTGCAATTTTAGGATCTTCTGTGCAGAAATACTGGACGTAGTTCTCTGTGTTTATAAAGACGGTTGTCTTCTGTTGACTCTTCACTGCGAAGCAATATCGCTTGGGTGGTTTAAGATGCCTCCGCATCTGCGACTCTGTGGGTGTATAGATATCGTAATCGGATAATCGACACAAGCTCGCAGCATCTTTATCTGTTGATTTAGCGTCCGGCTTCTTCGCGGATATTATCTGGCCATTTTCAAGAAGCGTTATCCACCTCTTGTTCCACTTGCCGAGGCGATTTGAGTGGTACATGTATAGTTGAAAACCTTGCGGGGGTTCGTCGAGGTTTGGAACCGAGTCGATGTCCAGCTCCCAATCTTGATCTTGGGATTCGGACATTGCGACTGTCAATTGGTTTTGAGTATCCCGATCCCAAGAATTCATAACATCTCGAATATGCTCATAACGACGCAAACAACGCTCCAAACCCAGCGCACCATAAGTTTCCTTGACGACGCAATTCGATCGGCTTATATCTCGGGAGCCTGTCATCTTAGAAGCATGGGCTATTATATCGTCCGCAGTCGTCTCGGGGGTAACTTCCACGCTGAAGGTATGATGTTTGCAGCGGACCGCAACATTCTATGATCATATTAATATGCATTTCAGAATGCGCCAGTTCACAATTTACACTTACTCGTTCTCCTGCATTGATCGCAGAATGAGGGGCATCCGTCTGAGGTACAATTCCCCTCCCTCCAACCTCTATCCCGGTTATTTGAGATTTTATAGGCTCGACGCTGGCATTTGATGACGTCGGAGAGACCACAGGAGATAACCCATCTCGATCTCGGCTTTTCCGCCCCTTGGTTAAGAGGGCAAGCTTCTCAAGTACAGGACTTCTCGGCTTAGGGGACTGCGCTTGGAACGACGGTCTCGGGCTATTTGCCAACTCTATTTCCAGCCTCTGAAGATCTTTTCTCTTCTGCTCGGCTATGAGTCGGCGGTTTTCGGCCTCTAAGCGCGCAACTTCCCTCTTCAACGCCTCGTCTTCCTCCTCGCTGTTTACCCTGTTGCGCCGCCCATCTCGACTAACAAGCCTTCGCCACCCGCTCTCTTCGCTCATCGCGCTCTTCGCTGTACTAGGACGGTTCTGATATTGATCCATCGTACTTCGACGCGGCGGATACTTCCGCGTGCTTTCCGTATGGCGCAGGTGATGTCGCGGGGGAGAATCGAGCGCGGTAGCTGGGGCATCAGTCTCCTTTTGTCTGATGCTGGCGGTTGTTAACCGACGTGGTATAGTAGGTACAGGCACAGGGGGGGCTATAGGAGGTTCCCATGGGGGTGGTGGATCGGAATTAATTTTTTGGGTTGCATCGACGTTGACAGCGGCGCTACCTGCCTTCCTACGGTAGCGAGACATGGATCGAGCAATAGTACTGCTCCCAGAAGTAGTACTCCCAGATGGTGTACTGGAATTCTGCTCGCTACTTTGGCTGCGACCGCTTTGAGCCGCCATTTTTTCTATCTTGGTTTCGGTTGATGGAAGGCTTCTTTCCCTCAGGCTTCGGGCTCGCAAATTGAATTTATTTTCGAGAGTGAAATCAAGATGGGAGAAGTTGGGCGGTGACGAGCTAGCTGGTAAGGTAACCGTCTCGGACCCTGTCGACATCATGCCAGGGGGGTTGTAGACAGACACACGCGACAAGGGGGAAATGAATCTGTGCCGCTACCTGACCCACAGAACAGGAAAATGACGATGTCCGACGACGTGTGCAGGGAGCGCAGAGTGCACCGAAGCAGATCGTACCTAAAGCAAACTTCAAAAAGAGTAATGCTCAAGTACGAATCCGGTATAAGATATGAATCCAGACGTCTTCTACACGACAAGACGGCAGAACGGCACAACAGCACAACAGCACAACAGTACAACAGCACCACTTAGCACTAGTGTATAAGTGTATAAGTGTATAAGTGAAGGCCAAAGGTTCGCTTGTGCTTGTCTTTTTTTCCTTTTTTTGTCTCCTCTCTCAGTACTTCCTCCTAACCACCCTACCTAATCCCATGGCCCATGGCGATTGTAATAGCGTAGACTTGTAGTGAAGCGTAGGGTTTAACTGAAGATAACTACCTAGGTAGAGATAGTAGCGCTGTAATCTTCTCTAATTCATGTCCGTCACCATCATCTGATGTACGAGGATGGATCCTTGACTCCAGGAAAGGATTTTCAATTAAAAGCAACTGATCAAATTGGGTAGATTGCCGAGAAGGTCAACTCTCCATGTTATTGGTAGAGAAAAGATGTTGCAAGGGATTATCTACCGGGAGATGTCCATGTCGGGCCTGACTGGCTGGACTAGGTCTGAGTTATGTGGAGTTAGGTAGGTTTTACATCTTAATTATCGCGAATAATATCCGGCTGGTTAATTGGGCTGGTAGATGATTGTGGGTGGCTAATAGATGAACTTAGCAGCCTATGATTGTTAAAGGCGGCCAGACAGCGTGGCTAGAGCAAGGTACTACTACCTGCATGACACGCAGCAGAAAAAAAAAAAAAAAAAAAAAAAAAGAAGCTAAAGGGGAAATTTCCCACGTACTACCAGCACTAATCCACGTTAAGTAAGGTTAGGTAATCTTGGCTGCGGTAGCTTTTCCAGCTTTCTTATGCAAGGGCCATTTCAGGTCATTAAAATGCAGGGAAATCCCGCATCGCGTCAACGATCTCCGCTGAAACTACTACATAGTACAGTGGACAATCCGGACAATCAGGGACCATCGAGGGGCCTGTGCTCGCCAGGCACAGAAAAAGCCAAAAATCGCAATTGAAATCTTAATTGGTCCCACCCTGCCACTTCTAAGTTCTACCTAACCTAACTTGTTCTTCTTCATGCGCTTGTTTTTGTCTCAAGCACTTAAGACACGAGAGTCAGGTAAGACAAAAGGGTATTCATGGTAAGCACTACCTTAGGTATGTAGGTACATAGCTAGGAATTATATGTAAATATTCTGGAATTCTACCTATCTACTAGGTACTGTACGTTGACCACCTAAGGTAACATCGCGACTTGCTTCATTTTTGTCCGCGTGGCTTTATAGAAAATATTAGGATTAGATCCTAAAGAGGGGCTAATTTTTCTATGCAAGATGCATGCAGGTACAAAAAGGAGTACCTAACGAAATGAAACTTGCTATAACCACGCCATGAAATAGGTGCAGTACCATCGCTATCCCAGCTGAAAAAAAAGACCGTTCGCCGATTAACTCTACATCCAAGACGGAAGACCGTAGAGTCAATTTAGGTATGAACTTACTACATAGTATGTAGATACATACCACAAGACAGGCAGGGATGATGGTTGGAATAATACGAGGTTCCGGTATGTTGGGTTTTCTAGACGAATATACCAGGTAGCATTTCGGACATTTCGAACATTTCGTGTCGGAATGGAATATCTCAAAATATGTCTATCATGTCTATTATTGGCGTGGGGGGGCATGTCAGGAATATCGTATCGATTTTCGTCACTTTCAAGTTGCCAAATGGAATCAACTCGTCTCATTATGTAGAAGTTGGCGCTTTCGCCATTCTCAAATCAAGAAATTATACGTAGCTCTCGCCAAAAACTTCAGCAAGTAAAAGCTTGAACCCCCTTACAGGTGGAATGTCTTAAGCCCCTTATTTTCTGAATGCTCTGAGATTCCACCTCCACCATCCGGTAAAATCCTGAGCGGCCACGTCAATGCCGATGTCTTGAAGCGCCTTCGTGCTGAGGTGGCAGTCGTACGGCCTCTGGACCGAGGCGTTCGGGTCGTTCCCTTCGGTATTAGGCTCAATGGCCGCAATTGACAGACCCATGATATCGCCAAAGAACTGGCAGATCTCATACTTGGTATACTTGCTCTCCGATGAGAATTGTAAGATGGAAGGTAGCTTAGATGGATTATCTGAGCCCAGGTATTTAACGGCAATGTCTGTTTTCAGGTGTTAGTAGCATATGAACGTATCCAGTAGTTGATACTAGTTGAGTGAAACGTACCGTGACAAACCCGTCCTACGTCTTCGGTCTGCTATGTGTCAGTATCGTATGCGATCATTTGGTTTCATGAAGGGCTGAAGCAGCAATAAAAGACGTTGCGACATACTATAAACATGTCAGCATCCAATGAGAGGAAAGCATAGGTAGTTGCGTGATAATATCTTTTAAAGCATAACATTTCGAACTTACCATTGGTAGGGTAACGAAGCGCCCAATGGTCCATCTTGATCTTAACACCTGGTTCTTGCGCTTTCCAGACAGTATCCATAAGCACATTCACAGCGCTCTCGGACGGCACCTCGGCGTCACCATATAACACGGGAACACGAAGGACGATACCGAGTCCTGCTTTCCCAGCGCCTAGGTACTCCTCTTGCACAACTCGTTCCCCATCTAGCTTCGTCTGCCCGTACAAGTTGGTAGGTTCCGGTTTCGCATCCGCCTCGTACGGCGCCTCGCCGGGCCTGCCCGGGAAGACGTAGTCGGTAGATATGTAGATCAGCAAGATACCGCGTGAGGCACATGAGGAAGCTAGTCGCCTGGTAGCTTCGACGTTCAAGGCGCGGGTTCCTTCAGGGTCTTTGTCGCACTTGTCGGGGAATCGGTTTGCGGCACCTTACTGCTGTTAGTTTCTTACCCGGATCTATAGGTGAGTCCAAGTAGGGTTATAACGACGAACAGTGTACTACAACTTGAGGCCTTCAAGAGAGAAGAAGCTGTTAGTAATGACATTGTTTTGTATATTACCTACCTACCTACCTACCTAGGTAGGTAGGTACCTAAGTAGAGAGTGGCTTTAACATAATAACATACTTGACGTTGTCGAGGGTGGCCTCAACTTGGTCTGCGTTTACTAGATCGACCTTGAGGATCGATGATCCATCAGCGCGAGAGTAGCCCGTCCCTTTAACATTCCACTTTTCTCTTTCAAAGGCCCTCACAACCTGTCTACCAAGTAGACCAGTGGCTCCGGTAACCAACGCAGTTTTGTCGGACATGTTTGATAAATAGTGTGGTTAGTAGTTAGGGGAATAAAATACAGCTCTAAGTTCCAAGATGCTTGGATTTTTCTAGCATACAGCTTTGGTTTGAGGTACATAATGATGTCTATGTCATAGCGGGGGCGGGGCTATCAATAGCTCTATACGGTGGGGCTCCAGGGCTCCTATAGCTTTGCTGCTCCTCTGCTCCAATTATCCAGCCTAGGTACCTACATAAGCCAGCTTAGATACAAGGGCAAGATAAAATTGTCTCATCCTTTTCTATATCAAAGATACTTAGTGAGTATTACTTACTACCACTCTAGTTTCGAAGCTCCTCTCAAATCGTCCACGTTCAAGATGTCAGAACCCTCTTCCATTAACGTGTGCCAGACTTTGTTTCTTGTCCCAACTGGCCAACTAGGAGTATCCCAGTATCGAACTTTGAGGCCTCTGCGATGAGCACCTTTAATCTGCCCGCGAATCGTGCGAAGTTGTTTTTCACTAAAACCGCCTAGCACGATGCCTATAGCATCTGCGAAGCTCGTGCTGGCATAGAATGAATTGGTATCATTGTAGAGCGGAGCTGCTTCGGTAGACACCGGGCTCGACGCATCTGGATCCTCCCACATATCCTTTAGAGGCGCGTCGAAGAAGGCGTCTCTATATGTCGCGTTCTTAGTAAGTAAGTCGAAGGGTGTATTCCCCGTTCCAACGACGGTTACTTGGCGCTGATGGACAACCCCGTTTTTGAAGGAACTTAACCAACCTCTTGACCTCAGTGGTTCGAGTTGTGCTAGGACATATGGCCAAGTTTTAGTCCCGTCAGTCTTAAGGTCCACAAGGAGGATTACCGTCTGTTCTGGGTCATAATCGAAAACGCCTCGGCGTGTGTCGTTATAGAATTTTGTTTGCGGGTTTGTGCGATTGAGTAGTTCCACCAGAGGATTTACGTAGAGGGAAGTAAAAGTACGATTTGGGGTTAAGGCAGCCTCGTCATGTCCGACGTAAAGTTCCGGGTCATCATCGAATAGCCAGACGTCCGCTTCCACCCCGATACAGCCAGCGTGTAAAGCCGAGAAGAGAGGCACTTTACGCCAGTAGTCGTTATGCGAATGGCACCGAATTGGAACGACGTCACGGAGGAAGTCCGTAGGGTACCAGGCCAAGTCTTCCGTTCCTGTACCTGGCTTCCCCCAGTTTCCAAAGACTTTATCGGGGTCATCTTCCAAACCCCATAAACTCCTGGCGATGGAGAGGAGCAAGCTTATGAGTAGGATAGAAGCTCTAGATTTTTAGATTAGATTAGTTGTACGAATGAAAACAGTCTACGTTTCGGTAACGACGCCTACAGTATTGTCAAACCCCAGATACTACCGGAGGTGAGATAACCCTGCCAGCGTTGCTTTTTTGGGACTGGTAGTACTACTTTATCGGCCGATTCTATTCTTTCCGCAGGAGGATTCTCATTCTGTTCAGATCCACCGACAGGTATATAGTCATGAGCGCGACGTCGGTTCCAGATGTTACTTAAGGATAATTTGGTTTGAGAAAGCGTAGTGCTGCCCATTTTTTGAGACTAGACGCGGCTCATTAATACTACTCAAGGTGAGAATACCCGTAGTTGTTTGAGTCTGACACCACTTGAATTTTCTGATTAAGTTGATTACTCTTTGTACTGAGTAGTACGATATTGACGTCAGAGAGGAATGAAGAAAAAGATAGATGCTGCTTACTTAGGTACCTAGGTACTTTATTTAAACAGAGAGATATGAGTATGAACACCAAGGGAGTATGTAGAAAATTAAGTGTCTAGTAGAATTGGTTTAGGACGATATTATCATTTAGTTGTTCCTGGGCTAAAGTTAGGTACTATGTAAACAGTTGAGAGTGATGGTTGAATCGGACTTGACGGGACAATTTAGAGTTGGTTCCTAATTTTGTTTAACCAATCTAAGTGGAGCCAATATGGTCTAAGAAGTTAAAAGTTAGTGTAGAACAAACCAATCAAGCTTAAAATATGGGGTCAAGTACGAAGTACGTATTGTACCTAAAATTTTTGGGAGCCTTCAAGTTCTAAATTCATTATCAGTTTTACAACATCAATCACTCAAGATGCCGCACAAACACACACGCAAAGAAAAAGACCTCTCTACGTGAGTAAAATACCAATACACTAGCTAAACTACTTGCTAAACTCTCTATGCAGATACGATCTACCCCCTTCGCAGATCGCAAAGCCTTTACCTGTAAAGTCGCAAGCGCAAAAGAGTGATGCAGGGAAGAAGGGTCCCGTCCAGCCTGTAAAAAGCCAGAAGCGCAAGCGAGATTCGAATACGAAAGATGATGCGCCCCGGGCATTCAAGAGGTTGATGGCTTTGGCCCAAGGCAAAAAACCACGGTATGGATTAGACAACGGTGACCGACCCCCCGGAAAAGGGAAGAAGGGAAAAGCCGATGCTGTAACGAACACCGAGGCTGAAACCAAAGCGGAAAAAGAACTTCCTAAGATCAGGCCCGGCGAGCGCATGTCGGATTTTGCAGCTCGAGTAGATGCGGCACTTCCCGTCAGCGGTTTGATTACCAATTCAGTTAAGAATGGCAAAGACCCTCTAGGCTTGAAAGCATGGCGGACCAAAAAGGAAAAGAAGATGCACAAGTTATACGAAGAGTGGCGGGAAGAAGACCGGAAAATAAAGGAGAAGAGAGAAGAGGAATTAGAACTCCATGCAGAGAAAGAGCTGGAGGAGGAGGAACTAGGTGTCACTTGGAAGCTCGATACGCTAGGCGGCGGCGGCAAGAAGAAAAAGAAGGGAAAGAGAGCGAAGTACTTGGGCGAGGCTGCTGATGACGATGAGGACCCGTGGGAAGTCTTGAAGAAGAAGCGCGGCGAGACGAAAATCGGCTTGCACGATGTGGTCCAGGCGCCGCCGGAGCTTACTGTCAAGCCTCAGAAGAAGATGACCGTTAGAGGCGCGGCGGTCGCGATTGACGGTATTCCGAAGGCTGCGGGAAGTTTAAGGCGAAGAGAGGAGCTCCAGACTGTAAGGGACGATATTGTCGCCTCCTATCGGAAATTGATGAGCGAGAAGCGGCCATCGTTGCACGCAGCTTAATATCAGAATTCAGCTTGTTTCAGGCGATAGTAACATAGATACCCCTAAAATCATTCATTCTCTATCTCTTCGATATGTTTGAGAATAACAAGTTTCGAATAAAATCCAGTGAGTGCTTCTTTCACTCTATTAGGTATTGACGGTTTCTGAATGTCGAGACGACCTATAACTCTGTAAAATCTAAACTCTTCCGAGCCAAGATGATATTTTCGCCACACATAAAATATACCACCTTCATGACTGCTTTCACGCGCTTAATCGAAACTCTATACTCATTCTCAAGGCTATTTAGAGCACCAATGGATCAACGACGGTCAACCCATTTTTAATGTCTACTTGGAAGCAAATGACATCCTGATCTCTCCGTTGGCGACAAAAATTGAGAAAGGGGTTTCAAGGCCCAAACCAAAATGTTGGGGAGAATAACAGGCAAGCGAATACCCCAAATTACCACAACGAATAGACGTAAATGCAATGGTAAACCAATCACCAAGTCAAATATTTGCTCAGTATCGACAATCCCACGAGCTTTCCATCCTTATCAACACCGAAATCATTTCTACTCATCCATCCACACCTCCAACCTCGTTAATACAGTGATGTAGGGCGTACTTCGAGATATTTCGCAGAGACTAGGTAGTGTTATGAATGGATGGAAGACGATACCTAATTAACCCATCTGGACTTTGGCTTGGCTCATCTTCATTGAGATGGTTGGTCGCCATACCGGAGGTATTCCAGGCATTCCCATCTAGCAACGCGACAAATCAATCAAGACTGTTACAATGCACGTGAGGTCCATTTGCCACAGCCCCGAGGGTGACGCGCGAATATTGGACGAATCGGCGCATTTGGACCCAATCACCTATGCCGTCGTAGAATGCCACGTCTCTCTTTACCAGATTAAACTTAACCATCTCACGGGTCTAGTTATCCCAACATTGACGTGAAGTCTCATACTCATCTGCTATTGAAGTTCCTAGAAATGGATTGGTTTTGGAAGATCTTTACAGGGGCGGGTAAGGCTGTCAGGAGGAAACGAGGTCGTCATCGACATCATATACCCGCGCCCGCGCCCGAGCCTTACGCTCACGGGCTGTTCGTCTTATATCCTCCTCCCGAGCCACCGGCCGACCAGGAACACTTTTCGGTAGAGTAAGTATACTTTGCATTTTTTAACGAGTTTGAGCGTATTTTAATACCATGCTAGCATCGTTGCAGTCCATGGGTTGAATGGCAGGGCGCGTGAAACCTGGAAGGATGAGAAGACTGACGCACTCTGGTTGGGAGACTTTCTTCCAGATGCAATACCAAATGCTCGGATTATGACGTTCGGATACGATTCGAGTTTACTGTTTAGTAACTCAAAAGGCAAAATCGAAGACTTCGCTAGAGATTTACTAAACAGATTATGGGTAACAAGACAAGGACAGGAGGTATGGCAATCTTGGAATCAATGAATAGCCATTGCCTATGACATACTAACACGCTAAACTAAGGCTTTGAAGAGACCGATTGTGTTTATAGCTCATAGCCTTGGGGGAATAGTCGTCAAAAAGGTACCTACCTTACCCTCCCCATCAGCCCAATCCATGTGAATATCGTGAGATGTTGACAATTCCAGGCACTTATCCTAGCTCATGAGAACGATCATCACTTGGGCGATATCCTCTCCTCCACGATAGGAATCATGTTCATGGGAACACCACATCGAGGGTCTAAAATCGCAGACTGGACATTCTTTCTTCGAAGCCTCATCCACATCACATCAGGAACACAAATCATAAGGGCCGATCTCATCCAAGAACTTCGCACCCACTCTATAACTCTGCGTGAAATTTCGAAATCTTTCTTGCCCCGCTCAATTGGGTTGAATATCATGTCGTTTATCGAATTGCAAATTGAACGTCCTCTAACCACTCTGGTAATACGAATTCCTCATTAGCTTCCCATTTATCGTTAGAGTGAGGTGCCTGCTAATACGACACGACTCTAGGTTGTGCCCGAAGAGTCTGCGCGACTCAATCTTCCTAACGAGATGGTCTTCCCAGTTAATACCCACCACCGTAACATTTGCCGCTATTCTTCAAAGACTGATCAGACGTATGCCCTCGTGGAAGGCTCCCTCAAGAACATTGTACACACTGGAACTGATTCTTCTGCTCCTAGTAAGTCATGGCTCTCTTGTCTAATAAAATTCGATTACTGTTCGACTAGTCTGATTCACTATCACAAGCTATATTCAATAAGCATTATATAATTGAGAACCGACAACATACCCAGACAACGCTTTCTGCGGCGGAAAACGCCCAAGAACGAGTAAGTACGAATTTAGATCTCTTTTTCATGCTTACGCTAAGACCCCTGATTCAGAATAAGCATTATCCAAGCTTAGTAGATGGTTTGGCTAAGAACCAAGTCTCGGGCGCATTCAACAACCTTAGAAAACACTATCACGATGAGCACCCTGCGAAAGATGTACCTATTGCACTAGCGGATGCTACATGGGGACAGAAGACATTCAAGGTTCGAGTTTTCGGTCTACAGAAGTATGAGTTAAACTCGCAGGAGAAACAGGAAGAGGAGTTTATAACTCTAGACGTCAGCGGCGACACGGATCTAGACAACTTTAGGGATATGTGCCATGACTTGTTAAAAGGAAGACGATGTAAGTAAGTGTTTACGCTTTGAGAACTATTCTGATTCGTTATACAGTAGGATTCCCATTTTGGGATTTTAAGTTCCCCGGTCGGTCGTCGCTTGTATCAAGCCGCTGGAAAGACGTCTTCACAGTTCCGGTTCAAGTCACCAGCGGTCGTCCTTCCTACAAAAAATCAGCAGGGTATAGAATCAATGTTGACCAATCCATTGCAGCTTTCTGTAGCAGGGCATTCCCAAATCCAGTTTCAGCCAAACTCCGTGAATATCCTCAACAGATGCACTCTAACATTGGTATGGCTCAATTTGTCATAGTCGGAAACGAAGACTGCCCAGGACTTCATATCTCATTTATGAGGACAATTCGCGTAAAGGGAGACGAGAATCAGTACACACCACCAGCGGGATTAGGCAGTTTCCCTCTGTTTGACACTTCCTCATACAAGAACAAGCTCCCTGCCAGTGTAGCAGCGAAAGGCGGCTTATTCTTTCCTATGCACGGTACGTTTATACCTAGCTACCTATTATTAAAATATCCAACTCTCAAGAAAAAATACGGTTTCTAAGCAAAGGCTAATATAGAGTCAAGAGAGAGAAGCGATGTGGATGAGTTTTGACTGTAAAGAATCCTCCAAATTTGCCGTCCGCCCGTTTGTTGGAGGCATTAATGGGATTACCGGGGACAACATCCTTTCCTACGGCTCTAAATCTGACAGTTCTATTAACACAGCTCAAGATTATATCGTAGTACCTACGCAAACTCGTTTAGACGGCATCTGTAGTGGACCTGGAGTAGTCAAGCAATTTGTCGCTACAAGATTATCTGCAGCGGAACAAAATCGAGAACCTGGAATATCCAATTCCAGTCCAGCAACCAGCGAGGGCCGAACGATTGAATGGCAAATGACTGGAAAGGATGAGATAGGGGGGATCCAGTTACAGATTATCCCTGAGTTTGAAACTAAACGAATCTTTGCAGGTAATTTGAAGGACGTGTGCCCTACATATATCGGGGGCCCCCTAGAGTCCTACTGCCCAGTGCCGCCCGACTTAATGGAGTACGACATTTTGAATACACCTATGCAACTTGGATTGCATCCTAGTGATACCATTCATGTTAAGGTTCTCCAAAAGTCCCCCGCAAGCCCCAAGCGACCCAAGGTTATACGGGATCTTATAGCAGAGGCACCAAAACCACCAGAATACCCGTACGATATAGATCTAGAAATCGATGGAATCTACAGATTCAGAGAGTGTGTATTAGCAGGCTTTACAAAAGGTTCCAGTTGCCAACAGTGTATCAGGGTAATGTTTAGTGGAGTGGAGGTTTTCAATGGGTATGATTGGGATGATGAAAAGGTAAAAGCGATATTATACCGGAGAACAGGAATTTTACCTCATCTTCAAGCTTACAAAGCCAATGGGTTGGAGTTCTCAAGCGGTACGTTCTTCCAAAATCACCACTTTCTTCTTTCGAAGGCAGTTTTCCATTCCTCTACTATTGTGACCGCTCTCCTGATACGAAAAGCTAAGATATCTCACGTTTGTAGTTGATATGGATCTACCCTTTTTCTATGGAAGTGAACTAGTCATCGAACTTGTTGTGCGCCCACACCCACAACCTACTCTTGGCATCGGAGCGGGGGGCAGCATCATCCAAGAGATCCACCCTGACAATTCGGATCCGCGGCTTTGGGATATCGCCAGCTCCAAGATTCTTCACGTTCAAATCATTAATTCAGATGTATTCGGCTCTATCGTCGAGCCTCAGCCCTCGGAAGAACCTACGAACTCTATGACTGGCCAGAAGAAAAAGCGAGTGGGCTCCAACGGTGTCTTCAATGGTATTATAAGTGTAGCTGTGCCGGAAGGAGGAGAAATAGTAGACGAAGAAACGGGGCGAATTGATGATGACGTGACGGTTCCTGTTTCTCATCTGACGTTACTCGAGGTGGACCAGACAATCCCTCGGTTCAAAGGTCATTAGCGATATCTCTCTGGTGATGCCAGAAAAAGATGTCAGGACATCGGCCTAAAGCCATAGAGACGAGAGATTATTCTCAAAATTGTTACATTCACCACTGATTCGGAGTAGCTATTATGTTCCCCTTTAACCTCATATTGTTTCGTTGTCGCAAGTATATGAATACTACCTAAGTTATGTCTACTCAGAGACTGGAGATAACATCTGATATGCTTTTTTGGAGGTGAGGCTGGGAAGAATAAGGGGTACCTCGCACAGTACCTCAAGTACATCTTGGATAGTATCTCGGAGTTACATAATAGATACACTGGAGCTTAACCGATATTGAGCCACTAGGCCAGCCTGCCAGATGCTTGCTTCAACTCTAAAACGGTGGGACACCTGACTGATTCATGACTGATTCAGTGTACTTGTGTACATGCCTTAACCTAAGGTATGTGCCCCCACAATTCGTGAGTTCCAACTTGGTTGGAAGTTCCCCTCACTGAAAATCAATCTTGCATTCTCAATTTAGAAACAACTTCATTCGCGTTCGCAAGTCAAATCTCCCAAGCACACTGGTTCGATCCTTTTAGCGTCTAAAATTCTATCACCATTTTTTCTCTTTTTTTTTTCTCATGCCTGAATACCCACGTGCAAAATGGAGATTGGCCTCGACGAACTGATCGAGTCCCTCCTAACTGAAATCGCCTTCTCTGGCGTTCGAGGTGAGTACACCATTTTTTTTGAATTTCTCGAGTTTCTTGGCGATTTCCGCCCGGATTCGTCGACAGCTGCTCTATTAATATCGTGAACGAAAGCTTACTTTTTTGACCATTAGGATGTTCGGTTTCTACGTTACTGAAGACGATAGATTCTTTTTATAATGGTGCTCAGGAACAGATTGGCACTTCTGTACAGCATCGTGGTGAAAGGCCGACACCAAGTAACGCAAATGCTAACTCTCCGCCAATCGACAATGCACCGCGGACTTCTCAGGATCCCAGTAGTCATGAGTTTTGCATGTACTCAAAGGTCTGGGGATGGCTGGTGTCGAGAGCAGATGTTTCCGTAGGCACTAACAGACAATTCAATCATCGCAAGTTAGAGGAGATCCTAGCTCTTCCAGAAGAGGAAGACGACTTGCCACCCACAGACGATGCTAGCACATCTCAAAATCAAAATACTACTCCAGCAAATGAACGCCCGAGTGCTTCGAAGGGCCGCCGAGGCCTGCAAGAGACTGTGCCAAAGTACAGACCTCGCCTTCATGTTTCGGATGAGCGACAATGGAAAACAATTGCTGGACATGGTCCAGATCTCAAGCGGCTACCGTTCTTTGAATGGAAAGCACTTGTTGATATTGCATCTGTGAGGGAGAAGGGTATTCTTCAAGGAGATCTGGTTCGACTGTCTGGCCAAGATAAGAGATCTCTCCCCACTCGCACCGACGCTCTGGCAAAAAAGGGGTACATTATCAAACAACCTATTATTCTTCGAGGATGTCGCTCTAGTAAATTGTGGCTTGCTCGATTTGCCGACAATGCAAAGGAAAATCGTGACGGTCTTAATCTTGAGACGCTCGACTTATCCAAGGAGACTTTAACCAAAGATCTTCGCCCAGTTCCATTTAGCGCTAGCTGGAACGGCGAGAGACTGGATTATATAGCCATTGCGCAGGCTTTCAATGCTGTCATTAAAGCATGGGGAATTATGAGATACTGCGATGTTCGGACTAAGTTAGATGCTAACCGTGTGCCACAAATGAGAGCCTTGGCGAAAACATCCCGATGGTTTACCAGCATAGGAGCAGTTACGTTTGTAGCTGCACGATTCGCGAATGGCCAGAGGCTCTTCAAAGACTGTGTGAAATTCATCAGGGAGCCAACGGCTGAGGAGTGGAGAGTCTTCCGAACAACACCAAGTGCTCATATCAGAGTCCCTTCGGCCCGGCTAGGAAAAAGAGGACAAGCGTCTCGGGCTAGATTTAACAAGGGAGCTAAGCCCAGTCCTCATAGTCAAGTCAAGCCGAAGCAGGTCTCAACCCAAGAGCGCCAAACAAAATCGATACATAAGGAGCAATTTGTACCATCTCTGTGGACCCCGTATAAACCTATGGTCAATACAACATTCGAGATAATCAAAAGAGCTGGCCCCAAGGGGTCTTCAAACCTCGAAATCGGTCGCCAGACATTAGGACATAGCTATCGCAAGTACATCGCCGCACTTACTGGGACATTATCATTGCCCAACTCTCAGCCCCCTCACCTACAACACCTTAACGTTACGTCGCAGCTTAATCGCATAGGGAAAACAATGACCTACCAGTTCTTCGCGAATGGAGAAGTTGGCAGCTCCACAGAACAAAACAATGGAAACAATGCCGATGGCCAGGATGTGAATTCGGAAGTGCAAACTTTCGACGTACACACATCACAGCGCCGTGTAGCAATAACAGGAGGTGCTTATACTTATTCGCAGATCCAATCATCTAAACTGATGTCATCACCTGCCTCGTTCTCCCAGCTTCACGACACCTTCCTAGCACCGAGACCACAAAAGAATAGAAAGAGGAAGAGAGGTTTAGAGGAACCCACTAAGGACCCATGTGGTGATGTGCAAGAGCACCCTAAAAAAGTACCTCGAATAGAAACAGCGTCTTCGGGAGATGTTGGTACAGATGCACTAGCTGCAGCAGATGGTGAGGTTATAAACGACGACCAGGGAACACATCTGAATGTGAATGGACCTATTCCTGTACCTGTCCCTACGACCAGCCCGCAACAATCTATCGAACAACCTATCCTCGACATTATACAATCTACTCCCCCTGAGCAGCTTTCATCGCCCCCGCCGCCTTCTCGACCATCTGGCGTATATCGCGAGCCTGACAACTCGTTGGATCCGCCTGGAAGGAAGGGACGACGAAAAAAGTCTCTTGTTCTCACATTAAAGTGCAATTCACTTAAGGCTTGGTTAGAAGGTATACAAGATAACAACCCCGCAAATCTTGGTGAAATTCCTTCGTACGAACCCAGTACCCGGCCTTCAAGCCCAATGCAAGAGCCGCCGCGAGCTACTCTTGACAATAGCTTGGCCTTATCGGAAGAAGCAGGATCAAATCAGGCCAAGCTGAGGCCGACTAAACGTGGCAGTAAGACGATATTCCGATGTGATAAGTGCGGAAATAGCTGGAAGAATTCGAACGGGTTAGACTATCACCTCAACAAATCCCGCACTACTTGCAATCCCGCTTATACCCCAACGCCGGCACCACCTCCTAGACAACTTGCGAAGCTAAAGGAAGCACCCAAGGCGGCGTTACCGAAAACACCTGACGGCCAAGAACAAAGCAATGGCTATGATAATCTCCAGGTACCAGAATTAGCTCGTAAGCCATCGCAGCGTAATTCTATTGTAGGGAGTGGCCGGCGCTTGCTACCTCACAAGCGTGTTCGTTTCAGCGAAAATCTTATATCCAGTCAGAATACCAGTGACTCAGCTACACAAGAATATACCGGCAGCTCTATTATTTTACAAGATGTTGATGCTTATGATGTTATCGATCATCGAAAACGAAGAGAGAATAGCCAGGCAACGTTGACCGATCTTTCCGGTACGATTCCTCCAGCAAGTCAAGTGAATCAAAGGTCGTCCCATATGACACCCAAGAAGCCTCAAAATGGTGCGCCAAATACCAACCAAAAACAGGAAATTTCTGCGATGCAGGAAACTTCCCAGAAAAGAACAAGCAAGTCTGCCTTGACACGCAAACGTGACCGAACAACTGGAGCTGAGAAACCTGAATCTTATATTACTGCATATGAACCCTATCCAGGGCAAACAGATATCGGGAATGAGACGCCTGCGCCGCCCGATTTCAACTTAAGGATCAATCTACTAAAACCCGTCGTGCCTATAGCCCGCGCCCCATCTAGAACTGCGGCTTCACCGGCTGTTATTCATTATAATGGATCAAACAAGAGCCAAGACTCTGCTATAGTTAGTAGTCACTTAGACAGCGACGTTACGCAGTCAAATCAATCATCTCCGAAGAAGCCTCGTAAGTCGTCTACACTCACCGTGGGTACAATACGCAAGGATCGGACAACTTCTATTATCGAACATCTACTTGACAGGAATGACGGAGTTTTTCCGGGACAGCGATCTTTATACTTGGCTATAGTATCTCTCTGGGTCAAGAGGTATAGTGATATTGAGCCCCCAGACTGGAAGGTGTGCCAGAACTTGGTGAACAAGATGGAGAAGGCCGGTGCATTGGCGCAGCACCGGTTCTTCTTCCTCGACGATAATGGCAAACTTCAAGAATGTTGCGTACTTACAAAGAGCCGGCAAGGCGCGCCTACTGCCACGGATTTAGCTGCGGATCCCAAAGTGGAAACGGTAAAGGAGAAGATGAGAGAAATGCACCCAGAGCCGTATATACCAGAAGAATTTTCACTCTCGCAGGATGAGAGCGAGCTTTTCGACGCGCTTGCATCGAAATACAGAGACTCCACGTCGTCAAATGGACCTCGAAAGCAGCTTAGAAAATCTAACGTAACCGAAGATATTGAAGTATTACAATACCAGGCTTATGTCGTTAACGACGCTTCCACACATGCAGCTAGCTCGAAGCGACCAGCTGAAGAAGATGAATCGTTAGATATAGCACCCGCCAAGAAGATTCGTGTGGACGACGGCACCATAGATAAATCTAGGAAGACACCAAAGCCGCGGAAACGAGGCGATAGACGTGAATCATGGGCGACTGCCAAAGTTGCAAAATATATTTGGAACCAGAAGCAGAACCCAGGCGATAAATGGGCTCAGAAGCACGCCTGTCTTCAAAACTTTGCTACAAGCACATGGTCAAATTCACCCCAAGAAGCTACCTCAATGCGTCTCAGTATTGATATGATATTATCTTCACTACGAACTTCTCGCGAAAAGGCGCTACTATCCATGGGTCGACTTTCCAGCAATGAGCCCAACAGTGCAAACGTGCCGAAGGAAAACAGTGCACTCTCACCTGGAGAGCTTCTTTGGAATCATGATTCGATTGGGTTTGGCAATGGAGAAAGCTACGAGCAAGCAACGCCTGGAGTAATAGAGATGGCCGAGAAAAGCCCAGTTGATCGATTTGTCAAGCCTTCTATATCTACATCATTCATACCAGAGGATTTGGGGTCTGAAGAAGAGGATGATGATACAATGTCACCTGGAGCACATCATGGAGATGTCCCGGATGAGAGCTTGAATCAACCCTTGGCAGAGTCTGGTACTACATTTGTACAGAGTAAACTGATTCGAAACACGAAAACTGGCTGCTGGCCTTGGCTGCCAGTCAGCTTCTTTGAGTCGAATTCCACGAGCTTTACGTTGGCCGGGGCCATGCCAGAAGCCAAATGGTTTCAGCTAGCAAATTTGCCACAAAATTCCGGGGATATTTTCAAATCAATTCGAGGCAAATTTCAATTCAACTCTTGGGCGGATCCCTCGTACGGGAAGTTCCTACGAGAAGTGGGTATCATCGAGAGATGGGAGCAATCTGCTGAAGGGTCTCAGATCCTCTTGCATGGATCAGTTGCACCTGATTATATATTCATCTCCCTCTCGTCTGAGGAATCAAAGGCAAATATGAAGCCTATTGCGCTCGAATGGCCAAGTAACGGCCAATACACGGCAAAGAACATTCCGGACGAGATCAAGAACGCAACCCTCGACGATGAAAACGCAGGCTTGTCAATGATTCATCGCAACAGGGGCAGACCAAGAAGAGGGTATCCTATCGACTCGCAACCTAATGAGCAAGCCAAGCCAAGCGAAAAGAAACCCTTGAAAAAGATACAGATGGCACCGGCACCGGCACCCCAAGCTGAAGTCCAGTACAAGACGCGATCGCTCAGACCCATACCTATCCAGCATCGCGGACGCGTGAGCGTACCGCGCCCGAACGATGATAATCATTTTGGCCTTAGCGGCGAAACAGAGGTCATAGCCGCATTCGTTGTCTTCAAAACTCTCCTAGGCGGGGTAGATAGAAAGGCAGATATCGGCTCAATACTAAAAGCTTTTCCTAAGTTTTCTCACTCGGCGCTAAGAAAGTTCTGGCCCAGAGTTAGCAGGGAGCGAAAGACGTACATTGATGCACTGACGGAGAAATTCCAGTCGGCATTTTTGGAAGCTTATGAAGCGGGAGAAGTTGAACCGCTTAACTACGACGACATCGACTCCTACGATTGGCAATCTCTAATCCTTTGGGCCACTAAACTAGAGACCCACGACAAAGTAGAACTTCCTGGGTCCCGACATGATCTAGAAGATACATTTTCTCTTGAAGATGTAGACAACGAAGCTACAGATTGGAGGGAAACGTGGTTCCAGAACCTAGCTTCTATATACTCGCGAGTCGAAGCCACATCTAGCGAGCCTATTTCCATCCCTTTAACTCACAATACTCCAGCGGGAGACGAAGTCACCGGCCGGGCCAGATCGTGGGTTCGCTCCTTGTGCGTGACCCCAATACGGGGCGCGAAGACGCCCGAGGAAATACGCACAAGGCTCTTAAGTTTGAGTGACGGGAATGAAGCCGAAACAAATAGGTTACTCAAGAAAGCCGTCGATAAGCTTATATCAGAGAGGGTGGCTTCAAGAAGCAAAGGGAAGATCTTGGGTCAATCTTTACGACTGCACGGAGTGTTTGCGAAACATCTTGAGAAACCGGCTACAGTTGAGAAGTTCGCACAATCCGCTAACTTCAAAACGCTATTAGATGAGAGCTTCCGCGAAGGGCGGGAGTTTCTTGTTCCGTACGTTGCTGATGAGGGCACGATCATGGCGATATTTAACCTTCAAGCCCTCGGTCGCATTCACGCAGAAGCTGTAGACATCCCTAATATACCCTTTGGTTTTGAGCCAGGTAACTACGACGGCCGGACGTTCCCGAAGAGTTACTATCATTTTAACGTAAGGCTGTTGCCTACTGAGAGCTACGTGTACAACGAGGACCTGCCGGTTCTTCAGCAAGTAGGGCATGTTGGTGTACCCCTAGAGGGAGCTCGAAGAGAGATACCCATCTGGGTCGACTTCTTTGGGAATCTCGACAAGGCCCGCTGGATTACGTATCTCAGCATGACGACTTTGGCGCTCGCAACTAAAGGTCCGTTAACTGCGCAGACGGCGAGCGTGTTGCTGAAGCCGTTCGTTGAACCGTTCGAAGCCAAGTTGATCATGGACTGGATCGACGGTCTAGGCATTTTGAAACGGTATGAATCAGGACAGAGCGCCACAGTAGGGGAGTGGTGGTGGTTGGTCGTAGGTCAACTGGCGCTAGACGTGGTGGGACGAGGCGGCTCCCAAACTTGATATAATTAGGGAGAGTTTCCAGTGTAAATTTACACCAAAATTGCACTTGTACAATACCAAAATGGTTACATTGCATGGCAGGGCGAGATATGGTAGCATATTAGGGCGTTTGAGGAACGAGATATCCATCGGTTTGCTGCGAAGCTTGTTCCAGACTTGCTAGAATTTTGACCGCAGAGTTGGTAATGAGCAAGAAACACATACTATTTTTAATTAGAACACTCTTTAATGAAGTTTGTAGTAATACTTGGTATTCGTTTCCTTACAGGTAGATAATGCCTTGCGTTTGTAGTCCCTCGGGCGAGAGATGGCTGCTAATGTAGACGGGAATCTGATCCCGTTTAGCGCCCAAATTACAGTTTCTCATCCTTTCCCTGTTGCATTTTTTTTTATATAATTCTGTAGGTATAACTCAAGGCTCGTGTAGCTCGTTTCGGGTAGCGTCCGAAGTTCCAGAAATTCAATCTCTAATCCAATTCTTGGTATCACTATCACCACTTCCCCTCTAATCACATGTAATTCAATCACGCCTATTGTCCCGTGCTGTCCCTGTCCTGTCCTGCCCTAGCCCGTAACGCCTGTTTCCCCTTGCTCATTCTCATGCTCATGCTTGCTTTCTACTAATCACCAAGTAGGTTACTTAACTTAACGACCAATGAGAACCTTCGTCACCATCGCAATTAACAGGATTATCAGCGACACGATCGCGTAGTCGACCCACGGCGGCACCCCCGTGTTCGGATCTACCCTTCTCGGCGTCTGAAACGACGTAGCCTGCCCTACGCCACCACTCGGCGGCAACGGTATCGTTCTCGTCGGCGGAGGAACTGCCTGTGCGGGTCTGGGAGCGGCCGACGGGTCTTCCCTCCTCGGCGCAGTCTGCACAAACCCCTCTGCCAGCTCCGCACTTTCCGAATCCTCCTCCTTTTCGCTCTCGCCAGCACCCGCCGCGGAAGCAGCAGCACCAGCAGCAGTCCTCGCCTTCTCGATCTCATCGCGGAACCCCACCTTCAACTCAGCTGGGACCTCGACCAGCTCCTCCTCCCCCTCCCGCTTCCTCCTGCCGCCGTTTTCCGCATCCATCTCCGCGCACCGCCTCTCGCACTCGGCCATGATCTCCGCGTTCGTCTTCCCGCAGGTCGCGCACCTCCAAGCGGCGCTATCGGCCGCCAGCTTGCGGCGGACGGCGTCGCTGGTGTCGAGCCCGCCGAGCTGGCCGCGGGCGTCGGTCTCCATGAAGGCGCGCAGGGCGACGAGCGCGGTGCGCACCCCCCACGCGGGCTGCCACGTGTCCTCGTGGTGGCCCGAGATGCTCAGGCAGATCTCGCGGTTGGCCTCGAAGCGCCCGCTCGGCGTCGCGAAGCGGAACGACGGCGGCCGGTGCGGGTACGCCGCCGGCAGCACGATCCGCCCGTGGTACATGCCCCCCGCGAAGGCGGATTTCGGCGGCCCCCGCAGCGTGAAGTGCCATTCGAAGAGGTCTGTTTCTAGGGGCGCGGCGGTGTAGTCGGCGGAGGGGGAGGCGGAGAGCTCGGCGGCTTCTTTTACTGTTTGGAGAGCGGTTAGTTCTTATATATAAATACCAGGTAGCTAAGGTAAATATATATGTCGGGGAGCATCTAGGTAATGGGATGAACGTACATATGCGCCTAATTGTGGGCGATTTGGAATTGAAGGGTGCGGTAGCCATGATGGCTGGTGATGGCTGGTGATGTCCACGATGGTGTGTCTCGTATTGGTTGAGGGGTTATCGATTACAAGGGAGAGAGATTCAAGCTTATTACGGGATAAGGGGATTGTATATGACTTGTGTAAAATATCGGTAGAAGTTTAAACGGGTAGAGATTCAAAGTTAAGAGAGCTGTTTAAAGTGGTTGCTTCATAGGTTACCTGGTAGGTGTATGAGGTATGCAACTAAGTAAATGGTTTAGTTCTACGATTTAGTAGACAATTGGAAGGCCAGGTTGTCTGGATAGGTACGATTTGGGATATTCCCACAGGTACGGATTTATGCACGCACTTTATGATACAAAGGACAGTCGAGACATAAGGCGAAACGCGAAGGTCCTACGTAAGCATGTGCAGGTATTATGTACACGTATGCCACGTGACAAATATCACTGCCCGTGTCAAGGTCACGTGCAGTGCAATATCTCAGGGGTAAAGTAGGCCACTGCAACCACTACCCTAGATTCTAAGGTTTGCTATTGATGCAGTGGCGCTATTTCTATATCATAAGATTTCGAGTGAATGAGAGCTAGGTATTATTCAATGTAAATAACCTAGAAGTGAACTGTCCTCCGTAGAAGCCCCCTTTCAAGCTAGACAGTGCCTGATATAGAATAGTAGAAGTCAACCACTGCGACTTCCAAGTTAGCATACACTACAGAATATACATACCTCCTACCTTAGGTAAGATTATGTAAATTATTTGCCTACAAGATCCGTGGAAGGCAGTCTCTCTATGCATCCCTTATACACGCCCTACTATACCTATTATGGCAGTAACGTCGACGAGCCGGGGAAGGTACACGGAATAGAATGCCATAGTTTAGATATCGTACCTGCCTTGAATACCTACCTAAATATATTCACTGTACTCTTTCCCTTCAGCTACCTACGTACAATTCCTATTCCTCTGAATGAATATTTAAACGAGGCGTTCCCCCCATTGTTCCCATCCTTATTCCTCTTCCTCCCAACTTCAAAATAATAAACCTCAACGAGGTATTCTAATAACTTCATCCCTACCTAACCTAGACAATCTATCATTCCATCTCAACTCACTTAGCTAGCGTTCTTACAAGTATTCTTATTCCAATTTCTTTTTTCGACCTTCGGCAAGGATCAATGGCGCCTAAGAAGAGCGCCACTCAGGGCCCTCCTTTGAGGTGCTCCAAGTGCATGGCCATATTCCCCGATCAGCGTGGTCTATACCTCCACCAACAGAAATCAGGTCACCTGCATTGTACTTTCTGCAAACGGGCTTTCCATAGCCTAGACGCTTTGATTCAACACCGAGCCGATGTGAGTTTTATTTTCTCCCTTTCTAATTAGAGTTTTCCTTTGCATGGAAGGTAGCAACTCATTGAAAACTCATATAGGACCATAAGAAGGAGCAAGATCTCCCTTGTCCTGGTTGCAACAACAAGTTCACCTCTGCCGGCTCATGGATGAGCCATGTCGAAAGAGGCGAGTGTTACGCTATCTTTCCTTCGGATATCTCTGGGAATATTCCTGAAATGGTCAAGTCCATCTCGAAGGCCCTACGAGAAACCGGACTAGGCATAACGAAGGATGTAGACCTCAGCGTCAACCCTAGCGCGTCCTTTCCCGAGATCAAGGACGTTTGGGGAGATGAATGGAAGAAAGAACAGAGTCTCAAAGTCGAAGATCATCCCGAGCAATTTCCTAGAACCGCAAAGCAGCAGTACTACCAAGGCGGCTCGAACCAGTCTGACTTGCTCACCGGAGATGGCTCAACTAACCTCGAGCAGCAGCGCCCTTTAAATGCCTGGGCTCAGAAGAAGAACCTGTTCCCTGAGAAGACGGGAACCCCCGCTATCCGACCTCCCCCGTCTCTTCTTCAGAGCATGACAAACCCATCTCATTCTATTCAGCCGACTGGAGAACGTATTCTTGATCCATATCATCCGAACTTCAACGTGGGTCTGTTTAAAGACCCGATCTTAGAAACTTTCAAATGTCCTCACAAGACATGCAAGTAAGTACTTTAACTATTCCGATCGCCTCATTTGAATCAAGTATAAAATGCTGACGTTCTCATAGCTCGAAGCTGAAGAGCGCAAATGGGCTGATAGCCCATCTGAAGTCTCCGGCACACACGGCCCCACGGTTTAAATGCCCTGGATGCGCAGATTTTTTCACATCCGGTGCTTCATGGATCCAACACGCCGAGACTGTAAGCATAACCAAGTGCAAAGTCCGAAATGACAGGATCTTTGAACTTGCGATCAAGCAAGTTACCAACGGCGCCTTGGATATTAAAATACTCAACGGACTTGCAGATGGTACGGCCAAGATGAAATTTGACGAAGATTGGGCGGCGTCCAAGCAACGTAATGGGTCCGGACCCGTGCCCGGCTCGGATGCATGGGTAGAGGAGAAGAATAAGCAAACTTCAAGCTCGACCTCTAACCCTCAGTCAAACCCGAGGAAGAAGGTCATTACCCATGAGGAGTACCAATTCTGGTAACTTACCTACCTAAGGTACCTATATAAACGACAATTTTCGGAATTCTATTAGGAACGGAGCTTCCTGAGGAGACGACGGTGTGAGTGGGCAACTGTGTCCCACCAGAAAAGTTAGATTTCACCTTGAAACGGCTGCTAGTTCAACCGGCCATGATTCGATCTCAAGACATGATGATCCGAGTTGCGTTGAGTTCTTTATGCGTTGATTTTCGTTAAGCTTAGCTATATTTTTTAGCAATTAAGAGGTAGCTAGCCCAGATAGACGGGCAGATAGCTCGCAGTCTCAAGTACCAGCTAGAGGAAATTTGCGATGACTTAGCAATATACGCGATGATTTTCTCTTGGTAAAACCACCTCAGTTTAGCAACGTGATACTAAATGAAGACCTGACCAGGCCTCGGTAGCTCATGTCTTTCAATTGCCATAGCATGGTATCATATGTAACCCTTAGACGCTCCGGCCAATTAGGTATTAAGAAACAACCCCATACTTTATCGTAGGGCATTTTATCCATGCAGATTATGATTGAACTTTGCCGCAGATCACTCTATACAATTCAGCCGCCAGGGTTCTGGACGTATGTAGAGCTAATTACCAGAGCAGGCAACCCACCCTTTGCTGCGAAATGTTTTACCTTACCTGTCTTACTTACCTAGCCTCGAACTTCCAGTCGACTGGAATAGGTACGGTATATCAAGGTAATAATACACTTACCTAAAGTTAGGTAGGTAGGAAATGGGATAACTAACTCGTCTAAAATATCGAAACATATCTAGGACGGAGTATATCCGAATCTTTTCGGCGTCGCCATATAGGGTTATCACCCAGAAGATATACCTACCTATATAATTGCTCTCGCGCTTAAGTATGTCGTGACTGACTGACTGGGTTCTCCGCCTTTCCCCCAAACGCAGCGCGGGTAACCTTTCTATCAAGACGAGGATTGGTGTGGTATCGAGCCCTACATTAGGTACTGTACTCATATATTGCCTAGTCGGCCGGTGATCATCTTTTGCTGAAAAGGCGGGGATCGGCAGATGCGCCCTTAATATGCGTGAATTGGGTTTCTGATTACCTACTAGGTCGCAGAAAGCCCATGAAGAAGAAGAGGGGGGTCTGACATGGTTTGGGGGGGAGGGGAAGGATTTATATGCCTGTAAGTCGCCCCAATTTCGACTTCGTCTCGGATTTAGCGAAGTAGGTAGCTTCTACCGCACTACCTTCGACCATTAATTCCACGGGCGATCGATCATGCACTTACACGCAGCGACCACGATCACGGCCGCGTGGCTTCTCGTCAGCCAGACGGTGGTGGTGATAGTGGTAATGGCGCAGGGCATCGGCAGCGCGGAGACGCACCCGCAGCTCACGACGGAGAAGTGCACTAAGCGGGGCGGCTGCGTCAAGCAAAACACGTCCGTCGTCCTGGACGCGAGCTTCCACGCCTTGCGGCAGGTCGACGGGACTGCTAGCTGCGGGGGCTACGGCGGCGGCGCGTTCAACAAATCGCTGTGTCCGGACGCGTCGGCGTGCGCGAAGAACTGCGTGCTCGACGGCGCGGACTACGCGGGCAACGGGGTGCTCGCGGGCGGGAGCGTCCTGACGCTGAATATGTACGGGGAGAGCCGCGACGGCAGCGGCAAGCTGGCGACGCTGACGCCACGGGTGTACCTGCTGGACGCGGAGGGGGACGACTACGAGATCCTGCGCCTGAAGAACCAGGAGATCAGTTTTGACGTGGACGTCTCGAAGCTCGTCTGCGGCATGAACGGCGCCATGTACCTCGCCGAGATGAACCGCACCGGGGCCCGCGGCGCGCTGAACCCGGCGGGCGCGAGGTACGGGACTGGGTACTGCGACGCGCAGTGCCCGAGGCTGCCGTTTATCAACGGGGTGGTGAGCTTTACCAGCCCATGGATTTTTTTTATTTTTTTTATTTTTTGCCTTTAAGCTAACAGGAGACCTATCAATCTAGGCTAACATGGACGCGGACGGGGCGTGCTGCAACGAGATGGACATCTGGGAAGCGAACTCGCTGGCGTCTGCGTTCACGGCGCACGCGTGCAGCGAGCCGGGGGTGTACGCGTGCAAGGGGGACGTGCTGTGCGGGACGCTGGGGGTGTGCGACAAGTCCGGGTGCGCGTACAACACGTGGCGGATGGGTAACACGACGTACTACGGGCCGCGGTCGCCCCCGCCCGGGTCGACGTATAATCCCGACCGGACGCGGTTCACCGTCGACACCTCGCGCCCGTTCACGGTCACGACGCAGTTCCTCACGCAGGGGAACCCGGCGGATATTACGAAGGGCATCTTGAACGAGGTCAGGAGGCTGTATGTGCAGGACGGCGTGGTGATTGAGAACGCGCCGGTGGTAGCGCGGAATAGTATGTTAATACTCTCCTTTCTCCTTTTTCTCTCCCATGCTTCTCGACGACAGTCAGAATGTTCTGAGATATATGTACAGTACATGCCAGGTAGTCGTTACAACTTACCCTAGGTACTAACAGCTGCTACCAGTGCCACCGGGGGACTCGCTGCGCATGTCCCACTGCCAGGCCGTGGCGGACAACTTCGAGAACATGGGCGGGCTGACGAACACGGGGCAAGCGCTGGACCGGGGCATGGTGCTCGCGTTCAGCATCTGGAACGACGACAAGCAGTTCATGAACTGGCTGGACGCGGGGAACGCCGGGCCGTGCACGTACGAAGAGGGCAGCCCGGAGATCATCCGCAGCAAGAGGCCGGATACGAGCGTCACGTTTATGAATATCAGATGGGGAGATCTGGGGAGTACTTATACTTATAATAGTGGCACGGCGTCGTGAGGGTTATCTGCTGTTGCTATTATTATAGGAGACTAGGTACCTTAGGTACTTAGTTGATAGGATATTACAAATGAAGAAATTAAAGAATTATTTGTTATAGGTAATTATCGAACTTCTTAACATCTCGAGGGAGTTGAAAAGGTCAAGTGAATGATGAGACTGCTCGGCACTAGATGAGATCAGATATATTACCTATTTACTTCATACTTGCTGTACAGTCATATAAGCCCCGGATTAGTACTATCACTAGATACTGCACCTGATATTATAGCCTAACCTAATACTACATGTACTATGTACCTATGTAGCTAGCCACAGCCAAGCCTCCGTCCTTTCCGGAATGGAACCCACGTTCCCCTTAGCTTTTAGGTGCCTTTAGGTGCACGGATCCACTTCAGGTCAGAGAGTTCTGGATCCTGAAATTCGTCAGGGGACGTTTTGTAAGCAGCGATCTGAACCAGCAAACCAACCACACCAACCTTGATCCCTAAGAGAAAAAAAAAAGAATAGTGAATCAGTTTCATAATGTGATCAACTTGCTTCATTCATTTTTTTGGTCGGCAGAGCGTCATCTTTTTTCTCTTTCGTTACCTCTTAGCTAACTATATTATCCATCTCTCTTTTTTCTTCTTCTCTCTCTCTCTCTGAATCGGGTTACGAAGTCGAAGTTGGATCTATATGTCTGCGCAATCGTCACCTCATGGATAGAATCCCTTCGCCCTCGTTGCGATCACCACCGAATATGGCTCGGAGATGGGTACGGCGCATGGAGCGCTATTGCTGCGGTGCCCTCACCTATTTTCCTCTCGCCTTTGTCTACGGGGTCACCACCTGGGCTGTATGGGTTGTCGTTAATATCGGCTCCAGTGCTATGTCAAAACCTGGTTGGATAGGTTCGTATCCTACATCTATTTTCCTTGCGAACCTAGGATTATGATTTGAAATCTAACAATATAATCCCATAGGAACTAAAACCTCTTTCGGCGGCGTCTTTCTCTACGTAATGCTTAATTGGTGCTATACCACCGCCGTCTTCACGAATCCCGGTAGCACCACCAACGATCACGGCTATTCCACCTTACCTACCACCGCCCCGCCTCAAGCTACCTCTTTCACCGTCAAGGCCAACGGCGAGCTGCGCTTCTGCAAGAAATGCCAGGCCCGAAAACCCGATCGCGCGCATCACTGCTCGACCTGTCGCCGCTGCGTCCTGAAGATGGACCACCACTGCCCCTGGCTAGCCACTTGCATAGGCCTACGAAACCATAAAGCCTTTTTGCTATTCCTAATATATACCACCATATTCTGTTTTTATAGCTTCGCCGTTTCTGGGACCTGGGTATACGCCGAGCTATTCGCACAAACTCAATACACTAATACTCTTATGCCTGTCAACTTCATCATGTTAGCCGTCGTCTCCGGGATTATCGGTCTCGTCGTCGGCGCCTTTACTGGTTGGCACATCTTACTCGCGAGTCGGAACCAGACAACTATCGAGTGTTTAGAGAAGACTCGGTATCTAAGCCCGCTACGGAAGACGCTACAGCACCAGTTCGAAGCACAACACAACGGCGAGGGCATCCCCTTACACAGATACGGTCAGCAATTACTCGATAGCCACGCGAATGCGCTACCCGGCATTACCAGGCCGGAAGAGGGCGAGGCGACGGCACCCGGAGATGACGATATGCCGCAGCAGTTATCATATCAGCAGATGGAACAGTATCGCGCGAGGAAGCGGTATGAAGAGTATATGGACGAGCAGGATTCAGAGAAACTACCAAACGCGTTCGACCTTGGTGCCAGGCGAAATCTATTACACTTATTCGGCCCTAAACCCGCTCTATGGTTCTTCCCGATTATTAACACGACAGGTAACGGCTGGACCTGGGAAGTGAACCCCAAATGGATAGCAGCGCGGGAACGGATAGCCCGAGAGCGCCAGCAGCAGCGACAGCGGGAACTAGCCGCCGGATGGGGCGACCCCGACCCCGGATTCGTCCCGATTAGGGTCGAGAGAGCCAGTGGAGGTGCCGGGAGACACTACCGAGAACCGCCGCCGCCACCACCACAACCGCGGCATCAAAGTCAACAAAATGGCGGCCGACGCGTCCCTTCCAAGGCGGATCGCGTGTTGGGCCGTGATCCAAACTTGTACGTAGACGAGCCGCCTAACTCGGTATCGATGCGGACGCTAAACCGGCAAGGCGTGGCGATCAAAGATGAGTTCGAGGAGGAGATTAGCAGCGATGAAGATGACTGGAAGGATAAGGCGGGCGAGGAGGATCCAGAAACGAAGGCGATGAACGTCGTTACGAACGGCGGATGGGCGCGAAGCGGCGCGAGTGGATTATTAGGCAAGCCGGGCGCGGGAGTGAGGAGTGATAGTAGCGGGATTAAGACGAGCGCACCCCCGGTAAAATGGGCTACGAAGGAGCAGAGTAGTGATGAGCATGATGTCGATTAGAGGGGGAGGACCCGGTCTGTCACACACGCAACATGGTTTTGCTCTCTTCGTTTCCGCGGTCCTTTTTTTTCTTTTGGGCTCGTGGGTATCACTGCGTGGCATGGCTCAGGCGTTTTCAGATGTAACAGGTATGATTGAATATTCGGCGTCTTTTTTTTCTTTTCTTTTTCATTATCATGCCCATAGCCGCGTACCTGTAGGGTAGAAGGTAGGTACCCCTCCTACGGCATGAGACGTTGGCATACGGATTAACGTTAAAGATGTGTATTATGATTCTCGCCCGAGGCAATATTTGTATATTTGAAGTACCACCACCAACGACCAGCCCTTTGCCGTCTTGTAAAGAGAGACGTATGGTAGGTAGGATGGATGGATGGATAGTGTTTGCTGAATGAATGAATTATGGTTAAATAAGTGTTCGGGCCTTGCGCTTTGGGAGTGTTTTGCGTAGAGTGACGGTGACTACGTCTAGGTTAGGCACCTACATGAAGCGTATACCTAGGCGCCGTAAGTAGGTAGGTCCCTAGGTGCCTATGAAAAGGGGTAACGGCCGTAATGTAGTAGTCTAATGTTAATTCAACAAACATGTCGATCAGCTAGAGTCAGCGGAGGCATGACATTCAGAAGGAACCACGGAATTACTCTGCTATAGTAGATATATCTAAGCGTCTAGGTTAGGTAGGTACCTGGTATTTATCCCTACCTACACCCGGTTATACGTATAGAACGAGATCTCATATAGATTGACTCAACGGGGGATATTGGTCTCGTCAAGGTTTGCTTACGTTAGGTTAACTTTGCCCTTGAAAAGGGGGTTGGTGTTAGATGAATTTCAAGACGTCTGGTTCGTTTCTTCTGCTTGTTTTGCTATACCGCATACAAATATCCATCATGAAGCTACATATCTTAGGTACCTAGTAGATATGAATCTAAACTCTTGACGTTTTAACTAAGTTCGTGTAAGCATAGGTGTCACGTCGCAGAGCAGGAGGTAGGTAAAACAACTTCGTTGTTCCGCAAGGAACTCTAACTACAGTTGCTCCTTTGTTCCAAGGAGTCTCAAGTGAGACTCCTTACAATAGGTAACCAACCTTCTTGCATATTATTTACCTAGTTGCGTTAGGTCTTATGAAATCTCCATCGGAGGAAATAGAGACAATTAAAGTTCTAGAAGGTATCCATCATGTACGGAATGAATTTCCCATGTTGTGTCAAAGGTAGTTTGGTCGATATTGAAACCTCACTTTTTTCAGACATCTTGTAGTTAGGTACCTAGGTAGTTTGTTTGATCCTGTCTCTTCACTTGTATCATCTTAATTCATGCCTTCTGTGGTTTTATGGGACACTCATCATTATTATTATCTAAAAGCCGTATACGATGTATTTGGTTATATGAGGTTTGGCATGTCTCTGGCATGTCTGATCCCAACCCAAGACAATTCGACTTCTATCCCCTTCGTTTATAGACGCCTAAAAGATTCCATAAGTCTCTATACTCTCCTTCCAAGCAATACCTCCGGGGCATCGGAGACATTTTGAAGGGGAATCGTCTAGATGCTTGATATAATATATTATATAGATTACCACAATTCACTCTGGAATACAGTTAACTGCGAAGGTCTGAGACATCTCACTTGGTAATGATGACGAAGTAAAGCTTGCAAATATATAATTCCCATAGAATAATTACGCGTGGTAGTAGTTTTACTTTGCGGAAAAATGCAAACGAAAAATACTTTATCCCTAGGTCCAAGGACACAGTCTTTGAACAAGTTATATCTGGCACATATCTAGCATGAGTCAAGAGATCTATATTTTAAACACCTCGGGAAAATAAGTAATAAATGGCAATATATAGCTGATCTTTTTTTTTTTTTTTTTTTTTTTTTGATTCCCGAGTAGATATATACGTATGTAGAGCTTCAGTGTATCCATCTCTAATTAACCTTCTTATGCCTTACTTGTTCAGCCTCATATCTTCCCTCCTACCTTGATCTCTTGTATAGCGTTGACTACAGCTCAACAATATTTGTGTTACGGCACTGCTTGTTACTATTAAGACTACCTAGATGTCAAAAGTCAACATAGATCTACTGATATTCATCTAACAATATTATGCAGCTTCGGCAATAATAATTCTCTATACTACACGATCATTATTATTAACCGCCACTAAGGCGTCCAGCATTGTCGACATAGCCTGGGCAATGTACAATAACGAATTCTCTTCACCGGTAGCATCGCATACCCAGTACTCATTACGTTACCTTCGATATTCAGCTCCTGCAACGTTGACAGTAAGTTGGGACTCAACGAGGCAAGAAAATGTCTCATCCAAGAAGATCCCAGCCTAGGCGATAACTGACGGGCAGCGACATTACCATTGATGAAGCAATCATTACGCAACTCAACTCGCCCTTTCGTTTCGTAATGCCACGTCTCATTCCCCCTCCTCATTATCCCACCCCCTTCTGCATCCCATCCTTCCTGTCGATCACACCGGTTTAACCTACCTGTCACGTGACCGGGCCCAAGCACCTCCCCATCCCACTTCATCACACAACACGACATAACACGACGCGACACGACATACCCAATTCCTTCTTCTTTTCGGAGAGTTTTCCCCCATTCCAATATTCTTACTATACCTACACATAACCTAACTCTTCCAATACCAGCGAGTAGCACAACACAGCACAGCACAGATACCTATAACCTACCTACCACATAATCTTCGTTATGTATACGCCTACGTGTTTTTCCCAGGCACGAGACCGCCTCTCGGCACAGACCGGGTGGGGGTTAAGACCGAAAGAGGGAAAAAAAAAGGAGGTTGATACGGGCATAAGTCGCCGATACGCTCCCCGAGATAATAGATTTGTTTACTTTAGGTATTTAGTCAACTACCTACTAGTCAATCTACCTGAGATATGTAGATAGGTTGGTTACCTGTACCTATTGACCGAGTAAGCTACCGGTCCGGTGATGAATCCATGAAAACTCGCCGGGCTGAAAGAAAGAAAATTTTTTTTCTTTGCACTCCATATTATGTATAAACTGATAAAGTCACCTTGGCACTGGCTGCGCTCGGGCAAATTGGGCTTTCGACCCGGGCTGCGACCACACGGTAGTAGCCCGCAGAAAAGCAAAGCGGCGGTCCTTACGTGGGGCCTGACAATAAATACATCCACCGAGCCCAACGCGGCCCTCATCGGCTTTGGGCGTCGTTCGCGTTGCACCGGCTCCCGGGGGGGCATGGCAGGACAGGGGAGAGCGAACCGTTGAAGCTCAGCAGCGCCAGTCAGACTTGGTTCGAACCACCGCGCGCGTGGGGGAGGATATACGGTATTTTCTCGGTGCGTTGCCTCCGGCCGGGAGTGAGCAGGATAATGGCAAGGAAAACAAGAAAGGGGGGGGGGCGGGGGGCGTCGGCCTATACTCTTGCGTTGTGCAAGGAAAAAGAAGCACCGCTCCAAGTTAGACAGCGTCGGCGGACGCGGGGTGGTCTCCGGCCTACTACATACGGGGTTTTTTGGAACACAACCAAACCCATTGCCACTTTAAACTCTCATGCGGGCCTGTCCAAGAAAAGGAAACATAAGAAAAAAAAAAAAAGGAAAGAAGACACCTTTCCCCCCTCAACAATCTACCTAGGTTAGTCGCATGAAGAACAGGCTGTTCGATAGGGAACACGAAAACCCCCCTTCCAGGAACAGAAGCGTGACAAAAAGTTGGTGCTATTTACGTAAACCTGGGAGTAATTCGGACCAGTAGCAACAAAGTCCGGGGTAAAAAGAGGGTTAGGACTCTTCTAGTACTATAGTACCTATCACTTTTTCCAAAGATACGCAGATTGTCGAGCCAAGATGCGGAATACCCGTCTTATGCTCGTGATATGCCGCTATAAGCTTTTGGGGGGAGGGGGGGAGCGATCTTCAGCATATACCTACTAGTCGCCCGCGATGTTACAACGATGTGTTCGAGTTGCCAGTCCCTCTGCTCTGCGTCCGGTGGAGCCCTATATGCGTGCCTTTGCTGGCGACCTGAAAGCGAGAAAATGCGGGAAGGCAAAAGGGGTTTGTTTCCCCCCCATGGGAAAGCGACAATAGGTATCTTCAAAGTACAGTACTGTTTCCTCGCGGAATCACGGCTATTTGCAACTTTCCCGTACCAGAATTGCTTTTGCTATTGCTATTCCCTGCCCAAGTGGCAGCTTAAGCTACCCTCAATTACGTCACTTCGCGGCTTTGATTCATCCCTTGCTCAATGGGAAATGCTCGTGTGATCGATGATGCTTGAAGCTGATCGTCCCGGCCCGCACCCACAGATAAGCTAGGCCGGAGAATTCTCCGTCTCCTTCTGATTGGCGTCTTGCAGAGCGGTGAAGGAAACTTCGCGGCTTCCCCCTCCCCCCGCTAGACTATTCGGTTGCGAGAAGCCCTGTTCATCTCTCTGCCTGCGGATCTGCTGTCGTCGACATTAGGTATGGGCTCTGACGATCCCTCCCCCCTTCTCTTCCCCTTCGGAGTTCGTCCGATCAACTCAAGAACGCATCTTGCCGCTCCTGCCGCCGAAGAAGGGGCGATCTGGTGCCGCGCGTTACCTTTTTAGCGTGTATAAAGTAGGCATATAGGCTATCTACCTTAGGTAGGGTATGCGTATACGCGAATTGCATATATGTGTGCAGTTGGACTAGCTTAGGTAGGCCGTTTTTTGAACCCCCTGCTATATGGCTCCCCCGGAACCAGACGATAGTTGGCGGCTTTGAAGAGTAATACCGCAATCCCGAGGACACGGAGTCGTCACTATCGGTAGCGAAGAATAAGGACGTATGGCGTTATACGTACATGATGCACAATCGCCATTCAGTCAACTTTTAAGACGCGGGACGGCAGGAATCCTGCAAGGATTGCACCGTATTATACCGTATGATGTAGCAAGTACTCGCTACTTGTGCGTTGGAGATTCCATTTGTGGCTCGTTTCACAAGCTCCTACCCACCTTGCGTCCTTTGTTGGGTCTCTAGCATAGGTATTCAAGTACTGTATTTAGACACCAAAAGCTTGAGTATAGGGGTTTGATATTGTTACCTAGGTACCTAGGTAGGTATAGCTGTTGAGTGCAGGATATAGATTCCTTTCGAGGGTAAAGAGAGCCCGATAAGGAAAGAAAACGCCGATGTGAAGCGAAACGGAACGGAACGGGATCAGGGGAAGCAGGCGGCATGGATCGACTACACACCTAAGCGGTATTCCATATGTTCCGTCAACCCGCACCCAGAGGCGGAAGCCACATAAGTACCATATGTAGTACAGCGTACGGCTGATCGATCCTGCAGGTCCTTTTCTGACAACCAAAGTAGGTTGCCAGCTAGCCATGCCATGCCATGGCGTGAACAATCTCCTCCCCTGTGTGTTAGCGTCGATGGTGTTCATCCATCTCCTATGCCCCCCGCGCCCAGTGCTCACGTCACTGCCAGGGTCTGAGGCAGACGGGAGGGTGAGAAAGAAAAATTTGGGAGCGGGCTGCAGGACCCGACAGCATGGTAAGGCTGCTCGCGAGGGTTTGACAGGCTTGGGATCGCATATCATTGGGTGTCTGCGACATGCGGTTCGTAAGCGGCTCGTCATCATGTACTGCATGCGTAGCCCTACCCAATCTCTCCAGTGGGATGGAACACTTGGGAGAAGGCGACGGCGTGTCAGGGAAGTACGTCCCGTCAGCCCGCACCATTTACCAATGAGACGGGGGATTCAGGCCGGTTTGGGTAAGAAGGAATGTGATGAAAGTGCAGCCTGGTGCATTGCATGAAGCAAGTCGTATCAATAATAGGTGTACCCCTAGGGACGCTGTATAATACGTGACAGCCACGGGGCTTTTTGTTGCAGCTGAGCGTGGTACTTCGCCGTGCCTCGTTCGCTTTCCTTGCTTCGCTTCCAAGTACATGGGATTCATCTCGGCATCTGCTGAAAGCTGAGAGACGCGTTTTATTTCCCTTTCCTCCCCGACCGACCCTTTTGTTCCCTTTCTTCCACTTACTACTACCCACACTTGCTGCTGCGTTGTGCATTGAAATACGACATAGGCGATTTGCCCGCGGCCAAAATTACTTAGATAGGAGGTACGTATGTACGTCCGTGGGTATACAATAGGTGCTCAAGCCATGTAAGTCCGCATCATCCGTCTCTCGCATAATACCCACATGGCCCGTGAGCGAGGGGATCGGTAAAAAAAGCCAGGTTTCCGGAGCCCACTCCCTTCAAAGATTCCAAGCGTCAGCAACTGGAAGGCTGGGCTGACAGTGGCTTACCGAATCCAGGAAAGCTGCCCGGTAATAAAAGGTAGCTGGCAATTTTATGTCCCAGCGGCGACAGGTTCAAACGCCAACATTTTATGCATTGGCGTTGAAAACAGCTAGACTAGGCTATCATCTGGTGTAAATCTTTCGACCTCAGTCCCATGATGGACCCACGGCCTCATAGGTACGACGAACTGCCGTGGCCAACTTGGAGATTAAATTGTATCCCGCAGTTCCGGCGGCCTACCCAGCATGGTAATCGCGTATGCTACCTAAACGTCAGATCAGATCATCTTCGGGGCTTCTAGATTGGGCGACCCACGGGACTGGACGCGTCGCAAGTGTATGATAGGTCGTGCGTCGTACACTGGACGCTGGATGCTGGATATTGGACGCTATAAGTTGAATGGGCTTGAGCTGGCTTGTATGGGCTGTATGTCAGACCAAGGGGCTGCATTGCTGCATCGCATTCAATGCATACTATGCATACTGTATGATACCTTCCCAGGTCCCGAGGATGGGGTTCGCCCGAAACGGCAAGCAAGATCCCAATCGAGGCTGAACAAGGTTTGTGAATCCAATATCCTCCATAGAGTCACATTATTTCCGAGACCCAAGCCAACCGAATCCATGGCCTGGGCATGATATCGACAAGGTATCCTTACGCGCCATGGCCCATAGTGGACGAACTCCTACTGCATTAGGCAGTCGGTTACATCGAATAAGCAGCCACTCCAAAACCTTCGTGCATTCTATCGATTCTAGCTCATAGTCAGCAGTTAATTAGCAATAAATCAGCAGCACCTGAGTGGACAACATCGCCATGATAGTCTATTATATCACTATCACAAATGATAAAGTATAGAAATAAGAAGACGGCGATGATAACCAAAAAGGCACGATACAACAAAATACACGGAAACAGACACGGGCACAACAAAAAAGAGTGAATGAAGCTTGGGTAATGTAATTCGGAATCACTGTGGATCCAGTACATGGTGTGCAGCGTGAGCCACAGGTATTTTTTTTATATGAGTTCATGCAAATGCGAGCCGACATGCCAATGCTAGTTGAAGAAGAACCTTCCGGGGAAATGGAGTGTCGAAGTGAAAACTCGACACATGTCGGGATGTCAAGGACAGCCGCCCACGAAACCCCTGGGTCCCCGGTAAGATATGAATCTTTCACCTGGAATTGATCCTTCTTTGTGCTGCTGGTACATCGCGACCCTGCGCCTCAGCTTGCACCTAAAGTCCTGCTCGTAACAGCGAATGCAAATATGTAAGTCCAATAAAAGAAAATGCTCTGGATAGTGTCCTCATCACTAAGAAAAGTCGTCATAAAACCCCCTTGCCTAATAAACACCTTTGACCCAAAATGCTACCGTCCATGTGAAAAACAAATGAAGATTTTTTTGTCATTTCCCAGATCTATCTTGAAATTGCCCTTTCAACACCAATGATATGCCTTTCTCGTTGGTCCCTCGCGTCCCCGAGACTCTGCTCAGAGGGTATACTTCGAGTGGACGACTGGATATGAAGCGCCCTCGAAGGAAAAAATAATAATAATAATAATAATAATAATGCAAAACCAGATCGTTAAAATTCCTTATGGCCGTGCTACGCCGCCTCCCTTTTGAGGGTATGTGATCCGATGAGGGTATTCGCTACAGATTCAAACCAAAAAAATGCGGGAAATCATCGAGACCGGGGCTGCTAACTCAAATAAAAGATGTACAAGTACAAGATGATTCAAAATCAGATCCCGCTTAGAAAGGGGTGTGTCCGAATCACATGAGGTGTGGCTGCGTGTCACCATCGACACTGCTTTTTTCGAAGCTCGATTTTGTGCTGTTTGCAGTCGATCTATAGAAGACGTTTCGTCCGATATGCTTTAACTTGCCGACTGCAGCTTCACCACCGTTGCTCTCGCGCGCTTTTGATACGTAGACGCTGGTCGTAGGGTCAACTTTGATATGGCAGAACAAAGTCGAGAAGAGGTATTGGTCCCCGTTGGAATCTAACAACGGCAATGTTCGGTAACCCTGTTTAAGACTTTCAAGTTTGGCTGTGTAAGTCGCAATAATGGCACTGCGACCGGACGAATATTCACCGTCAGTAGCCAGCTTGACGCTGAATCTAACAAAGAGTAATTCAGGATGTTTGGTCGTAACGTTGAAATGAGCCTTGTGGTTGAAAATGGGATTGAATCCGTTTTCCTTCACGATGCATGTAGAAGATTTGAGCGGAGTGTCCGTAAGAATAGGTATACCCGCCATGCTGTCGTGCTTATCCCGCTTATCGTTAGTATGGAAGATTTCAATCTCAACGTAAGGGTCAAGAGTGCGGTTAGAAGCTAGGCTTGAGGGGCGAATAAGTTGCTGCGCCGAGATTATGTTGATGTCAAAGGACATATTTTGGCGTTCCAATTTGCCGATGGCTTCTGCAGGGAGACCGTCGGGGAGAATGCGTATCTCGCGCATCGACGCGGGCTTTAGGACGTACCCGGATTGATCAGTGCCTCCATTGAACATGGCTTGATTCAATTGCATGCCAAGGTCGAAGGTCTGCCAGTTGAGTGCAGCCATCTGCACGCCCCTCCGCCAGTACATCAAAGGGTTAAAGTTGTCAGATGATAAGCGGGAATACTGGGGATATACGCGCATCATATAACGCATATTATGGCGGGCCAAAGCAAGCTTGGAATCCGACGCTTTGGAGTGCTTCCTAAATGTACCTTCCATAAAAGACAAGATATGGTTGCTCTTCTTGCACTCCGCCGATTCGAAGCCGTGAAACTTGACGCCACTACAGTAGACACCGAGCTCGCCTAAACTCTTGACAATCTTACTAGTCTTCCGCTTGCCACGTTTCTCTTCTTCGCTGTCGCATTCACTCGTGCTGCTACTGACTGTATCATGCACCTCGCCCTCGTTAATAGTGTCTATGCGTTTTGCTGGCGTTCCGCGCTGGGGTTGAGCGGTAGGGCCCAGGAGCGGGCTCGACAAGAATTGAGCTGGGATAGAAGCGTTGTCAGAGGACACCGGCTTCGAGAAAGGAGAGGTTAAGCTGTTTCCGCGTCGACGACCTGTAGTGGTCTCGCCACCGTTGCGTGTCGCGCCTCGATGTGTTCCCTTCACCTTGATCAGGATCCTTTCTTTTAGTTCCGAAGGCGATGGGAGCGTATTCGAGGATGGATCTAAAGGTTCAGTGACCAGGCGAGAACCGAATATCTCCTTCATAATGTCGGCCATTACCTCTTGCTGCGGTGCATTGCAGTGGACCTCGAGGGATACCCAAAGCGGAAAGTGGCTCGCGACAAAGGCGTACTTGTTGACGGTGTTGATCACTTCACGGAATGAGATGGCATTCGTCATCGCATACCCGTGCTTGACTATCGGCTGACCCTCAGACCCATCCCAACAATCAATCTCAACGCTACGGCAACCACGAACAAGAGTAGAAATATAACCCTCGATGGAGGCGATGTCTGCAATCTGACGACCTACGAGATAAGTATTGTGAGAGCTGGAGATGAAATACTCATTGAAAGGTCGGTCGAGCGAATATTCAGACGGCGGGCGGACAAGCGGAAAATTGTCTTTTGATGTCAGATAGGCCGCGAAGGCTTGTTCATTCATCGTGACCGAGTCCTTGTCAAGACGATGAAGCGACGACGTCTCCGTCCTAGATCCGCCGGCCCGGCGAGCCCAACGAAGGAACTTATTCTCCCAGAAGTTGGGATTGCTATCGACTTCTTCACATTGTTCATCCCGCAGGAATCGCATAAACTCTGCGAAGGTGATTCCCCGCTCTGCATCCGAGGCCAGCTTGAAATACAGTAGTCGGATATCTTCTCTCCGTTTCATCTCGCGAACAAATGCTTGGAACTGGGAAAAGTTTAGTCGACCAGACGTGGTGGTGTCAGCAACGGCAAACTTGGCACGAAGGTCCCTCGGAGCCATGTGGATGTGGAGATTTCTGCAAACACGTTCAACGCCAGCTAAGTCCATTTCCTCTCGAGCAGGCGTGTGTTGCTTGTTCTCTAACTGTTTCGTCATCTCACCATTCCAATATTCGCGGATGGCGTTGTCGTTAAAGGCCATTAACGAGGCCATATGCACTTCTCGGTGCTTGGATATCAAGTCTAGGGCATTAACCCAGTGCGCGAATGTCTCCTCGTCTTCGGCGATCAAGTGCATTGTCTTGCTCCTAGATTTGTCAGGAACTGCGTAAAAGATAGTAAAGAAGCGCCCCTCGTCGGGTTCGGGGATACCGGAGTCAATCCGATACTGCCGGATGTCGGAACCTATCCTGACCTCCTTGATGTCGTCGATATAGATGCACTTAGTAGAACGACCTTTCTCCCAAATTATTCTGCCTGCAGCTGCTTCGAGTGTGAAGAGCAGCCGCTTCTTTTTCTTCTTGGATACCTTAAGAAGATGAGTTCCTTTCACCAACGCCATGGGCACGACAGGTCCGGTAGGAACATCTGCAAATGATGCTGATCCCGCTAGCGACGGTGCGGCGCTTCCTGAAGAGAAATTTCGTACCATACTCTCTGCGCCAAGGATCGAGTTGTTGAACTCGTTCATGTCATCGTGAAATTCATCGTCAGAGTCCGTCAGCAGCACGGATTCCGCCGCCGGGGCTGTGTTGGTGCTGTCACTTCTGCGTCGGAGAATTCCAGGACCTATGCTTCCTTCCCGTCTCATAGGTGCCGCCGCAGACTGACGTCGGGTCCTGCTGGCGAACTTGCTCGCACGGTTGGAAAGCCGTCTTATTAAACCCTTTCCAGCAGAATGAGAGTTCAGTGCTTCTGCCATGGAGCTACCAGTTGTCGCCGCAATGCTAGCATTAGCTGAGTTGTTACCGCCGGACTTGCAGGTAAGGAGAGGGTCTCCAAGATGGAAGGGCGGCGGAGGGGGGAATTGCTCGGCGTCTGGACCTTGGCTACGGTAAGGTTCCGGCGAAGGTTGAATAGAGCTACTGGTGGTGCTGGTCAACACTGCGTGGTCTGGGGACATGATGGGGGAATCATGTTGGGGAGAACCAGACGCCGCCGTTGAAGCACTGATAGCTGAGGTGGGTATTGAGCTAGGTTGCGTACTAGGTGGGTGGCTAGTTTGAACTTGAGTCGGGCGTGGCCGTCGCAATAGAGAGCCCTGAGCGGCCATAATCGACGTACTAGAAGAAGATACCTGGGAGTCGACACTGAGACGTAAAGGATCGTTATTGTTGGGGGTTGCAGTCATGATATAGATTTCGAGGGGGGCCGGAAGCTCGCCCACGCTTGAATCGTTGGTAATACGTGTAGTACAGGAAGTATGAGAGACAGCTCTATATGAGGAGGGCTGAACTTGTGGGCCTCATTTTTCCGGATATGTTTTTCATAGAGGCACCTCCCAGGAAAAGGGGAATTGGGGGGAGTGAGCGTATGTAAGTATGTAGACAGGGTAAGTAAGCGGGTACGTATAGGATGGATGTATGAGGTAGGTATGTAAGTAAGTAATGTAAGTAATGTATGTTATGTAGGTAGGTATGGGCCCGCGAAGGAAGAGTGCCAATGTACACACCGGGGAAGGCTACTTATTAAATTCGAGGCCAAGTTCGAGGCTGCAGGAATACTCGGCGCCTTCCCACGACGTACGTAGATGTCGATTGCGGTCCGGAACGCAAGGGTGCGGCCGAGCACTAGCCAACAGAAAGTAGCAGTAGTATAATCAAGTACAGGCCTGTCACTGGTACGGGCCTCTGACAGAGGTACGTCGAGGGTACGGGCACGGCCAGCTGCCTTCTGCGCGCGCCTGCGTTGCCCTAGGTGGTAGACCAGGACTTAAACAAGGCGGGTATGGGGGACCGATGTTGCAATAGCTCACGGTAACAATGGTGAGGTGGCAGGCCAGAATGCAGGTCGCTGATTTGGGTATTTCTAAGTTGGGGGAAATGGGTATTTCCTAGGCGTCAGATTTTCAAAGTGAGATAGTCTTCCACAAGAGGAAGACGAGGAGGATTATTGATATTGCTCTGCTGCTGCGGGACCCCCTTGTAAGTTTACATTCGTTTCTCTAATTGTCCTTCGGCTGTTTTTTTGACTTTGCGATTGACTTGGAGGAAAGCTCAAACAGAGGGAGATATATATATAAGTATATATACTTTTTATATAAATATCTCGTACGATGAGTTCGGGCCTCTTGACTTTCAGATCCCCACGTTTGGGCTATAATGTCGGGCACGTCCAGTAGAGAGAGAAGAAAAAAATTATGCGCTGCTGTTTTGCTCCTTGTGAGTTTAAGGTGGATCCTCCTGCGGTGTGGTGATGACTCCCTCTTTCGCTTCTTAGTAATTTGTATTTTTTTTTCTTCTGCTTGCTGGTTGTACAGCAGAATTGGTTAAATATGTGCGTGATGACGTCCGGTGAGGCTCAGCAGCTGTGAACAAATTGTAAAAGGAGAAAGGGCCGGTAGGGTGAATAATGAGTTGTTACGGTACAGCGTACAGCGAAGCGAAAATCCTTGTGCGACGTCAATGGGAATGTACAGAATTTCTGTATGTATCTGACACTGGACAGCCGTAGTCGGTACGCGGTAGGTGGGCGTTAAGGTATTTTACTAAAGAAAACGTATTTTTTTTTGTTTTCCAGGGTATTGGCCTTGTAAGTTATTGTGGAATTGGACTGACCGGAGACTGACTGGGTCGTATCAGATGTTCGACGTTGGAAAGAATAATAAGGAGAAGAGGGAAAAATAATAGTTATAATATAAAAAAGTAATAACGTCAAACTAGTCTTTTTTTTTGTCCCACGAATTTGATGAGGTGTACAGCTCTGCTTGCCCTTCAGCTTCAGGTGGAGGAGAATGGGGTCGGGAAATTATTAAGTGACGGAGCGGAAAAGGAAGGGATTAAAGCACGGTAAGGACAGGGAAGGAGTCAAGAAGAGGAAAGGAAGAGGATAGGTAGTTTAGCAAGCGGTCCCCTAAAATAATGGGTACGTACTTGCCCTATTCGAGTTCTATCCCACCTCCAGAATAGTTAGAATACAATACATCTAAATACCTCTGAACCGTAGATTATAGGTACATCTATATAGGTAGTGTTAGGTACTTCTAACCTAAGCTAAGGCTAAAACCTGGCCTGACCTGACCTGACCTGCTAAACTTGTCGGTAGGCACTAGGTTAGTATGGTTAGTATAATCTAATAACCTTGAGAAAGGAAGGGGGGGGTTAGTGCGAATTGTAATATTGCAATAGGCCTCTGTTTTCTCATATCAGAACCTAACCTAGTCTTCCCAAGGGATCAATTAGGTTGGCGTTAATGGTATCGTAATTCTGGGTCTGGTACAGTAAGATACTGAAAGCCTGTCTTGTTGGTTGGCAGTTTTATTTTCCTTTTTTTTTTCCCTTCTTTCTTAATCCAAATTAGACGTGCATGTACCATGTACCATGTGTGTGTACATGCATACATTCACATATACGTACCTGTCTAGGGTACCTTGTATGTACATGTGTGTTGTACCCTGTCCACAATAATTCACATTAACAGGAAGTAGACAGAAAGAGCAGACGACTTTTGTCAACCTATCCTACCTGGTTATCTGTAGCATAATGTGGAGACTTAAGTGAATTACCTATCATTCAATGTTGTTCTACCTACCTCACGTATTTATTTCTTCCTTCTGTTTGGTAATGGGCTGAAAGGTATTCTTGTACCTCTGTACCTACCCAGATACAACATGTAATATGTACCGTACCTAATGTCATGTACTAAATGTGGTACAGATAGTGCAGGTACCTAGTGCAGGTAGTGCATCGTATCGAGCGGGAGCTTCAATTCTAGGGGATTACACCCAAGGTATTGCATTAATGATGATGGCTTATTTTATATTTTGTATTTTTTCACATTATTTCTCAAGTCACTTATACGAACATATATGACCATCCGGGATGTGAACATACGGGACATATGGCCATACTTCGACGTTACCGTTACCGCTACCGCAGGGGATCTAAGGCCGTCAGGCACACGAACGAATATAGCATAATCCCACGGATATGCTATGAGCTTCTCACTAAAGCGCTCAGGGAGAGGGAACCGCCCATTACGTGATACCTGGTTTGCACCACTTTTACAACCCTACAACCTTACATGTAAGTCTCGTGTAGTCTGAGAATGGAGTCAGGTGGCCTCCTGCTTGTCTTCTCGAAGGAAAAGCTAGGCGCTTTACCGGCTCTTTCTCAATTCAAAACCTTAACCACAAAAGACAAGGGACAATGATGACCGAGCCAACGGGAATCCAAAGCTTGAGTACCTGGTCCATGTATCAAAAAAAGCTTAAGTGCTACCTGTCCAGCCTGTATGTATGTTTTGTATATCTTGTATGTCTGAGACAAGAGTCTGCCCCAACCAACTTGGACTTGCACCCACCTGGTTTGGTTTGTTTTTCTTGGGTCGGCTGTGATATCAACAAGAAGAGGGCAGAATGCTTCCTGAAGGATGGCCGCCCATAACCCTATTGTGATGGGCGCTTCGGTTTGTGATTTACAAAACTGAAACAAACACAACTCGCAGTGGATTCTCTCGAGCGTGAGGGAGCGAATTGCCAATATTTCTGATTATCGTCGGTGGACACCTGGGAAAGGAGACATGGTGGTCCAATCTAATAACTGACAAGCCAGGAAAAAAATCGACGGGAGTCGTCGTCGGTAACTTAACGGCTTAAAGGCGAAAAGGAAAAAGAATAAGCGCGCTACGCTGAAACAGGCAATAAAGTCCAGCTCGACTAGGCCGGCTAGGACAGCTACAGCTAGGCTGCTAGGGTCAGGGCAGGGCAGGGCCATCCAAGACAGGGCGCCAGAGTAAGTAGGGCAAGGTAGGGCAAAGAATCCAAGGTGGGTGCTGAGCCAGGTGGCAGATGTGGTGGTCCCATAACTACATCATCGACCATCTAAGCCTGATCCGCGCTCGGCTTCCCCAAGATGAGAAAGAGAAAAAAAAACTGTAGCGACAGGCATTAATCTGACAGGGATTCAGGGGTGTACCAAAGACCTGGGTGGAAGGGAAGACAGAAAAAAAGAACAAAAAATGAAATAAAATAAACGCCGAAAATAAGCTCGAGTGCATACAGAAAGGCTATCCGCAATGCTTAAGCGCTTCGGCTCAACTTGGAAATTCTTTACATTACGATACCCGATTTTCTTTTCTCTTACCCTTTTCTTACCCTATCATGCATTAGATGGGTAGATGTCTGTCTACCTGGGTATGATATTATAGTTCTCGACACATGTACACATATCGATCTTTTGTATTACGATCGAATCCGGTACGTTACGTTCATGTTTTGTTTCACTCCAGCTTGGCCTGGAAATGACTTCATTTCAACCTATTCCGTACTACTTACAACGCATAAAGGGGAAGGAAAAAAAAGCGAAAAAATATATAAGTGATATTGTGGGTGTCAGGGGTCATGCACAACAAGGTCCCCGTAAACCTTATTATTCTCTTTTAAGATTTTCAACTTTTCCTAAAAGAACAAGACGCAAGTAGTAAACCGTTCAAGGTTGCTTTTTCGGCAGTCGGAATGTCAACCTAAAAGCCAGTAAATTAAAACCTTGGGGGCGGCAATGCTGCAAGACATACGATGATGCGCGCCCGCTACCAACTCTAACCAAGAGGAAACCCACTCAAATCAAAGATATCCAGATGTATATCGTGGGGGTTGCTTTTTCTTTTGTGCTGTTCTTTTGCTGTTCGCGTTCTCGAAGGAATATGTACATGCTTGCGCTTGCGCTCCCGCTCATTTTGTTTCTGACCAAAAACACAAAACAA